CTGCTCATCCGTTGACAATGACAGGATGTTGGTTTGTACCAAGAATGGGTGAGTTTGCTTATCATTTGTTGAACTCCAGCCTTGCTGACCAAAGATACTGCTGACAGGACGTGAGCTTGAGGTGGACGATCAACGTGTATGCGAGCCCATGAGTACACCACGTGGATCTAGCCTAGGCTTTGTAGGCTGCACATGAAATCCATTTGACACTTCACTCGATGTATGTGTTTTTCAAAGTAGCAGCAGGCCCATGCGCTAAGACATAGATAAGTGTGTGTTTCTGTGTTAACATCCTTTTTTCACCTCGTACTACCACCTTCTGACACCCGGCCCTGATTTTTAGTCACCCACCCACCTCCCTTTCTCTCTTGATACACCAGCATGATTTGGTTTGGTCTCATTTTATTTTATTGAGCGCGAAGGTTCATCTCTGATCTACCTAATGACGATCTACATTTGACAATTTTCTTTCTTGCACCCCTCTCCACTCACTCAAATGCGATGTCCCCACTCGCGTGAACGTTCACAGAAATAACTTACAAGCTCTTTGAGTGTCTTCCTCGTTCTGTGCTTGCAAGTCTGCAGCGCAGAATGACCCCTCTGTTGCAGTTCGATGTTGTAGGGGTGAGTCTGATGTTCTCTGTCCAGTAGCCCTGACTGATAAATCGATTATTTTTAGGCCCTTCCCACAGAATTATCTCTTTTCATCTTCACGTATCTTCCAGCGGCTTGCTCGCGTGCTCTCTTGTTTCTAAATGTTGGCACACCCTCGCAACAGACCAAGTACTTTGGCGTCATCTTTGCTATTTACACAGCTGGGAATGGCGCACGGACGTTGCTGCACCCACTCCTTGGGATGGACTTGGCGATGCCTTCTCTGTTCCCCACCATGAAAGCTTCGCTTTCGTGGTAAATCACTAATTTGACACTTCACTCAATGTATGTGATTTTCATTTACAATCAAATGCAAGCTGACATTCAGGCCAGATTTTCTACCGTCACTAGAAACCTATACTCAATAGTATTTCGTCTTCATCCCTCTCTTTCACCTTCACCCTCCTGAACGTGTACTTCCTTAACTACAAAGCGACTGGTACTTCACCAAAGGTATGCAGTCGCTCGGCTTTGCCAATACAGTGGATGTGCTAAGAAGCATTCGATGTAGTTTGTATCGTCTCATGCACGCGTCCCCACAAATAGCTCGATGTGCAAGTGCATTTTTACTGATAGATTCTCCATACAGCACAAGTTCTGCGTACTTCTGCGATGACTATTCCTCCCGCACTTTCCAACCCGACCTCTCCACACATCTGCAACACTCATTCACTCCCGCACTTTCCAACCCAACCTCTGCGCGCCACCAGTTCTTCATTGGCCGTTTCCGGACTGATCTCTCGCTTTGTGAAGCTTTCACTAGCTTCGCTGCCCTTATCCTCTTCAACTCCACCCGCTCTGCCTCTATCTTGCGAGCGTGATCAATGCTGCAGTACAACTAATTTTTTTTTCAACTTAGCTTTTTGTACACCAGATCCAATCACTTACGTTTCTTTGAGGACCCATCATGAATCGCGATTCTCAGTATCGAATTCGATGTGCGTTCAATGATTTTGGAGTAGTGTTGGCGCTTGGGCATCAAATCCGATCGCTACGGCCTACAGCACATTTCCTTTTTCGGTGTTTGATTCGAATTTTCAATCTATTCTACACAACAAGGTAAGCGTCATTTTCTATTTCTTCAATAATTTCCCTAATACCTGCACACAGGTTGCAATTGACTTCAAACCAGAGGGCAAGTACTCAACGAGTGCTTCGGAACTCATCGCGCCGTTGGTGGTGGTCTCAATGATGAGGTGGGTCACGTGCAAACTCATTCGCTAATCTCCGAGAATTCACTGCCTCTGGAGGTCTCGTCGGATCTGAAGTCTGCTTCCTCGTCCTTGAATGTTTTCGAAGTATGCATTTTTCTGAAAAAAAAAGCCTAGTACTGACGATTGACAATTTTCTTCCAATCCAGAATCAAATGTGTACATTTTGAAATCATACATCACAAACTGTATCTAACTCACTTTCCACAGCCTGAAGTCCCACTGAGCCTTCGCAATGTCATCTAAAGACGCACTTGGCGTTCATGTATCTCTATTTTCTCGGGCCTTGATTCAGTCACTTTCCGATGTGCTATTATACTTGCTAACGTATCACTTACCCTCCGCCATGGCTAACCACAGCAATTCGTTCGCTTCAAGAACAATACCCAGATGACAAGTTCGAAGCAATCCTACATCGAGCTCCCCCCATACTATATTAGAGGGTGAAATGTTTGGATTGCCCTGGCAAGGTTCGTCCACATCACTAGACTTGGACCAATGCAGACTTATTTGGTTTGCAGTTATATAACTCTGGGCCTGGGGATACACTGCAGAACTATGAAGTCCATCTCAGAAACCGACAACATCACTTACGGGTGAACTTCTGCCTAATGCAGGCGCCAGCATCATAACAGACGATTTGCATTGTATTGGCTGCCTTGCGCTATTCTAGTATTTTTCTTTGTGCCATCTGTTGTGCTCATCTGCTATCTGTATAATGAAATCGCCATGTCCATATAATATTTGGCACCCCTTTAGCGATATCAACTCAGATGTTTCCGTACTGACACTGTTTCTACCACTACTTGGTATCTGTAAGCCTGGTGGCTTACGTACACCTGCATATGGTTCATTGCATCGTAAACACCTCTTTTCCCTTAGCTTGTACCTTACCATCGTCATTCCGCAATTCAGAACGTGGTTCTATTCTGTTTTGCGTGTCTCGTCAGTGTTTCTCATTGTTGGCCACGACTTGGTTTCACTTTTTTTAAAACTTCAACCACTGTTCCCTTTCTCCTGCTGTTGTCTGCACTGGATCATTCTCGCAAACAGAAGCTTCACGCTACTGAATCTAGTTTGTGTGTTCTACGCTCTGCCTCTCGCTTGCCAAGCAGAGACAATCTGCCTGTCCCTGTCACCACTGCAAGGAAGCATGATCCCCCTCCGCATCTCATGGCACATCTGCCTTCTCATCATCCAACCTCATAGTTCCTGCCTTGCACGCCCACCTTGCCCATGCCATCTTCTAATTTTGGCACACCCCCAGTCGAGGATCCAGCTGCAATTTTTCAACCTGTACCGTCACCTATGCTCTCGGTACCCTCGCATTCTTCTAAGATGACGAAACTTGACATCCCCGCTTCTTACTGTCTTTACAGCACCGAGATGCAACAGCTTGTACCAAGGACACAAGTGTATCATACACGAATGCAGCCTTAGATAAATTGTGGGCTCGGAGATGCGCAAATTTATATATATTATATTATATTATATTATATTATATTATATTATACATATTCTGATTAAATTTGGCTTGAGCTGGCTTAAAGCCTGTAAATATAGCTTCATTGGCTGGACCGGGCCATGTATTACATATTGTATAACTACATACACGGCTTGGCTAACTATGGTTCCGGCTCCAGCTAAAGCCGGACATAAACTGAAACTGCGGCAGCACTAGTATGCACTATCACTGTTCAAATCATGCCCTACACATTTCGATCAATTTCCGTCATTTCTGTGACAGGGTTTTCAAAGGCTTGTCCAGATCTCTTTCCCTGCGCCTCGGAACTCCATGGCTGACAATTATGGTTGGCGGTTCAAGAATCAAGTAAACGCGCCGGCCATGCTTCAAAACTTCTGCCAAAGGGTATTTAGCTCGTACCAGAATCCTCTCCCTTCTCCCATACTTCTTGCATCTCCACTTTGCTCACACTAATTCACCACTCGTGCTCAGTGAAGATTATTATAATAGGTCATATCCTCCAAAAACCTGTGAAGCAACCGTTCGTAAAAGCTCGGTATGTCATCTCATGGGCTCACTAACTGTGGATGAGTGCTCATGAATTCCATTGCTGCCTCTGATGCTTTCTTACTCCAGAGCTCACCCCTTAGTCGGGTCCAACAGGCCATGCGGAAATGTGCGAAACGCTGAAGGTTCAATGACACAGCGAGGCACGAACAATGCTCCTGACTGTATCTATAATTGTTGTAAGGTCGTGCATTGCCTAGTCTGCTATACTTGAGACGACAAGTGCGTTCGACCCTAAAGGGGAAGCGAGTGCAGCAAGGATCTAGAGGTATGCGCTGAAAGCGCTACTGGTTGGCCAATGTGAAGCGCGAGAAAGCGCAGGTGCGCGCAAGGCGTGGGAATGCGCGCGTGTATGGCGCGAAGCGCGGGAAAGTGTGCGTGTGTATACAGATATGAGAGAGAGTAAGAGTGAGTTTGCTTAAGTGATGATATGATGTAAGACAAGAGAAGAGAGATGCGAGGTGTAAACAAATAGATTTCTACTATGTTCTGCTAGGTGAATAGTGGGTAGTAACCAGTAAGTCCTCTGTCGTTCTGGTGGGAGAGTAAGTTTCCTTCTTTTTTTCATAGTATGTACTGCTGGCGCTTAAGTATGGCGCCTAAGCGCTGTCATGCGGAGCCGAAGCGCTACCGAGTAAGGTATGTAAAGATATATGTAAGTAAGGGTCCATGATAAAAATAAAGATGGAACGATAAGCAAATGTGAGAAATGGAAATATACGCACTAGGGAACTTGGTGGACAGTGGATGAATGCTTCTGGATGGCTGGCGCTATAGGGCGCTCAGGCGCGGGAAAGTGCGCGCGCATATACATCGTGAAGCGCGGGAAAGGTACGCGCGCATGGCGCGTGTTGCACGGGAAAGCTGCGCCTCATATAGAGATAGCTGTGGGTAGCACACAGAGTGATGCTACAAGTTCGTGCCATGTACTCCCCAGTGAAAACTGCCATATTGCACAATGAGAGGCATGAGTCTCTACAACGCATCACCAAGAAAATTTCTGTGAGTAGACTACTGAATTGTTTCAGTCCTCGTTTTGAATATGGCTGACATTGTTCAGAAACTCTTCAAGCAGTCTCGCAACCACATTCCTGAGATCCAGAATGTCGACCTTCAAGATGTCCCATCAAATCAGAACATTGAGGTAGGTCCTCAAAATCGTAATCCCAGATCAACTTTTTCATCAGAGGCGCCCAGGACACGTCACATCCACACCCTTTGACCGACGACAAGCTTCCCACAGCTGAAATCCCCAGTGACTGCGTTAACCAAGGTACATCTGGAGAATCTGCTTCGAAGGTACCTGCATCAAATTATATGGTTGTCGTCTCTAAATTTTGTTGGTCGTACAGGTTCTCGACACCCTCTCTGGCATGGAGGAAACTCCTACTTTCATATTGGTTCATGCTGAACTTCAGGGTGCTCATGAGGCCTCAGAACGCGTGAAAACACTTGGGGGACACACGCTATCTGTGACATCCGCTGCCAACAATGCCCCAGCAAGTCTCGCTGCTGCAGATGATGTCAACACCGCATACCTCCAACCCCTGAAAATTTTTGACACTGCCATCGAGAAGATTGCAGATGTAGGGGCCATTCTCCTTCGTTGGTAGCAAACTAATCGAGTTGTAGGTGCATCCATATGCAAAGATGGCATTGGGCATACTTTCTGTTGCAGCTAAAGTGCGTTCTATGTTGCTCAGAGATCTGCCTCCTCTCAGAAGCTATGGTTACATGCAGATTATTCTTGCTCAAGCGGAGCACGACGAATCAGTACATCGCCTTCTCCAGAAATTAGATGAAGTCTATGGTTTCATTGCTCAAGACGATAATCTTTCCAAGGTTAAATCAATGCATGATGTCATCGGAAAGATTGCTCAGCAGACTCTCGAATGTGCCCGTTTTATCAGGGAATACTCAGAGACAAAGAGCTTCTGTGAGTTGCGACTATCGTATTCATACATGACTCTTATACTTGCTATGATAATAGGGAAGAGAGTCAGTAAAAACATCGTTGCGGAAACGGATGATATCATCACACGGTACAGCAACGCCCTAGATGGGCTTATGCAGCAATTTCGGGATCAAGCTCATCAGGATGTAGCTATCTTTGTCCACTCTGCAGGTGAGGATTCCCACGTGCTTCTGATTCTAGATGTACTCATACCCTTACAGGTGAAACACTCGATCTCAGTGGCATGCTTTATGCAGGGGGCGCCAGATTAGATACTGCGAAGCAATGCCTATCAGGTACTCGCACGGACATTCTCTCCCAAATCACCGAGTGGATCAACAACAGCGGAGATTCTGTTCCGCGTGTAATGTGGCTATCTGGCCCTGCTGGCAAGGGTAAATCAGCCATCGCCCACACGATTGCCAACTGGTTCAAGGAAACGGGGGGCCTCGGCTCATGTTTTTGTTTTGATCGGCAAAGAGAAGCAGACCGTCGCCATGAAAAGATTTTCTCCACCGTCACGCACGACCTTGCTGATCATGATCCTGGGATGAAACGAGCGTTAGCGGACGCAGTCAAGGATGCAAACTCACTCAAGAACACGACAGACATCATCCAGCAGTGGTGCGAGCTTCTGATGAAACTGCTAAAGAAGTTCTCTGCATCAAGCGTAGGGCCCGTCTTGATTGTGATCGAAGCACTGGATGAGAGTGGTGGAGTGGAGACGCGACGCAACCTCCTCTGGATACTCACGGGTAGACTTCAGGACAAAGGACTCCCCCAAATCACCGAACTTCCTTCCAACTTCTGGATTCTCGTCACCTCTCGCCCACTTCATGATATCAAAAATGACTTTGAAGGTGCTGATCATATTCTACAGTTGTCCATGGACGATGTTCCATCAGAAGTCGTGCAGCACAACATTCACGCCTTCGTATCTGAGGAGCTTAAAGAGCTGTCAGAATTTCAGGACAGTCATCTTGCGACGCTCGCTGCAAAAGCTGATGGACTCTTTGAGTGGGCGCGTCTTGCGTGCGGATACATCAAGGAGCCCGAGCTCGGCTCATCCTCAATGGACTGTTTCAATGTTGTCGTGAACCACAATCCTGGGGAGCGGGAAAACTTGTTGTATGATGTGTACCGACTCATATTAACAGAAATCATGCCAAAGGATAAGAGTTCAATGACCTACAAGCAAGCAATAGCAAGATTTCATTCCATGATGGGACAAATACTTGCCACAGCCGAACCCCTCCCATTAGCTTCATTAAATGTTATGCGGACCCATTTTCCAGAGGACCACAACCACTACAAAGTAGATCTAGTGATCAAACGTATGGGAGCCCTCCTCAGCGGCACCACCGACTCATATTCCCCCATCCGACCCCTTCATGTGACATTTCAAGAATTCCTGACAGATGAATCATCCAGCGGAGACTTCTTCGTCGAAGTCACGAAGGCACAACAATGCGACCTTGCATTTGCGTCACTGCGAGTGATGGAACATGACCTTCACTTCAATATCTGTGATTTAAAGTTGTCGTACCTCCCTAATTCCCAAGACACAGGGCTACCTCAATGAGTCAAAACATCCATTCCCCCACATCTCTCCTATTCCTGTCAATTTTGGGCTACGCATGTATCAGCATCGAACTTCGACTCGGAGCTCGCCAACGCAATAAGATCATTCTTCAACGATGAGCGACTGCTCTTCTGGGTTGAGGCCCTCGGCCTTCTCAGTACATTCAGGGGCGCAATAACCGTGCTTCCACTAGTTGCCAAGTGGCTGAAGGTGAGCACATGCCTACCAGGCAGTGTCGGATAAACATCTTACAATCACCTGCAGGGCCATTCTGGATATGAAGATGTGCAGTCTACCACAATGGATGTGCAAAGATTCATTCAAGTCTTCGGGACCATGATTTTGCACAGCACGCCACACCTGTATTTATCCACGCTGCCATTCTCACCCATCAACTCCACTATCACTACCAATTTCACCGCGAGCTTTCCCAACAACCTTCGCGTGGCATCCGGACGGCATTTAAACTGGGGGGCTGCTCAGATCATGATCAACGCGCATGCTCACGTCTATTCAGTCATGTTCTCACCGGATGGTACTCGCATTGCGACTGGTTCTTTTGATAACACTGTGCAGCTGTGGGATGTAGCGATGGGACAGCCATTGGGTGATCCCTTGCAGGGGCACACTGGAGCCATTTTGTCAGTCTCGTTCTCACCGGATGGTACTCGCATTGCATCTGGTTCGGCAGATTAGTGCTGCCGTGGTCCGGTCCGGTCCGGTTCAGAGGGTCCTGGACGAGAACCGAGAACCGGACCATGGTTCGGTTCTGCAAAATCTTCGAACCCCGAACCGGACCACAGAGAACGGTTCTCTGTGGTCCGATTCGGTTTTTTTCTGGTCCGAACTCAAACCGAACCTGAAAATTTTCAGTGGCAAGCACGAAAAACAAAACATTGAAATACTAGTTTACACATTGAGTAGCTACTCTAATGACGACTCCATACCCCTCTGCCTCTGTAGCTGCTGAAGATGCTGACGTGGCCGGCGCTTCAGAAAAAATTGTGATGCTGGCGGCCGCAGGATTCTGCGAAAAGTGGAAAGCCCACATGATGAGAGCCATATTGATGAAGACTGACCAATTCGCGAGGACACACTCTGACATTTTCAAGTAAGGCGTAAGAAATGGTCGAGAGATGAACGATACTACTCACCGACGGCCAAAGCCAAAAGTGAAAAACCGGAGATCAACCGGAGATCATCGTGTGGGTCGCGTCCAGCGGGGTGAGAGACAATGGGTGAGAGACAGAGGGTGAGAGACAGTGGGCGAGTGAGACACGGCGAGCCAGCCAGCAAAAGCCAGCCAGCAAGAACAGCAAGCGAGTGAGAGGGGATGCAGTGAGGTGGCAGGCATCAACATAGGCGCAGGTGGCATGGTGTGTGATGGGTTGTGCGCTGGTAGTGATGGGTGCTGGCCCTCGAGGGAGCCATCAGCATTCAGAGCACAAATATGCACCTCTGCAGCATAGCGCAAGACACAATCCCTCCAAAATCCACCTTGACCACGCCTAACATATCCACCTCCAGTAAAAGGTAGTCTTGCACAGTGTTGTAGCCAGTCCTCAATGAATAGAACTTCCTGTTATAGAGGTGAGCGGGTGAGAGACTTGAGAGTTTAATTAGTTAGTGCTTACCGGTATACCTTCAAAAAGGCTAAATGTAGCTTGATTAATCAACAATGTGAATCCCGAAGACGACAGTCTGACGTCGAGGCAGGTGTTGTCGAAGTCGAAGTCGATAAGGGTTCGGAATGGTTCGGGAAGGCCGAACCAGAACTGGACCGTTTGGGAAGATCTAGAACCGAGAACCGTTTTCCGGTCCGGTTCTGGCTGGCGCAAGAACCATGGACCGAACCGCGGAGAACCGGACCAAAAGTCCGGTTCGAACCATGGTTCTGGACCGGACCGCGGCAGCACTACGGCGGATAACACTGTGCGGCTGTGGGATGTAGCGACTGGACAGCCATTGGGTGAGCCCTTGCAGGGCCATACTCTGCCCATTTGCTCAGTTTCGTTCTCACCGGATGGCACTCGCATCACATCTGGTTCAGGGGATGACACTGTGCGGATGTGGGATGCAGCAACGGGACAGCCATTGGGTGAGCCCTTGCAGGGGCACACTCTAACCGTTTTCTCAGTCTCGTTCTCATCGGACGGTACTCGCATCATGTCTGGTTCGCAGGATACGACTGTGCGGCTGTGGGATGCAACGACTGGACAGCCATTGGGTGAGCCCTTGCAGGGGCACACTGGAGCCATTTTGTCAGTCTCGTTCTCACCGGATGGTACTCGCATTGCATCTGGTTCGGCGGATAACACTATCCGGCTGTGGGATGCAGCATTTGGACAGACATGTCACGACAACACCGAGACAAATTCATTCTCATTCCCTTCGCATACAAGCTGCACAACCCCTCGCGCACGGCAGCATCCCATCATGTCGCCCATTACTTGGAACCATGGCTTCATTTCCTTCTCATCTGACTTCAAGTCCGAACGCGCGCTGTGCAACCCTGCTGACCTCATTGAGGGTATCTCTCATCATCATTCCAATTCGACCCCTCTTTCGCTGCAGGCTGATGGATGGGTGATGGGACCCAATCGTCGGCTCCTTTTCTGGATACCTCCCGCTTCCCAGCATGCACTTTGTACTCCTTGGAATTTATGGGTGATCCCAAGAGGTGCTGAGCTTGATTTAAGCCGCATGGCACATGGAACACGCTGGTCAAGCTGCCGAAATGCGTGAGTTCTTAGTCTTCACCGTCCGTCCTTGCATTTGCTAAATTCAATACATTTAGCCCCACTTCACGATGATGTTTTTGCGATAGTTGATTAATGGAAATATTAGATAGATATGAATCAAGCGTCAACTTTTACTTGTCGATCTTAATTGCCGCTCAATGTTGTTACTGTGATATGGCCAGACTAGGTTACGCTCTGTTCTGGCGCTTGGTTGTCGTTGTGTTCCGATATAATATAATTGATTCTATTAACATTGAGCATTTTACAACCTTGTCTTTTATGTGATACGTCACCAACGTATGCAGGAGTGATTGACTCATACTCACTTCCGAACTCTGGAATAGCTGGCGCCCAGGAACAATACTTGCCTGCCATTACTATTCATGAAGAAATAACACAAAAAATTACTCGAGTTCCTTCGATCAATCGGTCTCCGAAGAGTACCACAGCACATCAGTGTGTTGCATTGCTGAAATTCTTTGAGCGCACTGACAGTAGTATCGTCTACGCAGTACGGGACCATGCCGTTCATTACACTGGTGATTCAGGCATAGTCCCATAAACGTCGGACATTTAGTCCACACAAATCAAGTAACCATTTGATCAAATATTCTAGCGTACTGCGCATATATTTCACTGTTAAATTCATTGACGTTTTGCAAACGCGCAAAATGGAGGCCTTGCGTAGTGTGCAATACGCATCTTTACACATCTCATCCTTAGCTCGAGAGACGTCTGACAAATTCGACCAATGCACTATACGATGATATTAAATAAATGTATAAAATTTATTGAAAACGACTTACCGGACAGGACGCCCAGTCATTCCTTTCTCTTGATATGGTATTGGCCGCGTGAACTGAAATGAAATTATCAGCGAACGGAACTAAACAGAGGCAGTCATGATAAAGGGCGCGTTGCGAACTAAGCCATTGCTTAGATCGCACTTATGCTCATGGCAGACGTCCTGCATTTGATTTCATAAGCGGCAAATTCTGACCTCCATAGTTCCAGCAATGTCAAGGTGAGCCCATCGGACAGAGGGTTCTTGTCCATCCTTGGCCTCAATACCATCTACGAACGCCTTGAGGAACAGTGCAGCGGTACATGAGCCTGCTGGTTTCCCGCCAGTCTAAAAAAAACAGAAGACAATGTCAAGTTCGAGCAAAGCTAACGTGAAGAATAGGCGACCGACGTTGCACAAGTCAGCGTTAGAGGAATAGATTTGTGGTCCATAATCTTCGTCGAGGGGCATGCGCCAAAACCGGTCGTACTCGTTCTCTCCGGCAACACTCAATCGCTCCCAAAGGGCATCGGAGGTCTAATGCAAGAGTTTAGTTCACGGCGTGTCGGTGGGTAGTGATGAGATGACGAACCGTGAAAACACCGGTGTAGATCTCACCCAGCGCGACATCCATAGCCCTATTCAATAATGAATTCAAGCTGAGAAGTGTGGACAATCAATATATACCCGGTGAGAGTGGCAACGTCGATGATTGTGTGCGGCTTGAACTCAGTTGATGCGTAGTACAACGCATCTTTGAGAAAGTGAGTATTCATCACGACGTTAGTAGTTAGTAAGAGTGCTCACCAGCTAGAACAAGGCGACCTTCAGCATCCGTGTTGTCGACCTCGACGGATTTGCCGTTCATAGCGTATATTCTGACAAATGGTCAGCCCAAGACATGACGAATATCGTGCTCCAAGTCTTACACATCACCTGGCTTGGTAGCTTTGGGACCGGGCAAGTTCTCGCAAAGCGGAGTGACGGCGAAAACATTGATTCTGCAACAAGAATAAATAAAAGTGAGGGTAGATCGAAGAGGACATCAACATACGGGAGTTGGAGCTGAGCGATGGCGAGTAGAGACGATACGACTGTAGCTGCCCCACCTGCAATTCAAAGTTAGTGACCGCTCTCAAACTCAGTTCAATAGACTATACCCATATCGCCGCGCATCAGCTTCATGCCCTGTATCCAGTTAGGTACGGTGAGCGGAAGACCAACCAGTTGAAGAGCGATGGTCTTACTGCTGAAGGTTTCAAGCTGATTCCTCCACTGTCGAAAGTGATGCCCTTGCCCACGAAAGCAAGAGGTTGTGCGTCTTTTGAAGGGGCACCCTTGTAGTGGCTTTTGAAACCATCAAAGTGTAAACGATAGTGCAGAAAAAGAGGACAAGGTGTGCTTACATCTCGAGGAACTTCGCTGGCTGATCAGTCCCCTGAGTTACCGAGAGGAAAGTGCGCTACATGAGAGCACGTCAATATTGAACGTACATCGAGTGTAAAATATGTACCATGCCCTTTTCAGCCGCCCAAGCTGTCAAGACATTAGTACATATATTAGAACTTCAAAAACTAGAGAACATCTAACCTTCATCGCGAACAATAACCTCCACGTTGGGGATACCGCTAAATTCTGCTTGGACACGCTCGCAGAATGCCTTGCAACATAGTGATATGAATTCGATCCCTTGGAGAGCTCAAAGATGAACATACAGTAGGTGTCATCATATTCGCGGGCAGTTCCATTAACTAAGGAAGTCGGTTATATTCTCCCACATAGATCAAGAGGCCATCCAGTTCCATGAACTCACTGTTCTCGCAAGGTTCTGCGCATTCGCATAGACGACACCACGATCCCAGTCAGCAGAGTTGGTATTCGTTGATATTTTAAGCTTCTTCGGCACGCCCGCCGTTCCCCGTGGGTCGAACGCCGATGGAGGCGACGTTTTGAGCGAGAAGTTGTAAAGGGCAAGATGAGCAGCGACAGCTTTGAGAGGTACATAAGATGAGGCAAGGTATAGATCAGACTATATCTTACCAGCAGCGTGAGGATCTGTTGATGCATCGATAACAGCCTCAGAAACGCCATCACCGAGTCCTTTGACACTCTTTACACCACTGCCAATGGCCTTGCGGACAACTTCTCGTCTTACATCACCAGTTTTGGAGTCAAACCCCTCACCAAGTGACACAAGTGCAGTTACATCGAACGCGGGAGTCCCATAGAAGAGATGGGACGTGCCAACCTTGGCAGGTTTCTGCGTCTGAGGAAGTGAAGACCACAAGGATGCTGGGTTGACACCTGGAGCAGCATTTCCTGCAGGATTCTTTGGGTCAATGGGAACAACGTATGCTTTTGACGACATCGTTCGCAGTAGGACTGATGATCGATGAACTGCTCTTCTGGTGAGCAAGTGCAATGTCATGTGTCTATATAGACTCAGTGCGTCGGGACTCGGAGCCCGGCGGAAGACTTTAAATTAGAAAGGCCCATACACGTGCACAATGCACATGACAAAGCGGGACTCCACCGAAAGACTGTCCAGTGGCTTCGTTGTCAGTGGATCAAGCTATGTAGTTTCCACAACACTGAAAATTCCTTATAAGCGCTAGCTCCCTTGATGTTCTCTTCCAACTTCACCTATACTTGTGACTTTGATCCCTTGAATGTCTCCCGCTGCTGATATAGATACTCATACTGGAGGCGCAAACTACGACAAACCTGCTGAAACAGCGATTGGCAAGTCCTCCACAACGTCAGACAGTAGTCTGCGTGCGAAGGGTACTACTCTACGACGCTTCAAGAAGGAGGATGGCGTGATCTACCACATTCCGTCAAGCCCAGACCTAGCAAGCCTTTTCGCATTAGACGAGAGCAAACCCATCTTGGTTATCCCCCCTACTCTCAACAGGAAGTCGTCTTCCCCGTCGATTGCCATAATCCGTCCCCTCCGAGCCGTTCGTCGACTCCTACGCAGGTCAGAGACAGTGGCTTCTCCCAAGACAACTTGTGCGCATGCAGTCAAGAGCTCCACACCATCTGCGGCCAAGTCACCTTCAAAAAATTCAGGCGCTCACAGACTCCAACGATCAGCATCTTCGAATGGTCCTAAAACGGACATCGCAAGCATTACTTCACGCGTTCTCCAGCATCTCGCTATCCCTCAAGTTCCCTTTGATATCGACGGTGTTGGAAGGCCAAAGCCCATTTCACAAACTACGGTCGACGATACGCCGGGGAAATATGCCTTAGAAGACCTCAACTTAAACGTTCGTTGCTACGAACGCCACGTCACGACATGGGACGCCCCCGACTAGTAAGTTGAACAACTACATGTTAGCGTTCCTGCGCTCAGTATTTTACGAACGCATAGCGCGTTCTTCATCTTCCCAGCGAAACTGATAATTGCATATCCCTCCACAAATAATTTCGACCCTCTGGTTATTTCGGACGTCACGATCGTCGATCTCGTCTGCACTACGGTCGCGATAAATGGCCACTACAAGTCCCACCCACAAATTGCGCTCAAGACGTTTTATGATGGCGCAACGATACGCTACGTGAACCATGCGCCTACCCCCGATTTGTCTCGAGGCATTCATATTGGAAATGTTCCTTGGTGTTCTACCATGGACCGGGCTGGTAATTTCGGCTGGCACTTGCGCTTCTGGATCCCAATCCCGTTCGTACTTTTTCAACGAGCGGAGACGAGGACTTTCAAGATAGATGCCAAGGTACGCGTCAATGGAGAAGATGGTAAAGAAGTGGTTTTAAACGCTTCGAGTTATTTTACGTTGTCGAGGTTGCGGAGTGGCTTGGCGATGTAAATGTAAAATCATACGAATGTCACCTTGTGCAAGTATATACTGATACCCATAAAAATTGATACTGGACTCTTGGCAAGTGACGGAGTGTGTCTGAATATCGTTGCCTACCCTTACGAAGTATCATGGCTAGTGTCAATAGATCTGGCTTCCCTTTCAGCTTACATAAATATGATAACGAGTCTTCATGGAATAAAGGATCAAGCGGACTTCAAAACCACTTTTATCATCAACCAGCTCGAAAGCCACGAATGCTCATCACACACAGGGCTGCTTCGCGCATCCAAATTCCTGAGCGGGCTAAGGTCTGAGTATTCTAATCCTCCTCGATTGGCTCTAGCAGAGCCCAGCTGTAATCAGCTGCGCGACGTACCAGAAAAGCAGCTCCATTTTTCATATCCCCAAGATCCTGTGTACAGCAGAGGAGGGCGAGAATGAAAGCTTTGAAAGGCGTTGCGGGGATCGGGCGAACTCATTCATCGTTGATGGATGTTCAGTCAGTCGTCGCTATCGCGCCTTCGCCTGTCAAGAAGGCGTTGACAGAAGCCTATCGGGCGCCTGCGCCTGATCATCGACCTACCTGGGGTCACCTTTTCTGGCGAACGTTAACGTTTGCCAATCTTCACTGCCTGTACAGGCTGTACTGGAGACTCCAACTCCTTGCGTATGAGGTGTGACTGATTGTATTTGGCGATGGGATTGGTTCGTCCTTGAGTTCACTTCGTGGCTCGCGTATCCTTCGTGGATCGTGAAACTCGATTCAGACTACTCTCGAACTGGTTCATGTTCGAATTTTTTTTACTTGCTCCTTTGTGGAGCGTCTCTCTTTGTGAGGATGATCGGTATTATCGGATGTTGGTCAAGGATTGATAGTTAAACCATACTTTTCAAAATATATGTATTAACCCATGTCACAAGTTGATGTGCACGTTAGACGCAAAATGAATTAAAATGCTCAAATAACATGATGCTCGAGGTAAAAAAAAAACTACTCGAAATCAAGTACTTCGAAGCCCTGCAGAAGCTCATGCTGGACGAAGCTTTGTCCACCTGCATTCGGCATCCTAATTGTGTTCATGACTTCGAAGGACAGCAACGTCACCCTATTTACTTCCATGGTCATATCAGTCGAACGGAACTTCTCCTCAGTGGTCGTCTCAAGATACGGGAGACCAGATCCAAGTGGCTCCAAGAACAGATTCGAATTGGGCAAGATCTCGCCACCTTCGACAAGCCGTTGATTCCATTTTGTTCCATTCCCAGCCTTGAAGTCCACCACTCGATGAGGGTTAAAGTCGCGGATGCATAGCGGTCTCTTCGAGTTCTGGTTGCCGACCAAAGATGCACTCCGGAAGCCAATGACGGAGTGTTTGCAAGGATCGAATGAGCTCTCCTCGAACGTCCGAGTGTGATTTGGGCCCCAGCTGGACCAAGGCAGATTGGGGGAGTCTTCAGTTGCTTTGCCGTAGCAGCTCACGTAGGTGGACTCGAGTTTTAAGAGGGTATTGCGCTCGACATAAGACGTAAAGCAGGGATTTTTAGTGAAGGACCCCCCTGAAATGTCCATACTGAGAGCGATCATTTGGTTGTGCGCGCAGGCGTGGGATGGAATGGGGCTGAAGCCGATGCATGCGTATTCAAAAGGACTGTGCAAGGCAGGGAGTGAGAATTTAGCGGTGAGCTGGAGGACACTGGGGGCATGAACGAGTGAATACAACAATAGTTCCCTCGCGTTAACGACGAGAATTCTTTCGTTTGTCAGGAAACTGAAATTCATCGTCTTGCAAGCTGGATCAAAAACTTCGAGGCACTACAAGTCCGGATCATTCATCAGTCATAAAAACGATGCCAGAGGATTCACTGACCTGAAAAGTGTCCTTCGATTTCCAGTTCCAAATTTGCAAATAGTCGGCCACTCCGCCATTTGCTTTGTTAACGTTCCTGAACAAAACACCGTAATAGTCCCCGAAAATTGAGGATCTCAGAGTATAGGGGTCGAGTAACTCCAAGTCGACCTCGTTGTCGAGTGCTTTCACAGAAGGGAATGCGGCTTCACGATGGACTTTGTCTTCTGAGAGCGATCTGAAAATGACATCATACGCATGGCTCTCCCTTGATGACCGTTGTTAATATGGCCTGCCTGAGATGCGACTTAAAGGAACCACTCACCCTGAGGGTGCTCCGAAAACTAGAGCCACGAGATCCCCTGCGACAGAGAAGTTGTAATGCACAAGTCGTAGCGCGGCCGCGCTGTCCAATTGGCAGCTCCATTGACGCAAGTTCATGGTATTGGAGTGAAGCTGGGGTTGGAAAAACATGATTTGTTGTAGGGATTCCACTGGGAATCCCAAAACGCCGCACGACCATTTGTGCATGCTTGGAGGGTGTGGAATAGCGATGGGATTTCTTTTGGAGTATTCGGCTTTCTGCCACGCGGATTCGCTTTGTAGAAGCGACTTGCGAAGTGTTGGGATGGAATAGTCCGAGCCAGGGATTGAAGGCACCGGAATCGCATTGAAGTATTCGAGGTCCATCGAATACAGCAGCTCCGAGGAAGAGTCGATCGCTTGTCGAATATCGTTGCATACCTGAAGAGATTGATTTAGTAATTCTGACACAGACTTGAAAAGTTTCGTACTTACTCGACGTGCTCGTACTAGATCGTGGACATCTAGATGGCTGAGGATGTCTAGGATGATTTCTATGGGGAAATCTAAGAGTCTTGTGGCGATATGATGAACTTGGTTCATTGTTGGCGATTTGGAAATTGGCACTACGAGGAACTTGGAGGTGAGAATCATTTGCGATTGACAGAAGATGTCAGACAAACCTTGCTGGCTTGAAAGTTTCGGCGACAATCGCAAATGAATTCTTGTAGTAGGCAAAGCTCAAGCAAGGCTCCATTTTATATGTGAACGCGGATAACCGTTTAGTTGATCCGAAGTTCGGTACATAACGCCACAGGGACTAATATCACGTGAACATAGTTTGGGTATGACGTAGTCTTTCAAATTTCAATTTCAACCATACCCATGCAACGCACTCGCTAGACACCCCAATCATCGACATCCTACAACATTTCCAACTAAGTCACCTTCAAGCTTCAAGCTTGGAGGTCATCTGCTCAAAATGGCATTACATCACCCACTCGCGATCCCAAAAATGTCGAAATCCTAGAGCCCCACTTGGTCAACGAGACGTCTAGAAAGTATCCCTCGCCATTGGAAAATCTCTCCACGAAAGTCGGGCAGAACGAGCGCCATGTCACGACATGGAATGAGCCCTACCAGTGAGTCAACTATAGATGTCAGTTGTACCCGTTCTCATTCAAATCTGTAGTGCTAGTACAGAATGCATTAATGAGGTTCTGCCGTCGGCACAGACCGGCTTATTTTATCTGTTTGTTTGCTTCCTTTAGCAGTACTATGTTCACGCGTTCACGCGCACATATAATTAATCATGTCCTCTGGATACTGGAGAAGCAATAGAGAAAAACCGGTATTTCGCGATGTAGCCTTGAACTCTTGCACTGACCACATTCAATTTTGTAGCGAATCGCTGCGTCCGGTCAGCTAGCAATAAGAACTGGTGTTGGACTCGCGTCTGGCCTTTGCTGGTGTCCTTTCAGGTCTTTAATAGCGTGGTTGACGCGTTGATGAATGATCAGCAGGAGCAACCTGGAGCCGTCTTGTCAACCGTGACTATCCAGGTTGCGGGAAGTTGTATATCATGATCCTTATTCCGGGCCCCAAGACTTGCCGTCCCTAAGGCTACAATAACCGACACTCGCACATATAATACGCTCCTCATTTTCCACCAAGACACAGCTTAGCTTTAACTTGCAGGATGATGTTCTCGAGGATGCTACTCTCATTCTCTGGTCCTCTCGCATATGCTGCCATTGCAGTCGCATGGTCGACGTTCGCTGTCCCACACACCAAAGATGGAGATGACACGCTTGCTCTGATGGCAGCAATTTCTGACTACACATCTGACGCGTCAATTGTGTTCGAGGCTGACACAACCTACAACATATGGTCCCCAATCACGTTTCCGCATTTCACAAATGTCGAGGTGGTGATTAGCGGGAATTTAACATATCCGACGAGCATCAAAACTGTGCAAGGGCATGTTGCTACCGCTGTGAGTGCCGATCAATCACTGAATTATATGTATCCGATATCTGATACGAAGGCTTCCAGAATTACGCTGGTGCATGGTACAGGCCAACATATTTTAACGTCTTATAGCTCACAATTTCATCAGGTTCTCGTTCACTGGAGGACATAACGTCACGCTCCGCGGTAATACTGATCCTGACTGGGGTTGGGTTGATGGACATGGCCAACAGGTAATAGTTATATGCTCCAATTCTTTGATTGCGCTGAAACGAATGGTTCAGTGGTGGGATATCATGCAACAGACCGACCGACCTTCCGGTTGGCTGTTTAAAAACGTCACAAATGGGATCATCAGAGATATGAAGATATACAAGGTCTTATGTTGATACGCATGTTTGAGAGCGTCTTGGCTGAATTTCAATCGTCTCTTGCAGCCTATCGCATGGAATTTTGGCACTATAGGATCAAGCAATATGCACATCTTCAACAATATCATCTTGGCTAATTCTGAAAGTGCCGTAAGTTTGATGATGCGTCGCTAATGCATTACACTGTGACTTACACTTGTGAATAGTCGTTTCCATTCAATACGTGCGTTATTGAGCTCCTGATTTGATTGGTGTTTAGCTGAACATATGCAGTGATGGATTTTCAGCTGGAGGCAGCAATTTTCTTTTCGAAAACAACCATGTCGTCAATGGAGATGATTGTTTGGCTGTTGGTAGCGGCGCCAAGAACGTCACTTGGAGGTTTGTCAACTTCCGCTAACGCAATGAACGAGCTTATGTTTGGCCATAGAGATGGCTACTGCGAGGGATCGCACGGTCTGTCAGTCGGTTCACTTGGCGCGGGTGGCCAAGTGGCATCCGTAGAGAATGTATTATTTGAGAGCACGATTATGGCGAGTTTTCTCGCCGATGAAGTCTCCTTGCCTGACACCCTATATCGTCATCTACTAGAACCGCACTCTTTATGCAGCTCGTTTCAAGAGCTGGACTGGCGGAAATGGTGCTGCCGTTAAGTTCGTATTTTTTGATGTTTTCGACAAATTGTGTACTGAAGATGTGTTGTTTTAGTATAACATGGAAAAATATCACATTTATCGATGTGATGCTCCCTATTTTCGTGACCCAAAAGTATGTCTTTGCCTTTCCGTGTGCTCCTTTTATAATTGTGCTACTCTCCTTAAAGCTACCAGGAGCAAAGCGTAGGCTTGATGTTGCATGTATCAACATATCTATTTTAACTGAACGTATAACAGGGCGGCCCTTATCCGAGCTCCTCGTCCGTCAACGAGACTCGCATTGAAAACTTCCTATTCGATAACTTTGTCGGCGTTATCAACGAGTAGGTTATCGTTATCACTTCCTTCTGTCATCTATTCACCCTAATCTCTAGTACGCCCGGATACGTGGAAGGCTCATGTATTACCGAACCTTGCTGGTAATAACTTTTTCCTTTTCCGAAGCATGTACTAAAAAGTCATCAGGTACCACGTATCTGGTGCAACAGGCAAGGAAGGCGTCATTTTTGACTTGTACCCCAAGACCGGTTCGTCCCCGAGTTTCGTTGCCAAATACCACTGTAACTTGATTTCGTAGCGACCAACATTGTCGTGAAGAACCTTGTTGCGCACACACTTAGTGGTGCCCCTGTTGCTGCGATGTGCAATTCCTCCACGGTATGCGCTGTCTTGGAGTGAGTGGTTACGCGAGTATGCTGACAACGGTTGATACAGATCTCGAGTGATGTTGGATTTGTGTGCTCGGATGGACCATATGTTCCCACACAGGCTGGCTTGTAACATGTGATGCGCATGAGTTCTTTAGACTTGAGATCTAGTCAAAAGACTCTCGAATTCATTGACTTCGCGGTTAGCTTTATCATCCAGGTTGTGAAAGCCGTTGCAACTCGTCATATGTGAAATGTTCGTGAGTAGCGCGCGCTATAATTATCGCAATACAAATTGACGTCAACACCAAGCCATCAAGATGTTTCCGTGAGTGCGGTAGAAGCACATGTATTACATATCGCTTTACAACAATTTTATCTACCCAAACTGCGGGACGCAGCCCGTCCAGTCCAATACATAATATCAAAAATGAAGGAGACGAATGGCTGACAAGGGTTGGGGGCGTTCAATCGTACACACTACGCGCAAGGGCCTATCATATAGAAATCACAGGCAAACAACAAAGTAAAGGAGGAGACATGTAATCATGAAACAGTCGAAGGGTAATTAAGACCTCTCGCCTCTCAGACGGCGAGCAAGAGCAAGATCTTTGGGTTGGATAGTCACACCTGGTAAATTGGAGTGAGTCAGCATTGTGGAGCACGGGAGAGTGCATGACTCACGCTTAGCGTGGATGGCAGCCAAGTTAGTGTCTTCAAAGAGTGACACAAGGTAGGCCTCAGCGGCTTCCTGAAGAGCCATAACAGCAGAGGATTGGAAGCGCAAGTCAGTCTGGTGGAAAATAGGCACGTTAGTCACCTCAAGTTCATTCAGATAGTGTCATGGGGACATACCTTGAAGTCCTGCGCAATTTCACGAACGAGCCTCTGGAATGGGAGCTTCCTAATCAGAAGCTCGGTAGACTTCTGGTACCTTCTGATTTCACGGAGGGCAACAGTACCAGGGCGGAAACGATGGGGCTTCTTTACACCACCAGTGGCGGCCTGTATCATATAACACGGTATTGAGCATTTAAGACGCGAAATGATGGAAAACAGTGACATACGGCAGCAGCAGTCTTCCTAGCAGCCTTGGTTGCGAGTTGTTTACGAGGGGCCTTGCCTATAGGATAGAAATGGCGTTACAACGTGGATAAAAACGAGCAGCGATAAGGTCGCACCTCCAGTGGACTTGCGAGCGGTTTGCTGGATAAAGGGTAAATATAGTGTACTGTAAGGCAAAGTTCTACAAACACACCTTAGTACGAGCCATTACTATGGTCTATAGTCAGGAGGTAAAAGTGTTGGTTGATGGCGAAATGACGGTGATGGAGGTTGCGGACGAAGACACGAGCAAAGGGAAGGTCATTTGTTGAATGGCTTCTGCGCCATTCCCACGCCTCTCAGCTTTTCAAATTCCGCCGGGAAATCTTGTGCAGTGCACTGACCGCATCGACATAGCAAGTTACATCGAAGTATGTATTTGAAGACTTCGACCTTTTAAAAGTTCAAGCATGCAGTGCTTCTAAATACTAAGTCCTTCTTCCTTCACATCATCATCTTTTAATCCACTTGGTCGTTCTGCCGCTACGTCCCCGGAAAAGGCGATGCATCGTTTGTGTCAATTGCAAGTATGTGGCACATACCTATTGTGAATGGTAGAATGATCCCCAGGCCTTAGTCTTTCCCAGTAAGTAAGTGGAATATAAATACTCCAGTTTTCTGATGTGCTTCCGAGGCGTAGAAGTAAGATCCGGGCAATATTAAAGAAAGGCTTAGAAAGCCCTAGTCGCCTTTGAACCTTGTCTGCAAGGGGACAGATGGGCATACAGCAAGACTGCCAGCTTCCTGTGTCTTTATGTCTCCCCCACCGGATCACTGAAATTACACGCGCAGGAGAGGCCCGGCGGTTGAGGACACCGTTCCGAAAATTCCTACCCACGAATTTCTATTTTCCTCTCTCCCGGTGTCCAGATGTATCTATTCTTGTACCCTTGCATTGAATAGCGATTTTTACTCCGATGTTGCGGTCCGACTTTTTCCACAGGTATGCGAGAATTACTCGCCTGATGGTTGTCTTCCGTCCAGGCGCAGCCGGGTAAGCACGCATTCTATTTTCCGCGTCAAACGGCGATATCGTCCGAGTCGTATCACCGCAGGATAAAATAGCATCCTCATATATTTTTATTCGGCCATTGCTCTCAATAGATATCTGCGCCATGGAGAAATGTTTTAAGATACTACAGTAAGTTCATTACTTTGTTCTGATATTCGTTGGTATGTTCGCTTTGGTTTCTTATTCAAAATTCATTTCATTTCCGTCCATTGGACGTAGGACAATACATGCGAAGTCTTAAGAGACCCCCTTTATCCCTGGAGCCGCGGATGCCCTGGTGTAAGGTGCGCCCCACCAGTCCGCCACGTTTGCGTTTGAAATCAGGGTACAATCACATGTATCGACTACATGGTATTTTTACAAAGTTGAGGGTATCGATTCCAGTGTGTAAACGGCAAAAGGTATAAATGTGTGATCAAAAGCCCCCTAGGCAGCTATTGTAGTCCAGAGAAATCGGTGCAAACCCCACACAGTCGCCACCGAAATGATCCGGCCCCTTTCTATTCGAACTTCTCTTCATCCTCCGCTTTTCCTTCGCCTGCGAAAGATGCTGCGAAGATGTAAATGTGGGATCAATCTCATCTTGTGTATGTCGTGTAAAGGGTATCTTCGGGTCCGCAGCCGTGAAACGGACAGGTATTCGGCTTAACATAGTATCAGGTGGTGATATCACCAAGCTGTCAGGTTCATAAGACACTGACGAGATGATGTCAGGGGTAAGCAAAGGAGAGCGCGGGATATAGACGGGTGTGACCTGATGGCTCTGGGGCACACGCCTCGTAGGCACGAGGGTGAAAATAGCTTCCTTTTATCTCCGCTACTTGATATGACCGACTGTCATCGCTGCAGACAAATTCCCGCTCATGACGCCCAGGGAGCGCACAGTGATTGGGAGAGACTGAGACAGGCGAGCGGTCATACGTAGCTGATGAGTGGGCAGCATACGTAGAAGTAAGAGTTGGCGTTGGTGGGAAGTGAACACGACGGGGTGGGGAAGCCGTCGGATGTGCAGAGAACGGAAACTGTGGACATTGTTTAAGGATCGGTCTCGGCGACATTGAACCCAAGGTGATGTGTAGGATTGGGTAGATAGAAGGGACCTGACGAAGAGCCCAGAGGCTCAAAGCAAGTTAACAGGACTCGGAGAGGAAAGGAAAGTTGATGGTGTATTAGTGCATCACAGCAGCGGAATATATATTGTAGGCTCGGGTGGAACGAATTCCCGGGTCATAAAGTAGCAACAAGGCCAACTCCGACTGGTGGAGCTGGCTTGCCTACAAAAGCGGAACGCTGAGCTTGTGACTAAAATGGGATTCCTCAGTTAGCCTCTTTTGTGGGGAAAGTAAGATGAACCTTATTATTGGATGTTTCACATTAAATCAATGCTCAGAAGGCCTGTTGCTACGAGCACATTGTAAGGAACCATTATTTGCGACAAATCATTAGTAACCCGGCGAACATATGTACTGAATAACCCGCAGTCATGATCTAGACGATGTGCTCGTTAGAACGAGGTTCAAATGGCGGAAAAGACTCACCTTGAGAAGCGCCAAGAAATCCCAGACTGTCTGCTCAGTTCAGCTTAGTATACATCGAATGTTGACTTCTCATGGTGGAAGATTATGATAAGCGCATCTCAGTGGTTCGCTGATCTCGCTATTTCAGATCCAGTGCTAAGGCCTAGCCGCCCCCGGGCCGGCAGCTGGCGACGTGGTACGATGTCCAACTTCGACTCCAACTGCTTATTGACCTGTAGTTCAGCTTGAACTTATCGATCTGATCAGTGATTCAACAGAGAAGTCGGAGAGCCGGTACGAACGTGCTTGGTATTATAGACTAGTCAGATATAGCTAATTCAGGAAAAGTGAAGTGTGCTGTCGTTTCTACATATGTGCAAACCTTGAGAAGATCCAGATTATGTTACTGTGTGCATAAAATCCCATAGATGTATGTAGTGGGCATGCCTGTGTCCGACAATGACCACACCTTGCGCCAACACTCTCAAGTTGACCAAGGGTTGGCCAGATAATTGGGAGTTTTCTTCGGGTCAACAATACTCCATGGATCTCGCCCTATACCCTGCGAAGTTATCGTCCCATCTGTTCCACCAAATGAAAGCGATGCTGAGGGACCAGCTGCTGGAGGTAGGTCATTCGTCGATCGACTGGAATTTTGAAACGAGACCGCGCCAGTCGCAAAGGGATTTCCAAATGGAGAAGTTTTCTCTGGTAACGGAGGAGACCATATTGATGTCTCATTTCTACCAAAAGATATCTGAGGAATAGTGTTATGGGGAGAGGTGGCTGAAGAAAGGGAGCTCAGGTGATCTGGGGATCTAGGGCGGTCATCTACAATTGGTTGACCATCATCGACGTCATCGCCAGAATCAGGCACATTGTGGAGTGACGTGGCAAACGTAGCGCTTAAACCAGCGCTCGAGTATGTGTCAGCCACAGATAAACCCGGAGGGTTGGCAACGTCTGTAGGCGTAATTGTGTAGGCAGGTGGAGATTCTGATATGCCTAGGGATGAGCGAATTTGGGAAGGCTGAGGAACCTGCATATCCTCCGGGTTCTTCTCCGATTGTCCTATCATATCTTTGATGGCCTTTAGATCGAAGCCTGCATGAACAGGGATGTCAGTAGAAGAACTCGGTAATTGACCATCGGAAGGCTGTGTTGAATGAGGGTTATTCTGAGGCGGGGGAGTCCCCGTGAACTCCCGAGGTGGTTCATTGTCATCATCAGTTGGTTTCCCTAGTGAAGAGGGCTTCCGCCTCGATGAGGCAAAAGAAGCTGTCGAGGGTGGCCTCGATACTGGTGTGGGTGACGCTGACGGTTTCTTCTTTCTAGAAAACCACTTCTTTTTCTGCGTATGGTCCCCTTCTCTCACAACAACCCTCTCCTCATTGAATTCGGGTTCCTATAAATAATAATTAGGAAAGAGCCGGCCCGACAAAATGAGACACGTACAACGGGCTCATCAAAATAATCACACGAAACAGGGAAGCCAAGCTGGTCTAATATGAGCGGCATGAATGCGCGATAGCTCATATGCCCCGAAATCTTATCCGTAACGTCAACATTCTCTAAACCTGGCACATTCTCAATTGGCCGCAAGCCTGCAACCGTATTTAAACCACCACTGGTTGCACGAAAGAGGTAGTTAAGGACCCAATCGTGTCTCGCAAATCCGTTAACAAAGCGCCCCGAAACGACGCTGCGGGCATTGCACCACGTGCTTGTTGATGCCGTTAACGTGGCTCCGAGGAGAAAAACGTCTTGCACGATGCCAAAAGCTTTTGCCTTGGCGAGATCGAGGAGGGCATAGAAAATGACACGTGCGCCAAGAGAGAACCCGATAAGTGTAATAGGTCGAACGCCGAGATGACGGTGAATAAGGAGCTGCGCAAGAACACTGCCAGCTGCCCGGGCACGGTCGAGCGCATTATTCCAAGGATTATCAATCAGGTAACCAAGTTTTGTGAGAACTGATGAAGTGCTGGTGAGCTCATCTCTTTAGCAAATGCAAATCGACATCACGCCTACTGATTGGCCACTGGAGTCCGCTCATGAGGGCAGTCATCACCGTGTGTTGGAGTACAGTCTGAACTGTTTGTGACAGAATCTCCCCAGTAAGAATCTTTAGCGCACTACCGGTTTCTTGAATCATCTCGGGCTCCCAAAGTATACTAAATACATCGCCCACGATGGGATCCAAAACACTGAAAGGTAGGCGGACGTCATCAAGCTTGCCAGTCATGAATCTACATCACAAAGTTTGAGGTAGTCAATATACCAACATTTGACGATGGACGCACCCAGGAACGGTCAGGATGCAGCTGACACGCTTGTTGTTATGCAGCGGTAGCACATCAAATGTTCGTACTTGTTGGGTGCGTCGGGCCATTCCTTGAACAGCGATCCCAGAGCCAGTCAAAATTCCTCCAGTTGTGATCACAGCGGCCCCACCGGCCCCAGCGAGAAATCCTGTTGTCCCAGATATGCCGACAGCGGTAAAGGCTGCACCCAGTCCAGCACCAATGACAGGCGCAAGAAGTCCAGCAGAAAGTCCGATAACCAGACCACCACCTGTGTTCAAATACGTGTTAAATTCATTAGCACTCGTTCCACATCTCGATTGGAATAAATGAGATCACCAAGTGTAGCCAGACCCATCATCATATACCGCTTCTTTCGCGCAGCCTTTGATGATCCCTCAATAATCTCCTGATTCTCCATCTTCTCGACGCCTTCTTGAATCTCAAGCGCCTCTGTCACGCGAGCCTCAAACTTTACTACATCCAACCAGCCAAGTCCGAGTTTGAAAGCAACACTCTCCAGTAATACACGTGATCTTGCGTCGTAGACACTGTCCGCAATAAGCATAAGGAACAGGTCGCACAGTACGGTCCACCGAATATCAAGTGTAACGTCTTTTTCAACGGATGAAAGCGTCGTAGTGACTCCCATCGATGCAGAATCAACAGCAGTGCCCTTAAGAACTTTGGCCGTAGTCTGAAAGCTCATCTGAGTGATCGAAGAAGGAGATGTTGGTGTCTGAGGAGGACTACGACCGTCCGAGACCAGGCAGGAAGGTCGAAGTTTGTCGTCTTTGGAGTTCCGCCTGCTCGTTGTATCTTTCCTGGATCCTCGGGTTTCAGCCTGCCGCAGTGCTTCAGCAGGGTCGTATTCGGGGTTGGCAACGGTATGGGTTGTCATTAGCGATGGTACAAGATCTATCGCTTGCACACCATGCACAGCTAGGCTGTCTATCATCTTCTGCTCTGATATAGCGTTTGAGCATATATGATCCCGCCTGTTCGACTGAAAAGATGCGCAAGTTTACCTGCAGTTTCAAGTTCCATGTGGTAATAAAGCCGGCCCATGATCTTCATCGCCCACAGCTCCATATGTTGGAAAGATGCTTTGAGCTCCTTTCTATTAGAAGTCTTGTACTTCTGTACCATTTCTTTCACCGTGAGGGCGCAGACACCAACGTAGGCAATGCGCTGTGCTTCGGTTAACATATTCTTGGTCGCTTGCATCTGGCTGAGCGGGGTCATAGCCTTGTCTTCATCAAACAGGTATCGTGTGCGCAGGTGAACCTCATCCGCCTCATCTTCTTCGTTGACCCGCAGTCTGGTATATTCATTCTCATTCTGTTCTGTCTTGGAACGCCATTCGACACCCTCCTCGTCGAAATAGATGAGATTGCCTGTTGCATTTCCAGCTGTTGATGCAGATTGCGACGGTTTCTTTGATGAGGGCATGTAGTGATATTTCTTCTGATCTTCTTCGTCAAGACCGCCTCCGAAGTCATCCTCTTTGATGACTGGCATTTCCTGCCATCCTTCGTCGTCATCGTCAAAGGAAAATGGGTTTGTCGGGTGAGTGGCTTCCACTGGCATTTCTGAAGGATATGGAGGGTTTCGAATGGCTCAGATCAAATACATCGAGCTGGGAAATCAACGGAAAGTGGTGGACCTGTCATACTTAGTTCCCTCTCTAAAGATGGAGCCTTGATTTACTTCCCACGCTCTACATCAAGTTTGAAGGGCAGACATGAGTTTCTCCCTAGCTTTCGACGCGTCCCCTTTCGTGTTTGGATGATGAGCCAGGAGCACACATCACTATCTGACGAAACATCAGATCTCAGATCATAAGGATCCCGAGCAAATTCCGCATAGATATCGTATCGTTACGGTCGACGTAAGCAGACAATTACAGCAGCGTACAACATACTTTTTCCAACACACGCTTACGATCGATTTCTCACTGCTTTGTTCGTGCCTCTTCTCTCTTAGCTGCGCGCTCCTTCATGTCCGCATGCTTAAGGGCTGCTTTGACTTGTCGTTGCCTCTTGCGTCGACCATTCCCTCGCTTAGGTCCATCGATAACAACCGGGTCTGCCATGCGCTGCTTCCTCTTTGCGAATTGTTCGGCGCGTTGCTTTTCACGTTTTTTGTCGCGCTTGCGAAGGGTGGTCATGGATGATTTGAGCAGAGCGCCGTAAGCAGAATGGAATTTATCGAGGTCTACTGATAAAATCTGTAGGGTGGTATATCATGAGCATAACGAAGCCGTGCAAAAGATCTGTTATGTACCTTGGTGGAGAATTTCGCCTTCTTGCCATCAGTGACACGAACGATACAAGGATATTCTCTGCTCCCATCGCTCCCGTCTTCTTCTTTCATTACGGTGTCATCACCATCATGAGTTACTACATATAATCAGAAAGTATTAAGTCAAAATAACAAAGCGATCGATCAAGACGCACATCGCTTGTAAGTGAGCCATATCGTGCCCTTGTCTTTGGTCGATTCGAAGAGAGCGCCCAGCTGCTGGAGAAACTAGATACTGCTTGAACGATCACACTAATAACTGTAAAGGTAGAGGGACGCACTGTGTTATTATCAACGAGCTGCATGGGCCTGATGCAGCGTGCGCGTGAGCGTTGAGAACATGTTCGTTAAGTCAGGAAACGTGTGGGGTTACAATATCCAAACAAGGGCAAAGAGGGGGGTTTCAATCCTGGCAACCGCCTCGCTGCTTGAGACAACTTGAACTCGCGATCACACCTCTATTTTCGCGTCTTTTATAGTTCTATATTCGATTGCATGCAACATTTCCAAGGAAAATATTCAACGTACAGTTTTGAGGGTACGCTACTGCCATGCTCATAGACCCTCAGAGTAATGTTTCCGCCTGGAGCTCGAGTTCTTCCGTCCATAGGTTTACCAAACGCCTTGGAATTTGGACACGATGGGGAAATCCTCCAGCTTTATGAGGTCGAATAGCTGCAGGACAGCCAATGGTGTGTGGGGAGTTTCTCAAGCACCATGAATGACGCAGCGTTCGATGTTTTTCTTGCACAAAAACTATCTTGGTGCATGGTTAGGATTTTTCCTAGGCCACCGACTCTAGAGATGCACCTGCAGGATAAAGTATGAGCGGCATGGAAAAGTACGCGATATAACGGTAGCAAATTGGAGCCTGCGGATTGACTTGTCTGGGATCCGTATTATGATGTGTCGACCGCTAAGACTTGAACGTTTTGAACGTTCCGGATGTTCTAGCCTTGTCTTCTCCTTCTGCCACAGAAAGCAAGACTTGCACAGATGCTCTGAGGGCCAGTCTGAGTAGCACGAATAGAATTGTCCACGCCGATCACCTCCAGACGTCCATGCACGTGGAACCCATCATCACATGTTCGTCTTTCCGTTCTTCCCCTGCTCTACTTGCAACTGAGCTAACTATCTCCTTTGTGATACAGAGAGACATGCTCATGCCTCGGGCATTTTCTCTTCTGTTTTTGTAAAGGATGGCACGCATCCTGAAATACTCATGCGACTTGAACCTACTTGTTCATGGAGTGCCTTCATGAGTATGAACGAGCCACCAGCGTCTTACTTCGTGTAAGGTCCGGATAGGGCAGACTAATCAGGAAGCTAACCACCATTTCAGTGATTCCAAGGACACGCCAAGCACTCTACAAATTGTCTGGCCGCCGACAGTTCTGTCTCTGTCCTGATTCTGACACGGTAGTCTTCTCCTATCCCAACAGAAGTTGAAAGGAGATCCCCGTCGCTTGGATCAGCGGGACTCGAACTCCACGGATCAACAGATAACATCCTATGACCTTTGCATGTATGATGTTCTCGAAGCATTGAAGCATTATACTGATCTTGATTAGATCTCGGAGAAGAGATGTTGTTTTATGTGCGAGCATGGCGATCAGAAGCTGCGAAGCACAACTTATCTTTGCATCGTCGTCTCGCTACTTCCCGAACCCGTTGTATGTGATGCATGGTATTAATAACGAAAGTATGAAAAATCATTGCAAGCAGTGTTCCGGACGGAGACCGCTGACTGATACTTTTCAGGGTACGTCTCTGTTTGCATGGACGTTCGTGATCAGGCGAACAGGTTTCACCCTTTACTTTTTAGGTGATATTGTGCATCCGCATCTCGAGAACCCTTATTTTGATCACCCGATGGAGAAAAAAGTCTGTTGAGCAGGTTACGACTAACGTTGAAGATGGTTGGTGCTAACGAAACGCTCGCTACCATCCTTTCCAGCATACGTGACATCAATATCTCTTTTTGCAGTGCGTCTCGTTTCCTGTCTGTCCGTCGTGGAGCGAAAATGAGATGAACCGAACTAGGTTATCTCGTCCGTTGTGCCCTATTACTTCTTTGGCGACACTGAATCAAACTACCGGCCTGACCATGACTGCTGGGGATGGCTTGCGACTGCACATAAACCTGCTATCGACGTGCTCCAGACAGCTAGATGCTGTCGAAGTGAACCATGGTATCTATTGATAGGAAGCGAAACCATGGAATCAGCCCGATTATATCATTTCCGAAGTTTTGAGTTCGTAAGCACTGTTCTTCGGTCTTTTTTCTGCCTGATTGCGTCATCGAGGTATTCTAGAGCTTGAACTATGACCACTGACCAACGTAGGCGGCCAAATACAGCTCATGCCATATCGTATCACTTCATGTGATCTCAATTTGCTTTTTCACTTGCTCAGGGGTTGAGGGCTTCCGGCAGCCATGGTGGGAGATAGAACGAATCATAGGGATTGCAACTTCTGATTGATACATCGCATCATGCCGACGCCGTTCTCTACGGTCGATGGTCGCGCACTGGCATCCATGTCATGTCAAGAACCACTGTACAGCAAATATTACGTGCACGGGCATTGAGGAAGGCAGTAATACTAACAGGATGTTATCCGCCCAATGAACGTTGATCTAAACTTTCAGGTTTTTCAGTTCTCATGTTTATAGGTATCATCTGGGCATTCACCTACAAAAGACATGCGAGGTACGTCAATCGACAGTCGCTGCGGTTGCCATCTTACTGTTTTTACTGAGGAGTACGGTTAGGTTTTCGCTGCTCGAATCTGATGCCATCTACTAAAAGCTACCAAGCACATAATCAATTATTCGTGTCGAAGATGGGCTGGTGAAGTCTCGCGACACATTTCCCAGGTGGTCTAGCGGCATTCTCTGCAGACGTCAAACAAAATGTTTATGGCCAGCAGTGTGGTGAATGTCATACAAATTTTGCTATCGGGGTTATAATATTACCATGCATGATGTGCGATTGTAGATTTGGTTTCGCACCAGGAGAGGTATAAGGCCTATTGCGCGCGTGCGGATGCTGCTGTTTTATGCTCTGCGACAACCTTCTCCCGCGATAATATATTTTGCCCTTTCGAACAATGGAACATTCTCTGAGCGCTGAGTGCCAAGTAGATTCCGTATTGATGGTATTGACAAAACTGACCCTCAGGCTGGAACGAAACTGAGAATCTAAGAAAAAGCATATTAATGTCCTTGTGGTCAAACCACCTGCCCAAGCATAACCGCCAGGCCTGCAGGGTTGGCTTGTGACTGTACAGAAAGCTCTCATCGACGCGCCCACGCGACTAGATGCTGTCGAAATGAACCACAGTGTATTGTCGTTATAGCATCGCAATGTCTGTAAAAATATGACCATGATATCAGCCCGATCCTATCATTTTGAGGCGGCGAGGTTCGTTATTCGGTCCCTTTTCTGCCCGATCCAAAGTTTGGACTATAACCGGTAACTGCTGAACCAACTTAGGTGGCCAAATACGTCTCATCTCTTACAGGGAATCCTAAAGACAGGTGTAAAAATGATTGACAGCCAGAGATGGACATATATATAAAAGAAGATTTACGGTACGACAATAGGATCAAAAGGGGTCCAGGAGGTTGTGAACTAAGCCATCTGTGAAATCGCTTCAGATGGGTGGCAGGAAGCTTTCGGAGAGATTGACGAAGGAGATGGAGAGTGACTCGTCACGATGTCTACATCTACCTCATACTCCACGGTTTTCTCGACGTTGATTTCCAGCTGCAGTAAAAGTCAGATAAACCTTATGGCAAAGGTGAAAAGTCGGAGGTTCGATTTGCCGATTTGCCGCCACTTATTTAGAAGTCCGATCGATGTGTGCTCTCGTGGTGCGGCTATTTTTTAGTATACCCTTGCAGGTACATACGCGTTCTCCAATAAAATTTCTGGGTACGCAGAGCAAACATCGATCGGACTTCGAAATTTGTCGCGGCAAATCGGCAAATCGAACCGTAACCTATCGTCCACCATACATTCCAGTTTTGCGGACTTTCACTTTCTCAGGGGTTTGAGCTTGCGGGAGATAAGAACAGTTCATATATATAGTGACACACTGGCGACTTCCTACCCCCGCGACTGGGCGCGTTATGCCGTCATCCACGACCAGCATCACTGCGCATCTATCATTGCCAAGGTTCCGAGAACATAGCATACCTGATGGCCTGATACTAAAGTTATCTATAGCCACTTCGTAGCATCATATAATGTAGGTGGCTAGCGATGCTACCCGCACCGTGGTACATACCCAAGGTATCATTTTCGCCATGGCTTCAACAGTCACTGACATGCCGCTGGATGCCGTTGCCCTCATGTCAACAGTTCTGGAAGGCATCTTATATGGCGAGTGTTGCAACAAGTGTATCCGTTTCATACTCACCAAACTAGCATTTTTCAGGCTTTTCAGTTCTCATGTTTATAGGTACCATCTGGACATTCACCTACAAAAAACGCATGAGGGAGGTCAATCGGCCAATCGCTGCGGTTGCCGTTCTTCTGTTTTTACTAAGTACTATGGTCAGGTTTTCGTCACTTGAATCTGATACCATCTACTGAAGACTCCCAAGCACATGGTCGTAGACATTATTCAGCTCGAAGATGGATTGGTGAAGTATCGTAACACATTCCCAGGCGGCCCAGCGGCATTCTTCGCAGACTATACCCAGGAGACGTATGTGGTCAAGGTTGCGGCGATTGTCACGCAAACTCTGCTTGCCGATGGGGTGGTGGTAGGATCAAAACTTCGCCTGCCAACTTGAAACCCTCATAGCTTATATAAATTCCCTTTCTGACAAAAAGGTTTATCGATGTTACATCGTTTGGCAATCTGTCCGGGTCGTGATTCTACCATGCATGATGTGGTGTGCAGTTGCAGGTTTGGTTGCCATTATACTCAGAAAGTGTGCGCTCTGATGTTCATTTGTTTCGAAGTGTGCGGGGGTTTTACGGTCTACGGCCTTTCACTGGCTAGTGATGCCAACACTGTCTTCACTGATCAGACTGGACATTGGCTCACGGCGTACACGTTCTTTACTTTTACAACCAATTTGTTCAGTTCAGGCAAGTACATTTCTGCGTAAGCACGATATCGAGACACTTGCGAACTTGAATATGCACAGGATTGCTGGCATACCGCATTTGGACGATCAAACGCAATATCTCTAGAATTCACACCAGGAGAGGAATAAGGCCTATCGTGCGGGTGCTTGTGGATGCTGCTGTTTTATACTCCGCGACCACCTTCTCCGTGATAATATGTTTTGCCCTTTCGAACAATGGCGCATATGCCATAGGAAACTTCTTGGTAAGCGTCCACTTTCCACACTTAATATAAGAATCATTGAGCTTCCGTCAACTAGATCAATCCGATCATCTCGATTTCCTTCTACATGGTGTTTATTCGCATCGCAATCAATAAAGATACTCGCCCGACTGTTTCTGGGACAGTTGAAACAGACCGAGGAATCCCGCTGCATTATCATATGCAGACTTTGCAGACTGCATGCAAGGATAATGACATCCTCCTGGCTAAAATAGGGATCCATCCAGCCAGCCTGATATAACTCCCTTTCGTACTCTCTTGTTTCGGATGATGGCTACGTCACTCTAGGCCCCGTGAGGAACACCAAAATGTCTCACTGTACTTTACCCTTTACTTCTGAATAGGGTTCGAGATAAATTATCTGCGGAAATAGGTGTTATTGACTTGTTGTCGGAAATTGGCTCAGGCTGCTTCGGAGCACCATTCGTCATGATATTGTGGTAAGTCATTCGACTGCTCTTAAAGAAGGGTCCCTATGCGACAATTTTTGGAACGACAGAATGTCTTTACAATTCGCATCAGGAGAGGTATACGGCCTATTGTGCGCGTGCTTGTGGGTGCTGCTGTTTTATACTCTGCGACCACCTTCTCCGCGATAATATATTTGGCCCTTTCGAACAATGGCACATATTCTGAGTGCTAAAAAGATTCCATGTTGACGGTATTGATCTAACTGACTGTACAGAAAGCTCCCATCGATGCGCCCCTACACGACTAGATGCTGTCGAAATGAACTACAGTGTATTGTCGTTCCAGCATCGCAATATTGTCCGTAAAAATATGACCATGATATCAGCCCAATCCTATCATTCTGAGGCGGTGAGTTTGTAAGTACAGTGTTATTCGATCCTTTTTCTTCCAAATCGAGTCCTTGAAGCTTGGACTATAAATATACAAGCGGTGATTTTTTACACTATCTTTGCACCAATTTTTTTCGTCTCCTCTTGAAACTCGACGGCATTTGACACGGGACAAATAGTTGACCAATGAGCAAAAGGATCTGTTCTGGAATCGAGAACTGTGCGAGAGAGTGAAACCTTGGCAGCCTTTGAGAGTAGTCGCAAAGGAATCTGTTTGCGTTTCACTGTCCAACAGGAGTAGTAAGGATGAAAATAAAACGTACAGTGGTTCTTGAGCTTTGTGGAGAGAAGAAAGCACGTTCGAGGTAAGCGCGAGCTCGTTAGCCAGTATATGTGCACCGGGAAAAGACACGATTGCTGTCACCGAGAGGTTCTATTGATTCCTGTGCAAATAGCATGGGCAACTTGGGTGAGATAACAGCGGGCAACAAGAGGACAGTGAATATTATTTTCATATAGAGGTGAAGTGTGAGTAGGAGTGCCATCATCTGTCACTGCAGAACCAATCATGGTATTCATCATTCATGGTGCGAGCTGCGAGCATCATGGCGTTAGATCGCTCCAAATGCTACCGTTAGGTGACCATCAGGTAGAACAAATGTAGCTGTCATTGTCGTATTGCCATGATCAATACCTAGATCCATTTTGGATAGCGACCAATTCATGAAAAGTACAGGTAGTCGCGACTCGCCATATAGCACTGGAACGAAAGAACAAAAAAGGAGCAATGAGAAGTGGTAACAGGATGTGAGCTTGTGTCAGTGTTGTACAGGGTGCTGGAAGGTGTAGATATACGGTATCCACATATGGGTGATAGTGTCGTGAAACAAAATGGAAGAGCAACTTGGAGGTCAAAAGGAGGGAGGGCACGCAAATAGAGCAGTACAGCATGACACAATTGATACCGAGCCGGCGGCTACTCGTCTCCTAGATAACCGCTGACCAACGTCACAGTGGCCAAATACATCTCAACTCGCTTCACCCCAGTTTTGCTTTTTGCAAGGACTTTCACTTACTCTGGGGTCTGCGCTTGCTGGAGATGAGAATGATTCATAGTGACACACTGGCGACTTCTTATTTCCGCGACTGGGCGCGCTATGCCGTCATCCACGACCAGCATCACTGCGTATCTATCATGCCAAGGTCCCGAGAACATAGCCTACCTGATGGCCTGATACTAACGTTATCTATAGCCACTTCGTAGCATCATATAATGTAGGTGGCTAGCGATGCTACCTGCACCGTCGTACATACCCAAGGTATCATTTTCGCCATGGCTTCAACAGTCACTGGCATGCCGCTGGATGCTGCTGCCATCATGTCAACAGTTCTGGAAGGTATCTTATATGGTGAGTTGCAACGAGTGTATTCGTTTCATGCCCACCAAACTAGCATCTTTCAGGCTTTTCAGTTCTCATGTTTATAGGTACCATCTGGACATTCACTTATAAAAAACGCACGAGGGACGTCAATCGGCCAATCGCCGCGGTTGCCGTCTTTCTGTTTTTACTGAGTACCATGGTCAGGTTTTCGTCACTTGAATTTGATACCATCTACTGAAGACTCCCAAGCACATGGTCATAGACATTATTCAGCTCGAAGATGGATTGGTGAAGTATCGCAACACATTCCCAGGCGGCCCAACGGCATTCTTCGCAGACTATACCCAGGAGACGTATGTGGTCAAGGCTGCGTTGAATCTCACGCAAACTCTGCTTGCCGATGGGGTGGTGGTAGGATCAAAACTTCGCCTGCCAACTTGAAACCCTCATAGCTTATATAAATTCCCTTTCTGACAAAAAGGTTTATCGATGTTACATCGTTTGGAAATCTGCCCGGGTTATGATTCTACCATGCATGATGTGGTGTGCAGTTGCAGGTTTGGTTGCCATTATACTCAGAAAGTGTGTGCTCTGACGTTCATTTGTTTCGAAGTGTGCGGGGGTTTTACGGTCTACGACCTTTCACTGACTAGTGATGCCAACAGTGTCTTCACTGACCAGGCTGGACATTGGGTCACGGCGTTCATTTTCTTTACTTTTACAACCAATTTGTTCAGTTCAGGCAAGTACATTTCTGCGTAAGCGCAATATCGAGACACTTGCGAACTTGAATATGTACAGCATTGCTGGCATACCGCATTTGGACGATCGAACGTAATATCTCTACAGTTCACACCAGGAGAGGTATAAGGCCTATCGTGCGGGTGCTTGTGGATGCTGCTGTTTTATACTCTGCGGCCAACTTGTCTGCGGTAATATGTTTTGCCCTTTCGAACAATGGCACATATGTCATAGGAAACTTCTTGGTAATTCCACTATCAACACTTAATATAAACATCATTGAGCGTCAATCAACTAGATCAATCCAATCATCTCGATTTCCTTCTACATGGTGTTTATTCGCATCGCAATCAATGAAGATACTCAAGATTTCCTCTCGACTGTTTCTAGGACAATTGAAACAGACCGAGGAATCCCGCTGCATTATCCTATGCAGACTTTGCAGACTGCATTCAGGGAGAATAATACCTCCTCCTGGCTAAAATAGCAATTCATACAGCCTGATATTTGTACTCTCTTGTTTCGGATGGTGGCTACGTCTAGACTTCACGAGGAACGCCAAAATATCTGACTGTACTTTATTTTCTACTTGTCTGAATAGGGTTCGAGATAGATTATCTGCGGTAATAATAGGTGTTATCAACTTGCGGTTTAATTGCTCTTTAGCTAGTCATCGAAGATCTGATGCCACGGAAATTGGCTCAGAGTTCTGGATCAGTGTGCTGCTTCGGAGCGCCGTTCGTCATGATGTTGTGGTAAGTCATTCAACTGCTCTCAAAGAGCCCATGCGACAATTTTGGAAGGAGGGGAGCCACTTTAATACGTACTCTCAACTGACCCCTGAAAGTTGCAACGTTGAGCGCTGACTACCGAGCAGATTCCATGTAGTATCTTTCAACAGGATATAAATTGGAATCAAGGAAACAGAGATCAGTTGCAAGTATCTAATATTTCGAACCACAGCGCATGATGAAGTGCATTGTCAGATCCTCGTGTCCTCGCTCTCGGAGGTAACCACTGCTTGAACGAAGTTGTCATATAATTATAAGTGGGAGGATATCTGTATAAAATTATACGTGGCTAGATGATTATGTTAATGGATGTGTCTCTACTTTCGAGCTATCACCCAAGGAAAATCCGGAATCATTCGGCCTTTGTATCAACGGCTGCAAAGGATGTTGCTGCAGTTTTCTTCGTTCTGTCTCCGTGGTCTCTCTATGGACAGTCGAGGGGTAATGTTGATTGCTTTGACTGGTCGCGACGCGAATAAATACCATGTAGAAGGCAATCGAAACAATCGGGACGATCTAGTTGATTAAAAATCAGTGACTTGCGATGGCAGGTTTCAACAGCCGAATTACCAGGTCTCCCATCACATACAGCCCATCGTTCCAAAGGCCGAAACATATTATTGAGGAGCCAAGTGCCGCAGAGTACAAAACTGCAGCATCTATAAGCACGCGCAATATAGGTACTTTGCGCTTCGTAGTGCAGACTGCAGAAACCTTGTGTTCGATCGTCCAGATCCGATATGCCAGTAATCCTGGACAAATTCAGGTTAGTATTGGGTATCAACATCGCGCTTATGCAGAAGTGTGCTCACCGGTACTCAACATATTAGTTGCAAGTGTGGAGGCAAGGAAAGCGGCGACCCAATGACCAATCTTGGTAGCGAAGAAATTTTCAACTTCGGCCATTGACGCTTGAGAAAAGTAGTAGACCGAACAAACGCCAGATGCTTTGAGACAATATCAGAGTACACGGCTTCCTGAGTATGATTACGACCTAACCTGCGACGCCGCACCACATCATGCATGGTAAGACAATGACCCAGGCAGATTGCCAGACCACGTAACATCGATAAATCTTTTCCCCGAAAGACAGGTTCTGTAAGCAAAGGAAGGTCTGATAAAATTTGACGCACCACCACCCCGTCACCAAGTAGAGTTTGCAAGGTATATATCGCATTCTTGATTACAAATGTAACTTGAGTGACGTCTGCGAAGAACGCCACTGGTCCTCCAGGAAACGTGTCACGATATTTCACCAGTCCACGTTCGAGATGAATAATATCTACGATTATATGCTTTTGAGGCTTCAGTAGATGACATTGGATGCATGCGGGGAGAAGCTAACCGCAGTGCTCAGCACGAACAGCAGGGTGGCAACCACAGCGATTGGCCGATTGACGTCCTGCATGTGTCGTTTATAGGTGAATGTCCAGATGGTACCCAGACACATGAGCACTGAAAATCCTAAAGAACGCGAGTCGGCCACTTGGATATGGATGGGAAAACTCATTGCGATACATACCGTATAATATGCCTTCCAGCACTGATGACATGATGGCAGCGGCATCCATCGGGATGCCAGCCAACGCAACCATGGCAAAACTGATGTCTTGGGATGTATGACGGTGCAGGGTAGCTTCAGCTCCATCTATATTGTTATATAGCAGAAACGGCCGCCCAAATCAGAGAGTAGCTGATTGTAACAATACATGCTGTAGCAATTGGTGAATTTTGGTTTCAGTTTTAATAAGGCTTGAACCGAGACATCCTGGACCAGCGCTCGACATTGCATCAACACGTTGTGACTTACTCTCTTGTGAACCTATTTGCTGTACAAGGCATCAGGTATATATAGTCTTGAAACACGATGCGTGGTGCTGGTTTTGAAGAACGATAATGTCGTTTTCTGTTTCATCATGGCAATCAGAACAAGTTAAAGTGGTGGAGGATATAGTACCGCTTCATTGTCCTGCTATTTCCCATACAATTAATAGTACATCGATCATAACAAAGGAAGTGATTCACGCCAAGTGATGGGTCTCGACCATTTTCATTCTATACACTTATGGTCGGCTCGCCTTGTCACTACATAGTATTGTGCCGCGCTCCGCAACGTCCAGGTGAACTGAAATAATTCCTTTTCAACACCTTGTTTCGTCCACATGTTGTGACGAATGTATCATTGGATAGCTGGGTGACCGAGTACCAAGACCCACGGGAAACCAAGCCAGGGCTGAGGAAGTCAGAGAGTACACAGGGAATATGACAGTCATAAATTTAAATCAAGTGTTTTTGAAGGGCCAGTCTGCACTAAGGAATACGCGGCTTGGGGGTTGCCTGCGACATCTAACATGGCAACCAAGTATGCACTGCTGGATGCAAGCTGGCCGTTTCCAGTGCTTGTCACGATCATAGTCACTGGTGACTTTATGATGATCATGAATTCTTCCATGTCTACGACTCGTCAGCACTTCAGCGCCAGTACTCGCGACGGGCAGGTCTGTAGGTTCGATGTCGATGAAGTCCAGCTCATTTGCAACAATGAACACTCACAACAGAGGCGTGCTCGTTACTCTTCTTTGCGGACCCACTGTAGGCGCCTGTCTCATTGCCAGTCACAACGTCAAACACTCCTTGAACATATAGGGAGGAGCAGATCTGAGGAGCTCGAGGAGTGGCAGGCGCGAGATGGTCGACATTGCAACTCCGCTCGAACGTAGCCGCCAAGGCATCTCTGAATTTTACAAAATAGCCGGTCTGGGTCAAAGTCTAGGACATCGGCATTTCCAAGCGGAGTGGAGTGTAAGTATTTTAATTTCGAAGGCGGCGGCAGCGCCTCCAATGGTGGGATTGATTGGCATTGGCCGTTCGAAACATCGAGCGGAGTTTAAAATATGCTCAGAGTGCCGTTGCTGCCGTCGTGTTCCAGATAGCCAATTAATCTCTGACATTCTGGCCGCCGAAGCCCCAGACCGCCAAGCTCTAACTGGCCCTAGACTTTGGCCCCAGATTGGCCAGATCCCTGACTTTTACCTCATGATTGAAATCTGACAAACCCCACGTAGTCCCTACACGCGCAGAGTAGTGACTTATCACTTTTTATGCACGACCATGATCATTGGCAACATAAACCATGTGCATGAGCCCATCCGCACTACCAATTTAGTAGCAGCTCGAAGGTTTGCCATATCAATATATCAATATCGGAGCACCGTGACGGGGAAGAGGTATGTATAGTCCCTTCTTCCCATGAGAATTGTCATTTCTAGTTGTCCATGTGCTCATTATACAGCGTGATCGCTCCTAAGGCTATAAGTAGCCCAGTGCAGACTTGCTCAGGTTGACCGTTATCGTTTGCCCTTCCTCACAGCTCCCTCGTAATGCCGTCCACATTCACCAAGACTTTCGACACCCCTGCATACAAGGGGACTGTTACGATCCCTTTGGGCCTCTACATAAATGGAAAATTCGTCGACCCTGTTGAGGGTGGCACAATCGAGTGAGTGTCTTCTTCGTACACTTGAGTGTCGATCTCATTCGTACAGTGTTGTCAATCCTGGTACGATTTTTTTTCGTCGCGCATGGTTCATAGCTTACTTGTGCAGCAACGGGCAAGGTGGTCACGTCTATCGCAGCTGGGACAAAAGCCGATATAGACATTGCTGCGAAGGCAGCAAAGGAAGCCTACAAGACTTCATGGGGCCTGAAAGTTCCTGGAACTCAGCGCGGAAAGCTCATGTCGAAGCTCGCCGTTTTGATGGAGGAACATATTGCGGAGTTCGCTGCTCTTGATGCCCTTGCTAATGGTATGTACTTCTTCGCCACCGCTACTCTTGAGTTAACGAAGCAGCTCATACCTTACAGGGAAGGCCTACAATACCGCGTACGGTAAAGACAATAAAGGGGCGATTGCCGTCATGGAATACTATGCTGGCTGGGCTGACAAGATCAGCGGGAAGACTATCGAGGTCCGTTTTTCCTCTCTCTCACACCACAGTCAAACTCATTTCGCCCTAGACCAATGAGAAAAAACTCGCTTATACCAGACATGAACCCATCGGTGTTGTGGTAAGGATTCTTCTCTGAATAATATCTAAATGGGATCTCAGACCATGCCTAGGGTCAAATTATTCCATGGAATGTTCCGAGTGAGTGAATTCAAGGAGCGTGCTGGACTACAGCTTACATTAATTAGTGTTCTCTCTTTCTCTCAAGGTCGCTCCTGCACTAGCTACCGGCAACACTATCGTCCTGAAGCCTTCTGAGATTACCCCGCTTTCTGCTCTTCTCTTCTGTACCCTGATCGAGCAGGCGGGCTTCCCTCCTGGTGTCATCAACATCGTGAACGGATATGGTTCAACAGCAGGGCAGGCAATCTCTGAGCACCCTCTTATCGAGAAAGTTGCATTCACTGGAAGCACTCTGACGGGACGGAGGATTATGGAGGCTGCTGCAAAGAGCAATCTGAAGTCTGTCACCCTTGAGCTTGGCGGAAAGAGCCCCAGTATCCTCTTCGATGACGCCGACCTGGAGCAGGCAGTCAAGTGGGCTATTCACGGTATCTAGTATGTTGCCCTGTTCGCACGACTTATGCTAGGTCTCATCGTTTTTGTAGCTATAACCACGGTCAGAATTGTTCTGCAGGTTCTCGTATCTTTGTTCAAGAGGGCATATACGACAAGTTCTTGGACCAGTTCACAGAGCAAGCACGCGCGATCAAGGTTGGCGATCCTTTTTCACCTGACACGTACCAAGGGCCACAAGTATCCAAGACTCAATTTGAGGTTCGTTTATCCAATGTCATTATAAAACATACTTTGACGACCGTAAAGCGCATCATGGGATACATAACTTCCGGCCAGAACGATGGTGCTACAGTACACCTTGGTGGCAAGCAGATTGGTCAAGAGGGATACTTCATCGAGCCAACAATTTTCACGGAGTGCCAGCCCAACATGGAAATCGTCAGAGAGGAGATATTTGGTCCTGTCGCGTGCGTCATGAAGTTCAAGACTGAAGATGGTGAGATTGCTCTTGTTGCACGACCATCATATCCCTAACAATTTGTCAGAGGTCGTTGAACAGGCTAATGATACAACATACGGACTTGCCGCATCGGTGTTCACCAAAGATATCGACAGAGCAATCCGCGTTGCACACGCTCTCGAAGCAGGTACTGCATGGGTTCGTTGCTTTGTTATCTCATCTTGCGCGTCTTTTGTATGATGACGCCTGGCAGATAAACTGCTCCAACCATGCTGAAATATCGATGCCATTTGGAGGCTTCAAGCAGTCTGGAATTGGTCGTGACCTGAGCGAGTATGCTTTGGAAAAGTAAGTTCAAGTCCTTCAAAACGATACCGCACTAATAATACTCGATTTAGCTATACGAACGTTAAAGCCGTTCATGTCAACATTGGCATGCGAATGTGATCGCTTAGGACTCTCGCATCTTGTATCATTAGTACGCATGTCATGGATGGATGCGCCAACCGAAGGTAGACTGGAGAGAACTGGTTGATGTCTGGCTAGGGTTTTTCCATCGACGTGTCTTTGACATGCCTCGTAGCACAATGACAATGTAAGTAGGATAGGGAAGGGGATACTCTGATAGCACATGGACGGTTCATTGATACAGATTGCTATGCCTTCTACCTTCCCACATCCAGTACCCAACCATGCATACCAAGCAAGAATCAACTGAAAGAATTTAGCGCCCGTTTCAGTCAGGGCAACGGTAATGGTAGTTCTCTGAAGGCTGGTCTTCCTAAGAAGGTCATCGAGCAGGCCTTCGGGTCGCTCGATGCGCTCAAGAAGTTCAATGCCACACTGCTGGTATTCAAGGTTGGGGCTGGCTCGTAAGTTCCTTGTTTCATCATACACGACTAATGTAGTGCTCATGGCGCTTCACATCCAGGGTTTGAACGTTAACCCCACCTCTATATCACCAAGACCGCAAACCAGGACCCGTTTCTGATACATCCTTGTCGACATCCGGGAGCATGCTTTCTACCTCTAGTATCTTTTGATGTGAGTCATCATTCTTCGTCCGAGTCGGAGCGTGGATCATATCTGTAGTATCTGGATGCCATTTGGACTGTCATCGACTCTGAGGCTGAAGAGGGTCTTTCCTGCAAGCTACCGAGGAGGGTAGAAATGAATTCACGACGCGTCACTTGTCACGAATCGCTGTAGGACAAAGCTACGATAAGTTTGATTGTCCGTTGAAAACCGTTTGCTGGTTCAATTTATTTTCCTTGGAAGTCGTTTATAGCTTTTACTGTCACAAAGAAGCCAGCGGGAATCTTTCTGAGACCAAGGGGGATATCAGTCGCACGAACGGCCTGGAGAAATACGTGCTGGGCAGAGACGAATTGGTAACGGCGACTTGCACTCCCCTGAAGTGTGCACTGGCTTCTCACCCAAGGGTGTGAGGGTACCTTTCTAGATCGGTACCATCAAGTGGCTGAACGAACATAGGAGGTACTCAGAGCTGAAGTTTCCGAGGTCTTTTTACGTTACACTGCTGGCACCAAGTTGTTTTCGCCACGGCTTGGCAGCCGAGACTGATAACCAAGTATTATTTTTTGTATCCTTACGGTGGGGCGGGGCCCTATGATGTACAAAACCTACACCATGATGTACACTGATAACCAATCACTACACACTCGTTTGTCTCTTCCAAGCAGGTGATCTGGCTGGCTCCGCACCGCACCAACGTAATCAACTTGTCAAGGAGCGACTATCTTCCTTCTATATGGTCTGACCAGGGAAAACTGGCCCCAAGTGTGCCGCAAAGGCAATCAGGGATGGCATCGATGAAGCTTGAATATGACTGAGGAATCATGTTGCACAATGCAGAGAGAGAATGGATCATGCATGCTGGCAGCATCAAACGCGGACAGATGCCGGGTCGGCACTGACAGATACACGATCGGAGATTGAATCGTCGTTCCCTGGTTGAACTTTGTGTTCACGAGTGTCTGCCTGATCCAACTTGGATCCAATGTACCCTTTAATGATGGGCCACCCCCTGTATCAACGTGACAACAGGAACTGAAACCCGTTCGAATTTTGCCCTTAAGGGTCTTTGGCTCTGCATTCTACAAATTCACCAGAAGCTTCGAAGCCCTGTCTTATAACTCCTGTCTTCTCTACGTCTGGAAATTGGTGAACCGGTACCGTGTTCATGTCATGCGTCATCCATACATTCGTGCCTGAGGCCTGAGCTTCCGAAAGACACGCGTAGATTATGACGTTCGTTGGGTTCAAAATGGTATGTGCTCCGAGCAGTTCTGAATCTTCTGATCAACACGCTGCACAGCGGACTTTCGTGAACGGCATGGCCAAGCAATTGACATTCGTCAACAATTCACCAACATGATCCGCAACCATCACCAATCACCTTCCAGCCATTTCGATCTCGAAATCTCTTCTGGATGCGCAGAATTGAGCACCAAGATCTGCCGATTGATATTGCGACCCTGTCATCTATCTAAGTTTGATGGCGTCTTCAACATCAGTGATTCGTGTGTGAAGCAGATGTGCATTGAATGTTGAACCGTCCGTGTAAGTATTTATGCACGCCACACCCCACTCCAGGTCTGCAGTATGTATGTGATGTAACGATCAGCGCTAAGCGCTCAGACGTGTGTATATGTACAGCTCCTGCCATTCCATGTCTCACCCCACGAATGGCAGTCGAAACCAAACCTCAGATACTTGTTGCGGAACCCTGGGCTGCACAAGAGCATAAAGGGGGGTCAGAGGAGCTGGGAGTTGAATACTCAGACACCAAGGACTCCGACCTTCCTTCGCTCCTGCAAGAGTTTCCAGAAGGTGGTCTTGCCGCTTGGTCCACTGCTTTTGGAGCGTAAGGAGACACAATTTTGGTGGGACTGGCTCTTACTTGATTGGTTCAGGTTTCTCATAATGTTCTGTACTTGGGGGTGAGTGTTGTGCCCTATCATTGATGAGGAATGTTGCTGAATGTCAAAAGTTACACCGCTTCATTTGGTGTCTACGAAGGTATTGCCTCACATAAACGTGAGGATAGAACTATGTTTGAACGGCTTGCGCTCCAGACTTTTATACTCGGCATTACCTCAAAAATGAGACATCATTTGCTATTTCGTGAGTTCTACAGGCTTCTCTATCGTGAGTATCCTCATGGTCGCTTGCAGATCCATCGGGAGCTTGACAGGGTTTTTAGGCAGCGCTGGGGGTATTATATCAGGCTCACTCTATGATCGAGGTTATTTGTGAGTGTAGATGCAAGTATCTTGGTGGTAGTGCTCAGCAGGCCTACCTAGTTACCATCTTGTCATTACCGGATCGCTTCTGCAGAGTTTCTCTCTTTTCATGCTGTCATTGGCAAAGCCACATCAGTACTTCCAGGTAACGCCCTCCGGCTTTCTGACATTTCGTTTTCTGACATCTTAATAGATAATCCTTACTCAAGGCTTAGGTTCAGGTATCGCGGTAGGGTTGCTGTACGTCCCGGGCCTGGCTGTTGTCTCGCATTATTTCAGACAGAAACGCACGCTGGTGATGACGTTCGTTACTTTGGGCTCATCGTTCGGTTCTCTCGTCCATCCGATTATGCTCAATAACCTCCTGAATGGACACCTTGGCTTTGCCAATGGCGTGCGTGCAAGTGCAGGGTTGACCAGTATGCTCCTTTTGATTGCATGCTTGTGTGTGCGAACTCGCCTTGATCCGCCGACGACCCCAGTGAACTATATTGCGACAGCTAGAAAATGTTTTCATTATGTTCCGTTTCTTTTTGCGGTATCAGGGTAAGACCTGCAATACGGCATCTTTCGAATCCTCCCAAATGATCATTTGTTATGCAGGGCGTTTATGTTCAAGATTGGCTTTTACTACCCAACATATTTTCTCCAACTCGACTCTATCAAACACGGCATCAACATCACCTTTTCATTTTACACTGTGCGATCTAGCACTATACAAGTGACATCCCTACTGATGCCGTCGTTAGCTTGTGATTCTAAATGCGTCCAGTTGTGCGGGACGAATTACATCAGGGTATATCGCAGCGTTTACAGGAGTACTAAACTTGACCATGATTGCGGCAATTTCGTGCGGATCGGTAATTCTGGCCATGACCGGATTGCGTACCCTGGCCAGCGTCGCTATTCTTGGTGCGTTTTATGGCTATTTTTCAGGGGTGTGTAAGTATTTTCTGTTTCACTACATGCTATGGCTGAAGTTGTTGATCGATAATGCAGACACCGCGATGGAGGGTCCACTCGTGGCTACCCTAGCATACAACCCCTCTGAACTTGGGTGAGTGATAACTTGAGCTTCGGTATGTGCGAATGATCTGATCTTGTCACAGCGGGTGGATGGGTATCTATTTCTTTATTGATGGTGAGTATGATCAGATTTACTTCTATGTTATTTTGAATTCGCACACATTCATTCTGCAGCATTCGGAAGTTTACTTGGTGGGTACATTTGTAGCATTTTCTTACTTCACCGTATAGATGTTCATTTAGGACCACCTATATGCGGTGTTCTGCTTACATCACATTATATTTGGTGGAAACCCGCTCTGTTCGCTGGGGTGAGTCGACTACGCTCACCGCTTCTCCACTTTGATTAAATAAATCATAGATCGCTTCACTGACTGGTGCCGCAATGTACGTTTTCATGCGGCTCGTTTATATGAGATTGCAGGAGAATGAATCCTAAGTGAGCGGCTTAGCCTTATCTACGGGGCAATATTCACATATATATGGTACAATCAACAGATGATGACATGGTGACACAGGACATGCAGGGCTGTTTGTGATACATGAAGGACGGTATATACAGATTATGCCGAAAGATAATAAAGGAGTACAAACAGACTCCAATTCTGCCAATGAAGACGTGTATGTCTCACGACTGTGGTACAATACTTGAAGGAAATGATTTATCGTCCTGTCACCACTCCTTGGCGTTCGGCTGCCAAGCCGTGGCGAAAACAAGGTACCAGCAGTGTAACGTAAAAAGACCTCGGAAACTAGTGTACCGTGGACGGAAACCTGCTCAGCACATAGTCACGAGCCTGCTCAGCAGAGTCAGCACACTCTTGACATATATTTATGTAATTATTTAATAGATGTGATTTGCTATACCATGCCAGATTTTGAAAGCACACCCTGCTCCTCTTTTTATCCTTTCCATGGTCTCCAATGGATTGAGTCAGTACCCCGCGCCAGTAGGTGGAGCGTCCCTCCTTCTGACATTCAAAGGACCCAGAAACACCATCCTTATTATTGGCGGTGATGTCCTGGCCGCCTCTAGGGCATTTGCGGCACTCGAGGCAGGTATGCAAGTGATCATACTTGCTAGAGGGTTAGTATGCGACGAGCTGAGATGGAGAGCGGACCAACAGCAAGTAAATCTCACAGACTGGGACATGCTTCCCTCTGTGTCTACTTCCCCACTTCCCTCAGCTCCAGAAGAGTCCCTTTCTGCATTCCTCGCCGAAAACCCATCTATATCTCTTATCTGCATCACCACACACACGGTGGACACACCCGCACTTGCACGTATCTGTCATGCACATAACATCCCCGTAAACGTTACCGACCATCCTGCACTATGCGACTTCTCCTTTGCATCCACGCACCGTTTCGTTGATACATCTACAGGCGGGCAGAGTGCGCTACAAGTGGGTGTGACAACCAATGGGGAGGGATGCAGGCTCGCGGGGCGTGTTAGACGAGAGATTGTCAGCATGCTTCCTAAAGACATCGCCGGAGCTGTCAGGCAGGTCGGAAAGCTTCGACGTTTGGCCAAGAATACAGATGACGAGGTCGGAGAGTGTGAAGAAGGTGAGGACAGTAGTGTCACCACTCCTAACAGGCCCGTACCTGGTTGGAGTAGTAGTGTCACCGAAAGCAAAGACGAGTCCTCCCGCCGCCGCATGAAATGGGTTGCTCAGGTCAGCGAGTATTGGGCTATCACACGGTTGGCATCCATGTCAGAAGACGACATGAAGCTCATATTATCTGGCGACTCTCCCCAAACGACCTCACCATGCTCAGTTCAGGTTCCAAACGAGAGTTCACTACATAACCTGACGCTTTTACCGCCTCCGAAGAAAGGCCGTATTCTCCTCGTTGGTTCCGGCCCAGGACATCCCTCCCTTCTCACCATTGCGACTCATAATGCGCTTACGAAACACGCAGATCTCGTTCTCTCGGACAAGCTCGTTCCCGCTGCTGTACTGGCTCTCATACCTGAAACTGTCGAGGTGCGCATTGCACGCAAATTCCCTGGCAATGCCGAAGGCGCGCAATCAGAGATGATGGACGCAGCTGTCGAAGCTGCTCGACGTGGCCTCACTGTCGTCAGAGTACGTCCGAGTCTTTGTTTCTTTGACACTGACAGTTATCTCGTCACACAGCTGAAACAAGGAGACCCAGTCGTCTACGGCCGTGCAGGGGAGGAAGTACTCTTCTTCCGAGCACACGGGTTCGAACCGCTCGTTGTCCCGGGCGTTTCGTCTGCACTTGCAGCGCCTATTTTTGCTGGAATCCCAGTCACGCAGCGTGGCGTTGCAGAAAGTGTCGTTGTGTGTACCGGGGTCGGGCGACAGGGCAAGGAGGTCAAGCTTCCTGGTTACGAACGCTCGCGGACTGTGCTCATCCTCATGGGCGTCGCCCGGATAGCCCAGGTTGTTGACGCTATGATTCGCAACGACAGTGACAGTAGGGAAGGCTTGCAGAATAGTGAAGGGAGACGGGAGGGGCGTCCATACCCTCGGAACACGCCTATTGCTATTATCGAGCGCGGCTCGATGCCTGATCAACGGGTAGTCGCAAGTACGCTTGGAGATATATGTGAAGCGTTGGATATTGCGGGAGAGCAAAGACCTCCGGGTATGATGGTTGTTGGGTGGGCTGTATTGGCGCTGCAAGGCGCTGGTGACACAAGCGTGTTGGAAGAGGGGGAAGAACGAGATGATGAGAGGATAAGAAAGTGGTTAGGGGGGTGCAGGTGGGTCATGCGAGAAGGAATCGATCAGGGCTGGGCGGACATATAGTTTAGGTCTGCGACTGATTATTAACATCCATTCCTTGATCTGTAAGAATTTTTGTTGACATTCGAGGAGTCGTGTAAGGTGTGTTCACCGGTATCTAAATTAGATGATAGTGTCACTCTGGAGCTCGGACTGGAAATTCCGGAGCTCAAATATCGACTTGATTGATGTGAGACGGCCCAGTCCTTCCGTAGAAACTCTTTTCGAAAGCCTGCCCGATAAATGATGGATTGTATTCGATGCTCGGTGCAAGTGACACTACTAAGGGACTGGGCTTACTGTACAAAGAAATGACTACTATAGCGGTCCCCGAGGCAGCTACTCGTCAACTAGTACTGGTTGGGTGCACTGCTCGAATGCCAGGATAGCAAGTCCATAAGATAAACCCAATTATCGTCTCAGATACGTACGGGCAACAAGATCAAGCGACTGAAATGCTCGTGCATACCCTTCTTTATGACCATGCTTTGTCCGAATCCAATTCATAAGTTGACGTACGTATTTCGTGATACAATATTTACAGTAGTAGCTGCAGTCGTCTACTAGTACATCTTCCCCAAGAGTCCCTCTTCAATATTGTGAGAACGCCCCTTCCAAACTTTCTATAGTACACAGGCAACCATTTCTATGTAATTTCATCAGCTTTCTACACCGTTAGAAAAAGTTTAAAATACGAACCATTTGTACAGTAGTAACACAGATGCAATCAATTATTGGTCTGCACTCACTTGGCGGTAGAGGAGCGGAGGACACGCGAGGACGAGGTGGCTTGAAGACGCTGGCGCTTGCGTGGAGGTATGTATTCCTCGGCCGACTCATCGCTACTCTCGGAAGAGCTATCCTCCCGATAACTGTCCTCGTCCCCCTCTTTCTCCTGTGATTTGCCAGCATCGGAATACTCATCCTTCACAGGACCAGTCTGCCGGATTGGACGCCGGATCCTGATATACAGACGCGGCCTGTCCGATACAGCCTGATTTGCTTCTGCTAGGCTTGGTGACTCCTCTTTCTCCTCCTTCGGCTCATATTCCGGCGTGTTACCTTCGTCCTTCACAGGAGTCTGCGGCTTTGGACGCCGGATTCTGATATACAGGCGCGGCCTGTCCGATACAGCCTGATTTGCTTCTGCTAGGATTGGTGAGTCCTCTTTCTCCTCCTTCGGCTCGACTTCCGGTGTGTTACCTTCGTCCTTCACAGGATCAATCTGCGGCTTTGGACGCCGAATTCTGGTATACAGGCGCGGCTCGTCCGATACAGCCTGATTTGCTTCTGCTAGGATTGGTGAGTCCTCTTTCTCCTCCTTCGGCTCAACTTCCGGAGTGTTGCCTTCGTCCTTCACAGGATCAATCTGCTGCTTTGGACGCCGGATTCTGATATACAGACGCGGCTCGTCCGATACAACCTGATTTTCTTCTGCTAAGATCGGTGAGTCCTCTTTCTCCTCCTTCGGCTCGACTTCCGGAGTGTTACCTTCGTCCTTCACAGGATCAATCTGCGGCTTTGGACGCTGTATTCTGATATACAGACGCGGCTTGTCAGGTACGGCCTGATTTTCTTCTGCTAGGATTGGTGACTCCTCTTCTTCCTCCTTCTTCGGCTCAACTTCCGGCGTGTTACCATTTTTGACTTGAGAGTGTCCTGGGTGGGAGCTCTCAGAAGAGCTGGAGCGCCGCTTCCTCTTCAAGTTGGCGAGGCGTTGCTGGAGCGAGGGGATGACAATCTTGAATGAGGGCTTGCCGGGTACGTTGGAGCCAACCTGCATGATATCGGGCATTGTGATAAGTAGCAGGTAGTCTGAGGATAAGGGAGGTGTTTTTTTAGGAAGGGGCGTTCAGAGGGGAGAACTGGATAGCTACCTTGTAAACATGCACCCTTTTGAACGATTTAGAGCTGTGGGTACATTAAGCGGTCAGTGTCTTGACCGACAGCGCGACCGTGGCATTGGACTATGGGTAGCATTGATGACCACATTTGTGAGGGCCCATGGGTTGGTCATGGTGGTAAGCGCGATCAAAGCCTGTACAAGCAAACAATGACAACAAATTCGAACGTCCACTGGCCGTATGGCCCCACCAGACGGTCCAGAACATGACCTGGAAGTGCAGCTGACACATAGCGACTACATGAAAAAATTATAAGCACTGGTTTTATGCTTTTAAAAAAATAGACTTGACCGGCTGCTAAACGTCCTATGAGATTTACTTAAGGTTGAAGGTCAGCTGCGCGAATGCGATGCCGCATTATATTATTCAACTCGGAGGAGTCAGTCATTTTTATGAGAGCTTTTCCAATTCTGTCCCATATGATATTCTGCTACCTCGCCATGATGCGTGGTGCAAATTTATTGAGGTGCTGTGGGCTTCAGCGCGAAGTCAAAGATAGTGTTAGGACCTACATTATATTATCATTAATAAAACTTCTACTTCGACCTCGAACTGAAAAACCAATGGTATACTCAAAGTGTTCGTTTCTTGGGTGCAAATATAAATGCTATGATAATCAGCAACAGCGACCCAGAGATGATAGTACACCACAGCTTGATAAATGAATGTATTTAATATAGTCGAGGACGGCGTCGGCAAGGGAAAGGGGAATGTAGTGTTGAGTTAGATTTGAAAAAGATGTGATGTCTACGTCCTGAGGAGAAAAGAACGATTGAAGGGAAGACTGCACCTTATGCCTTGGACAAACTGAAAGCGGAAAAGGATGGAATGATTTGATGAACATCATGATTGGCAACAACTTGAACATGACGATCTCATACAAGGGATAGTCAAACTCAATCCATCTTCACTTATTCGTATTTTTGCTTGTCTTGTTTGACCGAACGACACACCGCGACGACGCTCTCCGAAGCTCCGAACTTGCAATGCGAGAGATAAGTATTAAGTCGTGAAGAAGGAGGATCGGGACAGCCTACAGCCTAGTCATGTGATGTGACACACGCGAACAGTCACACAACGCATCACATCACGCGTAGAACCTTTCTCCTGGATCAACCAAGATCGTCGTAAGTTTGGGAAACTTCCCAACAATGCCTCCCCGCAGGTCATCTCGCTCTTTACGACCGTCCACTGAGCAAGAGGCCTCAAACTCTGTGAAACGCAAACGAACCGACGCAGACGATGTAGAGGAGAAAGAAAATGCGCCCGGAGCACGCAGGATATCGACAAGAGGCAGCGTGGGCCCTTCTTCAAAAGTACCTGCAGCACCCTCTTCCAGAGCATCTGCAAGAGCATCTACACGCTCGTCTGTGAAACCTAATCGCGCGCTGCAAGAGGTGGCTGAGACAGAAGAGGATGAGGAGGAACCTGTGAAGAAGAAGTTGAGAAATTTTGTTGAGGGTGAGGATCATGATGACGATGACGATGAAGTTGTGGAGTTGCAGAAACCAAGGAGAGGTCGAGTTCAGAAAATTGTGCAGGACGACGACGACGACGAGGTGCAAGAAGTAAAACCCTCTCGGAAGGCATCCGCGAAGCCCCGGGCAACTCAATCGCGCAAAACCGTGGTAGAAGATTCAGATGTAGAGGAAATAAAGGAACCTATTACTATCTCGGAAGACGAGGAGGAAATTCAAGCAGTCAAGCCCGCCAAACCCAAACGCGGAAGAACATCTCGCAAAGCACCTGAAGACGATGACGATGTTCAAGAAATCAAACCTGCATCGAAGGCTAAGGGAAGGAAACCTCGCAAGGCAAAAAATCACGTCGAAGACGATGATGAAGCACAAGATATCAAGCCCGCAAAGCCCAAACCGGCTCCCCGATCCCACAAGCCCGTCAAATCCGAATTCGACAATGACGAACATAATCCCATTACTATATCCAGTGATGAATCTGATGCTACACCTCCTCCCAGAAGCTCTAAAGTGTCTTCTAGAAAGCCAAAGGCAATGCCGCTTCCCGCTGATGTCGAGGTCACTCCCAGGCCTCGCAAATCTGCCCCTGCTACACCCCCCAAGCATCCCTCACCCACTGCCGGAGACAACACAGATGACCTCGACGGATTCCAGGAAGAATTTATGCAGACGCCTCGGCGTGTACCACGTCAATCGCAACTGTCGCAAATGACGCCTAAACGCCCTGCCCCACCGGAGGAGGAAGAGGAAGAAATTTCCCTCCTTGAGCCCCGCGTGAAACCTGTGTCGGTAATGCGACCTCCACCCGCTGAAGAACCTTCAGGTCCTAAGCCACGTCTTGTGATACACAAGATGGTACTCGTCAATTTCAAGAGTTACGCAGGCAGACAAGAAATCGGGCCCTTCCACAAGGTACGTTTCTAGTGCGTTTTTTAAAGTTAACGTGTACTATACTTAACTTCGGTGACGGGTAGTCTTTTTCGTCCATCGTAGGCCCCAATGGTTCCGGGAAATCCAACACGATCGATGCGCTCCTTTTTGTGTTTGGTTACCGCGCGTCGAAGATGCGCCAGGGGAAGCTCTCGGAGCTCATCCACAATTCTGCACGGTATCCTGACTTGGATGAGTGCAGCGTAGAAGTTCATTTCCGCGAGATCATCGACCTCGTAGGTTCCTTCACATTAACGTTTGACCGAACTAAATCGCTCAACCTCCCAGCCTGGACCCGACGCATATAATGTCGTCCCGAACTCCTCACTCGTCGTCGCTCGCACAGCAACCAAATCCAATAATTCTCGGTATACGCTCAACTCACGACCGTCCACTTACACTGAGGTTCAAACACTTCTTCAGGGGCGTGGGATTGACCTCACGCACAAGCGTTTCCTTATTCTGCAGGGCGAAGTTGAATCTATCGCGCAGATGAAGCCTAAAGGTAATTCTGAGCATGATGACGGATTACTTGAATATCTAGAGGACATTATCGGTACTGCTGCTCTCAAAGCACCAATCGAGTCTGCTCTTGCCGAGGTGGATCGACTAGGAGAGGAGAGAACCGAGAAGGTGGCCAGATTGAGGATCGTGGAGAAGGAGAAGGCGAAGTTGGATGCAGAGAGGAAGGAAGCGTTGGCATGGCTGAAGCTTGCGAACGAGCATGTGCGGGCTCTCAGCCGGCTGTGGCAGTATTATTTGTGGAAATGTTTAGAGAATGATGAACAATTCGCCGCGCAAATTGTGAGTGCTTGATCTTTCTACCCTTATTTGCGCTGCTGATATGTGGGGCAGGAACATTTGGAGAAGGAGCTTGAAGATGAGAGGGAACGCAACAAGGATGACATCACTCATTTGGAATTGCTTGAGAAGCATTACAAGGAGCGCGAGAAGGCTTACGAGGTATGGATGTGTGTTGCTCTTCCTACTTCAATGCTGATGTATCCTATCTTTTCAGGAAGTGAAAGCAGCAGCTGAGGAAGCGGCGAAGGACAACGCGGCACGCGAGAAGCAGTCCGTGAGCCTTGAGGAGCGCCGGAAGCATGCGAGCGCAAAGGCGAAAAAGCTGAAGAAGGCGTTGGCAGACGTAAGGTTTCTTTTGCTGTTCTGTTCTTTCTTTCATTTTGTTTGACACATCCCCGTGTTTCATTTGTTTCCCTGCTCCATACTTATTTCCCGGCCTTCATTGGCATTCTGAGTGGGACAGATCTAACATGTCGTTTAAATAGGATGAACAATCGAAAAAGCAAGCCGATAACACAGTCCAGGACTCCGATACCAAAATCAAGACGAAGAAGCGTGAGATTACGGAGCACGAAGCGAACCTGGAGAAGGAAGAGAAGGTGCTCGAAGGGATCCGGGATAGCTTGAAGGGTGGGTCCATGGTTTCGCCACGCTTGACACTATTGTTAACATGGATTGGTAGACAAGACACAAGTCTTTCACGAACAGATTGAGGCGAAGCAAAAAGAGCTACAGCCGTGGACTGCCAAGATCAATGTCAAACAGGCTGCGATTGACGTAGCAAGCTCTGAACGGGACGCACTTGCAAAGAAAGCTACAGGGCTCAAAGACGCTGTTACGCAAGCGGAGGTGCAGTTGGCTGAGTTGCAGGTAGAGCAAGAGGGCAAGGTGCTGTTCCATTTTGTCAAGCGGGAAAGATGACATTGATGGAACGTTCAGCTGAATGAATTGGATTCCTTGAGGATGAAAAAGGCAGAGGTGCAGAAGAAGTTGGGGACATGTGAAGAAAAATTCCACGTATGTCTGCGGGCATGCAGGGTGTGATCGACTTTGACGTTTTTTCTTTTCCCTTTCCGTTCAGGCTGCTCAGGCTGGTGTCCAGGAGCTTCGATCCAAGGCAGGCTCCCTGCGGCAAAAGGCAGAGGAGGCTAGAGCATCCCAAGCAGCCAGCACATCGCAGAACAAAGTCCTGGATAGCTTAACGAAGCTCAAGCAGACTGGTCGGATCGATGGGTTCCATGTATGGTCTCGTGCTCTGTGCAACCTTTCAACCACTCATTGTCTCACAGGGCCGTCTCGGTAGCCTAGGAACGATCCCAGACAAATACGATATCGCAGTCTCTACCGCCTGTGGCGCCCTTCACAACATGGTTGTAGACACTGTCGCCCAGGGTCAGGCATGCATCGAGTTTTTGCGCAAGCAGAACATCGGTCGTGCATCGTTCATGGTGCTGGAGAAGCTTCCCACTGACAAACTCAACGAGCGTGTCGTCACACCCGAGGGTGTCCCGCGGCTATTCGATCTCATCAAGCCAAAGGATCCCCGCTTTGCATCTGCGTTCTACAAAGGCGTCGGGAACACCCTTGTTGCTGATAATTTGGACCAAGCAAACAGGATTGCATTCGGGAGCACGAGGCGTTGGCGTGTCGTCACGCTTGCAGGGCAGCTGATTGATTCATCAGGAACGATGTCGGGTGGTGGGAACCACGTCTCGCGGGGTGGAATGAGCTCGAAGCTCCAGGCGGAGGCAGTGAGCCCACAAGTTCTGAGAACCTATGAGCAAGAGAGTGAGACGGCGGCACGTGGTCTTGAGGCGGCACAGCAGGAGCTTCGCAATATCGAAGCAGAAGCCGAAAGGCTTACTCAAGCAGTCCCGGAAATAGAGCTTAACATCGAGAAGCTTACCATGGGCGTCAATAATGGGAAGAAACGGCTGGCTGATGCTGAGAGGCGTGTGCATGATCTCAAGTACGTGCATTCAATTTATGCTATGCTCGATCGCCACTAAGTATTTTCTAGAGCACAAAGCAAGCCCAACGCTAAGGATCTAGCTCGAATCAACACTCTAGATGCCCAGATTGCATCATCAACAGAAGAGCTTGAAGAACTGCAAACCAAAACTGGCGCTATCGAGGCCGCGATTAAAGATCTCGAAAAGAAGATCCTCGAAATTGGTGGCTCCAAGCTGCTGAAGCAGAAGTCGACCGTTGACGGTATTCGCTTGCTGCACCAGCTAGCTAACGAAGAGGTCACCAAGGCTGAGGTTATGAAGGCTACCGCAGAGAAGAACATCGTAAAATATACGTCTGGCATTGAGACCAACCGCGCAGCGCTGGAGGAAGTCGAGAAAGAGCTTGAGGAGTTGAAGGATCAACTGGCGGAGGTCGCACAGTATTTGGAAGACCTCAAGGAGAAGGTGGAGGCCGCGCAAGCTGCTCAGGAGAGCTCGAAAGATGATCTCGATCAACTCAAGCAGCAACTCCAGGAAAAACGGGAGGAAATCGACGAGTTCAGGAAGAAAGAGGTTAGTTATTTGCCATGCACTTGATATTTCGGTACTCACAGGTTTTGCAGCTTGAGATCACCCAGAAGCTTGCTGACAAGAAGAAAGAGTCTGCTGAAAATGAGCGTGTACTTGATCACTGGCGGACGGAACACGACCAACTTAAGCTTCACGAAATCGAGTGAGTCATTGTCTATTGATTGTTTCAAATTTCGTAGGCTCACAGCTACTGGTAGTGATGATGATGACGACGACGAAGAGGAAGGTGCTGATCAAGTCGCTGGAGCTTCAGGCAGCGGTGAAGGGGTAGTGAAGCAGGAACATCCAGACTCTGCACCTGCGAAAAAGGCTCGTCAGCGAACACCATCTAACGAGCTATACATATACAGTGCCGATGAACTCGCACGCTTCAAGAAGAGGGATATGCTTGCAGATTCTGAGTATCTTGATGGTATGTTCCCCCACCTTAGTCACACGTGATTACTACTAACTCGTCGCCTTAGAGAAACTTAAGAATACCAATCCAAACCTCGACGTTCTCAAGGAGTACAAGAAGCGAGAGGAGGAATTCATGAAACGCGCCAAAGATTTAGAGGAGACGACTGCAGCACGCGATGCGCAGAAGCAACTCTACGATGGTCTACGGAAACAACGCTTGGATGAATTCATGGCAGGCTTCAGCTTGATTTCATTGAAACTCAAGGAAATGTACCAGGTCCGTGCTGACGTTCTTTGGTTCATTGAAATTCTATATTTTCCGTCAGATGATCACTCTTGGGGGCAACGCAGAGCTTGAGCTTGTCGACAGTATGGATCCCTTCTCAGAGGGCATCATTTTTAGCGTCATGCCTCCGAAGAAGAGTTGGAAGAATATTTCAAATCTCTCTGGGGGCGAAAAGGTACATTCTGCTATGAGGATTAGAGAACGCATACTAATCGTTCTCCAGACCCTTAGCTCACTTGCTCTCGTGTTCGCTCTGCATGTGTTTAAGGTAAATCTTATATCAACTCCGAGTAGTTCCAGTAACCTGAATCTGTCCTAGCCTACACCACTTTATTTCATGGATGAAATAGATGCGGCCCTAGACTTCAGGAATGTCTCGATTGTAGCAAATTATATCAAGGACCGTACAAAGAACGCGCAGTTCATCATTATATCTTTGAGGTGACAATTCCCTCTCTCCCGAGAACCACCTTGGCTAAGATGAATTCGCAGGAATGACATGTTCGAGCTCAGTCACCGTCTCATTGGCATCTACAAGACTGCAAATGCAACACAGAGTCAGTGAGATGATTATCTCCTGGGACATGTTTCTCATTTGTTCTTGCACAGGTATATCCATCGATAACCACGCTCTCGCTCGTCGAGCCATCAAGCCTGTGCCTGCGGCAGCCTAAGATACATGCATGCACCTCCAACTCTGTAATGGTGAAGTTCTAGCTTTCTATCATGCTTTGTAAATTATGCGCATTGTATAACAAATGATTTTGTCGTATCCCTCGTTCTACTCATCCCTTCAAATTGCGCCACTGGGAAGAACGTCTGAAAGCCATTCTCCCAAAGACTTTGCGCCCCAGCTAAGGCTTATTGGGGCCTCACCAGGGATATTCGAGACAGGAAAGTCGTCTGGCAGAAGTAACAGTGGTTCGGAGGTGAACCAGGGGTGAGTTAAAGCCCTGGAAGGGCGGAGACGCTGAGATGGTTCGTACACAAGGAATCGGTGGATAAGATCAACAGGAGTTGGTGACATGGTCTCTCGGGGTGTGTGGTTTTTCGTGTCGGCCTCGTGCTGTTGTGCAGATGAAGGAAAATTAGGTAGCATGGAGGGAAGGTCAACAGGGTCTGCATTTATGAAGGACAACTTGTTTGCATCCGGTAAGTTCAAGAAAGACTTGTTCGAGTCAGAAAAGAAGGTCCCAGCAATGAATGACACTCACTGGCCAATTGGTCTCATTTGGCGAACCTCGTGTCTTGAAAATACTCCATGCTAAACCAATCTCTCCACGTGTGGAATCAAACAGTGAATCCCTAACCCACCTGTTTGTGGGGTCTCCAATGCGAAGTCTCTTTGGTATGATGAACGGCTCAGCTGGCTTCGATAGGCCGCCGGGGCTATCGTCTCCTGAGTCAGACTGCTCATCGCCGAAGTCTTCATCGTCAAGTGGGTTAAACAGACGAACAGAAGTGAAGAATTCCGCAAAAGTCGCTCCGAGGCTCCAAGAGTCGATCGCGAATGGGTCATAATTCCTAGGCCCAAACAGCAGCTCAGGGGCGCGGTATGGTCTACCTCCGAGTGAGCCCGGTTCATACTCGCTCAGATAGGGACATACCCCGTAGAAACTTCAAAGTACATCTTTTCCGGGGTTTCAACCCATAAATCGTTTTTCTTCGCGGCAAGATCTTCCCCTTCCTTCCAGGATATGCCAAAGTCAATGAGCTGGACTCGGCCAGATGACGTGAGAAGTATGTTGCTTGGCTTGATATCTCGGTGTGCAATTTTCGCGGTCTCGTGAAGGAATGTCACGCCAATTAGGATTTGAAACATGAGCGATTTCACGAGAAGGACGAAGCGCTGTTCGCGCGGACTGGGATTTAATGGATCTGCGGCCATAATTGAAATAAGTGGATGAGGCGAAAAGTCGTTCGAAGACAACAATGCGATCAGAGACGAAGGCACATATGGCATCCAAAAGCTCATGGCCTGCCGGGGTGAATCGATGCTATGGCCTAAGATAGAAACCACCTAATGATGAGACGTAAGACTCGCCCGACCATTCTGCGCGAGACTCACATTTGGATGACATGCAGAGGCGATCAGCCTCGCCTCCTTGATGATATCGTGCGGCTCTTTGGCATATTTGCGATGGATGGTAGATGTCTTTATTGCGATCCACTGAGTCTGCCCTTCACGCTCGAGAAGGCTCTTCGAGACAAGAGAAACCGGGCCTTCAGCGACTGTTTCGCGAGAACCACTCGGCTGTCACCATCATAGTCAATCGCAGTTATCTGGTAGAAATGGACGCATGCCAACAATGGATGGTGTGCTGCTTGGAGGGCAAAAATGTTGGCGAAGAACCCTTGTCTCGTATCTGCTACAGATGGACCTACGTTTCCATGGCGAACCCTTTGCTCTTAGATTTGGCAGTGTTAGTGGTCATACGAAAATCATCATGGCATCGTGATTCGTCGCATCGAGTTCGGGGTGTATTATTTTTAGCACACGATCGATCAACATTCAATCGCACAGCCACTGCACAACACGGTACTAATTGGCAATTGCTGACATAGTGGCCTAGTGCTCCTGGACATCGACCCATTGCATCATCTTCTGACTGCGCTTGATTATAACTACAGTATGGCGGAAGAAGAAGGCTCGCCCTTCGCTGTTCTACAGTCTTTCCGACGATTCTATAGTACATCGTCAGTAGAATGACACAATCATGGCAGTTCTCACTACCCCTGCGTGTAGGATTTTGAATCGATAATCCTGAGTGAACTGTGACTGTATCCCATAAGTACTGCAGCAGTCACCAGTGTAACTCGATCGTTGAGTGCACTCACGAGTAGGGATCTGCACGGGTGAACCCCCGGGTGTTGGCAGGTCAACCCGCACCTGCACCCCGAGGTAAACCCACACCCGCAGCAAGGGTACGGGTTGCACAGTGGGTGTTACGCTGACCGTCGGTCGGCGTGTGTGAACTAGGATAGGTCTTCTCAGCAACGACTTGAGTGAGTCTACTGAAGCTGAGGGTGGTTCTCGGCTTGACGGAACGTCAAGGGTTCCTCCGGCGATCTCGGTAAGATGGCGCTCATCGAGATGCAGGGCTAGCGGATATGTGCTAAGTCATAAGGGGGCGACTTAGAAGTGCGGTCTCACACAAGGAAGCTGGTAAGGCTTAGTTGAGCAAGTTCTGGGGATGAACCTAGTAGATTAAAGTAAAGTCTAAGTACAATAATCCTGTCTACTTATAGGGAAGTACTACAAGTATTCTAGCTCAGTCTGTAATCAATAGTATATCTAGGATCTATGATAACAAGACATGAGGTTCAGATAACGTACATGAGGCTTAACCTCTGATCAAGCATGCTGCGCCAAGGGCAGCTGCGCGTAGGTACAGGAAGCGCCAAGAGCGCTCCGGATCTTCATGAAGCGACATGTGGTATGCATGCGCTGATCTAGGGTGACCATGAGGCGTACAGCCTCCATGGATCAGGTACAAGGCCGTCTAGGCCAGGGGCGGGGTCATAGCACCAGGGGCGGGGTCATAGCGCCAGGGGCAGGGTCACAGCGGTCCAGACCGCTGTCTTTCTAGGCGCGGGCGGCGCACCGCCGCGCAGGGAGTCTAGCAGAGCGGGGGCAGGTGTAGGCAGAGCAGGGGCTCCTGTAGGTGTTACGGATGCCTGTAACAGTGGGTAGCGAAGTAAGGACCCGGGGTACAACCCATCAAGGGTGTACCTGCGGGTCATAGATCCACCAGTGCTTAGCACATATGTCCAGCACACGTCAGCGAATGCTGACGTGACTCGAACATATGTGGATGGCACAAGAAGGAGGAGGGGCGTGCGCTGGGCATTCGCGCATGGCATCCGTCACGTTGGGAATGGCATAGTGGTCGTTGGTGATGGTGTCGCTGGGGTATGCGCTAGTGCCAGCACGAATGACAAAGATGGTGGTGCGAATGATGGCGAAGGTGACGCGGATGGTGGTGTTGGCGTCGTGGATGGTGGCGTTGGCATGAAAGCTGGTGGTGGTGCGAGTGCTGGGCGCACAAAGATAGGCACCGGCAACATGACGCGTATGACGTTGTTGTTGTTGCTGGGGGTAGAGTCTTCAATGTGAGTACTCACTTCCAGCGTGCCCAAAGTCTCGTCTCCTCGAGTTCCTCTTTCCTCCTTCATCTCTATACCATCCCTTCTCCCTTCTTCGATTCTCTTGTCCTTTCGTCTTCGCGTGTCGTCCGCGTGCGTTTGCATTGCGTCAACACTTGTTGATGCGTTTCGGGTGCGCGTGCTGTGAACGTGGAGTTGGTGGACTTGGGAAGGCGCGTTAGGTGCCGGTGTTGGTGGTGGTGCCAGTTGTAGCGTGCACGCGGGAATGCTGGGTGCGAAGATGTTGATAGTGGCGTGGTGAGCGAAGACGTTGATGATGGTTGCAGTTGAGGAGTGTGCGAGGACGAGAGGTAAAATTACCGAAGGCACGGGTATAGCTGGGGTACGGGTAAGAGCGCGGGTCTTAGAATCCCGACCCGTACCCGTACCCCAGTAGTACCCGTACCCGTGACCCGCGCGGGTTACCCGTACCCGTGCAGATCCCTACTCACGAGTCACTAGTCATGACCCTCTTCAGCCTTGGATAACGTTCTAGCATCAGCCTATATTGTGATATTGATACATTACTTACTTACAGTAGTAGCATAAATGTGATACATTAATGACTACACTGCATGGCACCCTTACGGTCAGTAGGAAGTGATGTATCACTTGGGTGGATCCAAAAGGGATGCACCTTGTGATACATCAATCACTACAATATAGTGTATCCCTATAGTCAGTAGTGAGTGATATATCAATTGGTAGTTCTAAATGTGCCTGGGCTCTTCTTGTTCCTAGACCTGTTCCTTCGATTGTTCCTTGGGTTCTGACTTGTCCGGATATATGTGCAGCATGAGTATTTTTAGACAATCTTAAATTAGCATATCCAAAGAAATTTCACTAAGTCCAATGACACCGTCGGCACAGTCGTGAACTCTGGTTACACCAAAGGTTATAATTTGACATATGGGATATCAAATTTCACGAAGTCTTTTAGAGATGTAGGGACTGATATTTCTCATGGACACACAATAGCGAGGTACTCAAGACAATTGATTCCAAGAAATACATTAAATTCATGCCTAAGGCATTTTAACTTGTGGTACTCGCAGAAAATTTTATTTGTTACCACTCCCAATAGCGTTGGCAGCAGCTGCTCGAGTGGACTGGAACCATTGCCGCTTTCCCCGGCCTTCTTCCAAACAAACTGCCAGCTGGGTGGATTCTACTGCAGTTTTACGAGTGGTCCATGTTTTTCGTTGACATTTTGCAGGAGGGTCATTCTCTATGACATGGTTATTCTGGGGATAAGCCAATGGCGAAGAACACTTGGTAGTGGATGATGCTGGGGGTAGCGCAAGAACTGGCGGGAGTGTGGTTGTGATCACAGTGGGAGTAAGAGCGGTGTAGAGATACAGCAATTGCTGGACACTACACAAAGTAAGTAGCCAGCAATATAAAAATGTTGTGGTCGTGCACAGCCTAGTCTGCTTATACTTGCAAGACAAGTGCGTTCGACCCGAGGGGTTTGCTGTATGGTATTAGAATAATCAGTTATAACAAAAGGAAGATAGTCCGAAGCGTGGGAAACAAAGTCCGAAGGTATAATTACGAGTCCAATGTCAAAAACATCGGGTCCGATGTTTTCGGGTTAGCAGGTTTGCCTCGGGTTGCGTTGGGTTAGTGTCGGGTTTGTGTCGGGGATATAGCAAATGTTGGGGATAGCAAATGGCGGGTTACTGTCAGATGTTTTGGATAAAGAAAGGATGATATTGCAGAATCCAACTAAGAACTACGAATATTGGATGACCTCCTCCTACTCGGAGGTAGAAAGGTAAAGTAAATAGGTAGGAGGTATGCGAAATATATAGTATCTATGTAGAATTTCGGAGTGCTATAGGCGAAAGTAGTAGCGCTGATTTTTGGGTCCGATGTCCTATGTAATAAGACACGATGTACTGCGGACATGTAATAACACGTTCTACAATGTTAGCGACGTGAAAATGAATAACTGCGCACATAGTGGGGATAGATACAACAGGACAGGACATAGGGAGGACAAGTGTGCGGGAAAATATCGGGTCTGTCGGGTTTGATGCATGGGAAACGTCGGGTTCATCGGGTTAGCGTCGGGTTTAGCGGATAAACATTGGATTGAGCGGATGAGTGTCGGATAACATTGGAAGTGATTCGTGTGTTTGACATGTATGGGAAAATAGCTGAATATGAGCCTAGCATGAGCTCGAGTGCTACAGCGGGTGTCAACGTCGTAGAGGGGGTGGGAGTGGGACATGTAGTATCAGTGTCATTGACAAACTCAACATTGGGATTGAGTAAGGCCTGGATAAACGACATCTCTCGACCTATTGCAGAAAGAGCCACAACCGGAGGCGCTGGAGAGACGACATGAGGTGGAGGGCAGGAGGGGGTGTACCCATCTGGAGAGAGGACGTGAGGCGGAGGGCAGGAGGGGGTGTACCCATCTGGCATGGTAAGGATGGGGGTATTGAACTTGTCGTCGATACCATCATCTTGAGGACCAGGAGGGAGATTTCCAAAAAAACTTGCATCTTGTTCTATTGATGGTAAGGATGACATAACTGGAGGTGGATTTAAAGAGACTTCTGGGTCTGTTCCAGGAATATCGTCAGGAGCGGCGGAAATGCGGAGCAGAGTGTCATCCTCAAGGATACTCTGGGAAGATGTTTCATTTGAAACATTGTCTGTCCCAGCATCCGCTATACTTTCCTCAGTTTAATGTAGAATAAACACAAAAAAGACATACAAAATGCACGAGACACAAACTCAAAGTACGGTACCATTACATTTTCATCAAACTTCGGGAACACCTGATTGAAGGGATTACCAAGTGTCGTTGATCCTATGTGCAAGCTGCTAATATCAAGTTTGCCTCCATTCGCTGGGTTTGGACCACCAAGCAGAACACTGAAAGTCCACCCTGTAGTGTCATGAAGCTTGCTGAAGAATGTTGACAAAATTTCCGTAAGTCTGGATACAATTCTGGAGTCTAGAATCAGCACAGTATAAGAGAAGAGAGGAGAAGCCGCTTACAATTGAGCATCTGTCACCTCCGGTGAGTGATCTTTCTCATCCTCTAGTCCCCTTGCTTCCTTCATATCTCTTGCAAGTTGGGATATCTCTTCCTTCACCTTGGCAGACTCATTCTCCCAGTGTTGTTGAACATGTTTTCAAACAACGGTAAGATTCCTGTTCTTGCGATCATTGGGGGGATTAAGTTCTTCTTGCAGGCTACTTAGCTCTGCTTTCACTCCAGGCTGAACCCGAGAAGCATAGTACTTTTTAGCATAGACTTCCTCTGGTTTGAGATGACGTGTTCGGCTGGTGGGTGAGGCTTTGATGATTTTGCTAATAAGCTTGTGAACAACTGAGTTGCCTGATGCATTTGCCTTACGGCCAGCCTTCAAATTACCCAAGTCATTACGCAATTTGGCAGTTAAGCGCTAGACATATCATGTAGTACATAAGTACACAATAACCACATGTGAAGCAAGACACCAACTTTATGAATTACTTTCCTGGCTTCTGCCTCCTTCTCCAACTGTGCATCAGTAAGCTGATCCAGAGAGGCATCTGGAAACAAGGAATCCCTTGTAGGCCACTTCTCTTCCCATTTTTCAAAGAAGGGCAGCCAGAAGTTAGCATAATTCCCTTTTTTTTGCATTTGAGGTACTCGTTGTGGAACATCACGATGAAGGCTTGTTGTTCTGGGGTCAGCCATGTACGGGGTGCCATCTATTCATGTCAGCCAGCAATAATAACTAAAATTAAGTTGTCATCATACCTTTGAGCTGAATTTTGGTCGCGTTCAACTTTATGAAATGAAAATGAAATGGCTAACGTTCATGGTCTACGTACTCTTAAGTAACGTGATGGCAACAGTGTATCATTTGTACATACTATAGCTAGTATGCTCATCGACTAGTAGGTAATGACAATGCAATAATTCTAGACGAGTTCTCATTGATATAACAGTTCTTTTAACAAAAAAGCCTCGGATAATTCAAAGTCGCCACACATTGTGTGACACAGTATGTCTTCTAGATATGCAACGAGAGATCGAATGTACTTGCACACCTCATCCACTGCATGCCACTCATCACAGATACCACACCTTTCATAGATCCAGTCAAGCCCTCGGTGAGCATTGTCACTGAAGTCTTCGAGCTTCTCTATGGCTTTCTCAATGATGGTAATATCACTGCGGCCTGTGGTTTCAACAGTGGTGTCAGGGGCCGAGCTTGGCATTGACATTGTATAAGCTCTTAGGATGTTCTCGATGAAGCCTCACAGAGTTTTAACAAATTGCACTGTCTCATCCTTGGTAGTTTTGACCAGCGCCAGACATTCCGATAGTGTTGAGCTTGAACTACTAGTTAGCTGTGAGAAAGAAAAAGGGTGTATGTGACCTACATTTGAGGCTCAACATCCGAGTCATTCTCTTCATCGACAGGTCTAACTTGTGAACGTTGAGCACGCACTTGATGCCTTTTCAAATTGATGCGCTCGCAGTGCCTGTAGCCATTTAGTACCCAGCTGGTATGTCCGATATCAATGACACATACTTTTCATAATATCGACACCGCTTTTCTCTGGCAGCAATTTGCCTCTTGACCACTGTGTGGTGTAGAGTTGGGCGAGCCATACTGACAACTAGCGTGCGCAAGAGAGAAAAAAAAGTATGTGTATGCAAGATGAACAGCTTACGTTTCATACCATCAAGACGATTCAAATCCCTACTATGGGTTTTGGTCCTACCATGGTTTTGGTCCTACCAGGGTTTTGGTCCTACCGTGGTTAGGATCCTATGAAATAGTACATATCTTAGGTGAGCGGTCTGCTACAAGATGATCAGAAGATGGTTTGATACTCATTTGTGACTTGCTTTTGGGTTAGACAGGTTGTTTGTCTGCCAATGTGCTGTGAAGCCATTGATATTTAGAAACAGTGTCTCATGGTCGCTGGTAAGTGCTGAGCAAAGTTGTAGTTAGTTACTAGTAGTCATTGCTACTGTGGTTTGGACTTTACAACTTGAACAACAGTTGAACTTGGTGTAGGGATGTGACATGTGTAGTAGATAAATATTTTTGAATTAAAGCACATTCTGTGACCTCTCTGGTAACAGATACACAAATTATCATTGCTTTCCATGTAATATATGGGACTTATGATGATATCAATACAGTACAGTACTTGTACGCCCCGCGGTCTTTTCGTGATGTCTAAGCCCAGGTGTTTCCATTTTTGGATGTTGGGAATCAACAAAGGCAATTGATTACCCTTTCGCGTTTTCTCATTGACGTCGGCTGATATCACAAGTATGTATATGATGAGGATATTCACTTATCTGGCTCGATTCTCAGTTTCTATTGGACAACAGACACTTACTCCCAACAACACACCATGCAACGATCAGTTCAAGTTTTGCATGAATCATCATACCTACCACAGTGCCACTTGCTGCCTGAATGACCATGATCTGGTTAAGCCCAAGCATTTGTCGGCACAATGGATGAGTGTGGGCCAGGGAAAATACTCGGTCTGCAGAAGTGATTTGCTCAGATGGTGCGTAGGATTTGTCTGTTATATTTGCCGACTTGGAGATTCTCCAATGAGCTTCTCTGAGGCTCTGAGGCCTAGTACTGAGCAACTAATCCCTAGGCTCTCTGTTGACTACAGTGCATTCATGTCCCATGGATGCCCATCCAAGAGGGCTGTGTTACGCACTCAAATAGATCTGTTAGGCGGAGCCCTAAGAGGGGCGTTGTCCGCTAACGTTCGTGACGTAACCGGAAGGATCCGGTATAGCAAGTGATACTGGCGATGACAAGTCGGCAGTGATCACAGTACGCGCGTGTCACGTGACTTTGTAGACAGATGTCTTTGAAGTCGCTCAAGGTAAGGACTGTCTTGTCCGTACGATGAGGTCGATCGAGGTAGACTTAGTCGCGATGAGCAACTAAGAAAAGATACTAGAGACTGAAGCCAAAGGGGCATTCAGAGGGAAGTATGTTCCAGGGAAGATTGAGTAGATTCAAGTTAGAGAATCTAGTACAGGGTGACCGACTACTTATACTAAGTGGAGAGGGTTAAGGGCAAGGCTACCACACAGTAGGTAAGGGTAAAGGGGAAACGAGAATGGTATAGGTGCGTTGGCAACATAGCTGGATTAGTGATGGGTGGTCGAATGTGGAATGAGACCGAGAAATGTTGGAACGGACCAACAGTAAGAATACAACGTGCGGGAATCCGCAGTCAGGGGAAACAGAAAGAGGAAAGCCACATTGGTGGCACGAGTCAGACCGAGTCATAGGTGCGGGACCACATTGGTGGTCGAATCAGGGGAGGAACGTGCGTGCACGTGCGTAGAGGCGGGCGATGCGAGGGACGGGAACAGTCCCAAAGATCCGGTCAATGGAAAGTCGGTAAAGGAGGATGAGCCGGTAGATGGTGAGGGCAAGGATGAAGGGAAAATGATAGGGGGGCCATGTGACCGATGTTACTTGTAACAGGCTGCAATAAAACGTGTCACCTTTATGCCCCCCTCTGCTAGTGACCATGAAGCTACACTCTTGCAACTTCGTGCCGCCAAAATTACTGCTCAAGGATCTACGCATCTCACAACTCACTATATCACTGCAAGGTCGTCAGAGATCCCATCAATGAACAATTTGTCTTACACAGATGACTGGGCTGAGCACACCGCCGACCCCGATGCTGAAATTCATGTTGAAACTCCTCCACACGAGATTATTTGTGAAGCACGCTCTGACAAACATAAACGAACTGCAGCAGTAAGTTATCATTCCATCAAGTTAATCATTGCTATAACCTAGAGTACTTTAGGATGCACCTTTGCTGGCCTGGATTCCAGAACAGCAAGCATTCCTTGATGAAATGCTATGCCTCGACGGACATGGGTCAGAGGGCATCATTTGTCGATGTGGAAATGATGCACCTCAATTCTGGTGTGGCAACTGTTTTGGCACTGAGATGTTTTGCCACCAATGCATGCTTGACACTCATGTTTATCACCCTTTGCATAGGATCGAAGTATGAGACCTTTTCAAATTTACTTTCGCAGCAGACTTACAGTTCATTATCAGATGTGGAATGGGACCTTTTTCCAACACACTACACTCAAAAAGCTTGGACTTCGCATACAACTCAGTCATACCCAAGGAGAAAGGTGTTATAACCCCCATCCCTCTGCTGGTGATGACTTCATCGTCATCAGTGTTCACGGTGTTCATGAGGTTGCATTGGAATTTTGTGGCTGCACTTCAGCCCAGGTTCGGTACAAACAGTTACTCTGAGTGCAGTGGTACCCAGCAACCATCTCAGAGCCTCACACAGCAGCAACCTTCAGGGTTCTGCAACATTTCCACCTTTTGTCCTTTGAGAGTAAGGTGTCTACATACGAATTCTATCACTCACTTACAAAGTATTCCGACAATACAAGCTTATCAGCCATAAAGGTAAGTATTCCTTCAACATCTCTTCAATTATCTAAAATATAGATTCTAGGACCGCTACTCCACCTTTATGCGCATGGTGCATGAATGGCAGAACCTCAAACAACTTCGCCGTGTGGGAAGGGGTCATGACCCCGCTGGTGTGAGTGCTACAGCCGAAGGAGAACTCACCATACTATGCCCCGCATGCCCACAGCCAGGAAAAAACCTACCGCCTAACTGGGAGAAAGAACCACTTTTCATTAGGTGGAAATATGCATTATTTGTGGCTATCGATGCCAATTTTAGACTCAAGCGCAAGGCAGTGTCCTCCAATATTGCCAACCCTAGCCTTAACACTGGAGGGGCATATTTTGTAGAAGAGAGAGCCTACAAGTCATACCTCGCGGATCATTCGGGAGACAAACAAGAGGTAATGAAAACACAACTTGGTTTTCTCTATTTGCCACTGACTATTGTTACACAATAGCGCAGCATGTGTGTTAGCCACAACGTGGTCAACATGGCGGATACCAAGTCCTCTCATGGGCTTGCAGCCACTGGCGTCGGGACCATTGACTATGCAAGGCATGAAATGAAGCTTGCAAACAGCATTGGAGACCTTCAAAGAGAGGAATGGTATGTTGTATTCTCATCTTCCCTTACCTGCAGCTAATCAAAAGTGCCCTCAGGTACATTAATATGGACTATATCATGTTTTCTGCACTGCTCACATTCACTGCATCCATAGTTAACATATCTTACGACATCGCCTGCCAGTGGCACAAGAAACTCTGGACTCGGATGGAAACAATCCCAAAACGGCTGCATCCCCCCTGTGACTCCATCATTATTCGATACTTTGTTCCAAAGTTCCACATCCAAGCACATGTTAACAAATGCTGCACGAACTTTTCTTTCAACTGGTCAAGATACATTGGCCGAACAGACGGTGAAGCACCTGAATGAGGCTGGTCCAATATCAACCGAGTGGCATCAAGCACAAGAGAGATGGGTCCAGGAACCCGTCGAGATACTCTTGATGATCATTTTGGCGACTGGAATTGGAAAAAAATCACGGCATTAGGTGAGCGGTTCTCTTGTTAAATAATCTCAAGCTCTGACATGGACTTAGGGTGAACACTGCTGCACAAGATGTGTGAAGCTGTCAAATGGACCAAGGAGCATTCTGAAGCACTCACAGAAGCATGGGAGGCAGACAATTCTTCTCCCAATCCCTTTGAAAGCCAGTTCACTCATAAGTTGCACTGCACTTCCTTCCTTTGTTGTACTGATAATATATAGTGGTAACACAGGCAGCCATGTGTCTGCACTTCACTGAGCTCAATGCCCAAGAACTTCAAACTGGAGTCCATCTCTCGCTTCATGCTGACATTTTACTGAGTGGGTTGATAACTTCAGGCATGGATCTCGAAGACCAGCAGTGAGTTTTGTGGTCTGTTTTCACTACATTATTTTGATAAATCTACAGAGCATGCCTGAAATCAGAACTCGCCAATGTCTCTCTCCATGCCACTGACAAGCAGAAGGCAACAACGCAGACTCAGATCACCTCTCTCCAGCGACGTCTTGACGCCTGGGCTCACATTCAAGAGCTGTACATGCCAGTTGTTTCTCAACTTCGTCATCGATCATCTGAAGCCAGCAGGACCATGCATGAGCTGAAGCCCGAAGATTTCAACCTCTGGTTCCCTTCTCAGCTCCCGATCCACGTGCCCTGTGACAAGAAGCTTGTTGAGTACGAATGGGAATTACACTATGCACAAGCCCTCGACGCCCTCAATGAACTTCACTCACACCTTCGACTTCGCTCGCATATGTATATGTACAAGGATAAAAACATCCATGGTCAAGTGGCTAACACCCATGCAAACCAAATAATCGAGGCTGTGGAATCAAGGAAGTGTGCTACTGTTCTGAAATATAGATGTGCATGCAACACACTGTTATCTCTCAGCTGCCACCTTCAGAAGTCTAATTGGGAGGCTGTCATGCGTCCGCTTCTAGATTCCGATGTCAAACCCATGGGTGATATGGAGCAACAAGGGACAGGAAGAATCTATTGGATTTGGTTAGACTCCCATGCTGACAACAGCTGCATGGAGGACAAACACGTGCAAGACTGTAAGTTTGTTATTCATTCACTGGTACTTTGATTGATTTCTCATTACTAGGTGTTTGTTTGGAATGGTGTAAGGCTCACGCATGTGCACACCGTTGGTCAGAAGAGGTAGAGCTGTTGTTAGAAGAGATGAGACGGGTCCTGGCATTTCTGACATGGCAGGCAGAGTGGTGGAAGGAGCGAAGCTCTCTCCGAATGCTCGACTCACCATCCACACAAGAAGGGCTCATGGCATATGCATGTTGCCAGTCAGCACTGCGCTTGTCACTGGTGAGCTCATTTCAGGAGCTGTGGAGCGGGGTGCCTGCCCTTGTGTCCGCTGGCATGGATATTCCAGAGAGCGAGGCAGCAGGCCCAGCTCCTACTATTGATGCTCCTCCACATGTTGTATAATTAGTCAATAGAAGCTCATTAAAATTTGTACCTCGATTGCGATATACATATATGAGATCTCAGATATGTCGGTTGACATTGCTTCCCATCGGGCATGGAAGAAATAACAAACTCATGGAAGAAATAATGGACTGATGTATCACCACAGTGCTTGCAGCTAGGTTATAAACATAGTGAATTGATGTATCACTCTTGCTATGGAAGAGAGTAATTGATGTATCACATTTTCACTACAATGAGAGTAAGTGATACATTATTACTACAGCTACAGGTGCTAGCATGGTATCAGTGGTCTGGCCAATCAATAATGGGCGCTTCCAAGCACATATGGTTTATCGTTAATAATAACCGTCATTGCCGCAACATGCAGTAGTGGGCGCCTGTCTATCTTTCATGCCACCCACCACTCACCACCCTCCTCGTTCCATTTTCACCAAGGCATTATCCACATATCCATCCTCCCCACTTACTAGATGAATGAAAACAATCCTCCTCAGAAGAAACCCTGGGAGTGGTTAAAGCCACATTCAGACCCACATTTGGTAGAGGACAGAGGCAGGAAGGGAGCCAGTCAAGATGTATGAACTTTTGTCTTTAGAACCACGCATTGTTTCTAATCATATCAGCCATCCTCTCTCTCACCTTCGACGAGTGGGTCTAGTGGACGATCCTCGGGGTCAGTTCACAAGCTCTTTGGCAAGGTGACCAAGGGCTTCGCTCCAAGCGCTCAACAGTCCCACAACCCTGAATCCACTCAGTCCAACAAGGCATGTCCAATTTCAATTCTGAGCATTCCCAGGGCGCTTGCCATTATTTCCTACTAATCACCTCTACAGGATCTCACCGCTCCCACTTCTGAAGCATATCACAAGCAGTCTTCCGATTCAGGGATTGTAGCTAAGGTAAGTTCGACCAACGAAGTTTGCAAAATTTTCATTTGTCTCTTTCGACGACGTGCTGACGTCTCTACTTAGGCCGAACATCTGGACCCAAAGTTTGTGAACAAAAGAATCGCCAATGCTACCAAAGGTGTCGCAGGCATTGGCCAGGTCCCAACAATAGTCAAACATGCTTCTTCCACAGTCAACAACCTACCATCTGTTTCTGATACAATCGATATGTTCTCCCCGTTGCTTAGACCCTTGAAGGCATTCAACTCCATTGCCAATGAAATTGCAAATGTACAGTCATCTATCTCTTTTCTGTGCATGGCTAACTTTCACATGCAGGTCCATCCCTATGCGAAGGTAGCACTGAGTATCTTCACTTGCGCGTCCAAGGTAGGCCTCTTTCTCGAGCATTGCCATTGTAGGTCAATGAATTTTTGGTCACAGATGATTCTCGATCAGGCAGACCACGATGTCGCGGTTTCCAGTCTACTCTCAAAGATATCTGAAGTCTATACTTTCATTGCCGAAGAGGAGGAATTGGCCAAGATTCAACCCATGCTAGCGATATACGGGAAGATAGCGCAGCAGACACTGGAGTGCGCTGATTTTATCAGCCATTACTCCGAGATGAAGAGCACCTGTGAGTTGATTCCACTGCTTCATCACCTGGGACTCAATGTTTCCTGCTTTTATAGGGAAAAGACTCGGCAAGCACATTTTCGACGAAACGGACGAAACAATTCAGAGCTACAACAATGTTCTCGACAGTCTCATGCAGTAATTCCGAGATCAAGCAGCTCGTGACACCATCGTGATCATTCACCGTATGGGTAAGAGACACTGTCAGGTCTCTTTGAGCCTTATCTGACATTCCATGCAGCCGAGATTCTGGACCTCGCAGGGATGGAGTATGCAATGGGCACTGGATTGAATACATCTAAATGCTGTTTGCCAAATACTCGGCGAGACCTTCTGAAGGACATTCAGAATTGGATCAGCAGCACCGAGGAGGGCGCTCCACATGTTCTATGGTTGTCTGGCACAGCAGGCAAGGGCAAATCGGCTGTCACCCATACAATAGCCAACTGGTATATCGAAAATGGCGGCCTTGGCTCATGCTTCTGCTTCTATCGCACTCGGCAAGCAGATCGGCGTCAGGACAAAATATTCACGACAATCGCAAGGGAATTGGCGGACTGCAACCCTATCGTGCGATGAGCCTTGGCACGAGCAGTTCGTGATCATGACAGACTCAAGTGCACTCCAGATATCATAAAGCAATGGCAGGAGCTCATTGTTGGACCAATGAACACGACCTCAAATGCCATCACGGCACCCATGCTGATAGTCATCAATGCGTTAGACGAGAGCGGCGAAGCCGACTCTTGGGAACAAATTCTTTGTCTGCTCGCTGGTAAACTGAACACTTCCACCTCACAACCATGCAAACTCCCAGCGAACTTCCGCATTCTCCTCACCTCCCGTCCACTCGAAGACATTCACAACACTCTGGACGCCGCACCACATGTTTGCCACGTTTCTTTGGATGGTATCTCGTCTGCATCCACAGAAGTCGACATACAGCTTTATATCTCCCACAAGTTGGAAGGTCTGCATCGTGTCTTCAATGATGCGCAATTCAAGGTGCTTGCCCTGAAATCCGACGGCCTGTTTGAATGGGCTCGTCTTACCTGCGAGTATATCAAGGGCACTAACAGAGTTGGCATGGATCCAAAGGGTCGGTTCGATGCTGTGGTTTCTGGAAGATCTGCAAAAGGAACATGTTTGTTGGATGATATGTATCAACGGGTTTTGGCAGACATCATGCCAGAGGACGAGCGCAAAAAAGGGATCCCCATATTTCGCTCTGTGATGGGGCAAATTCTTGTATCGTTGGAACCACTTCCCATGCCTGCATTGACCACCATGCGACTCCATTTTCCCAAAGGGACTTGCGATTACAACATGGACTGGGTCATTGGACCACTGAGGTCGCTTTTGACGGGCACCTCAGATTCCCATACTCCCATACGTCCCCTCCACGTGTCCTTCTATGACTTTCTGACCGACAAATCACAGAGCCACGACTTCTTCATTGATACATCATCGGTACAGAGCGACCTCGCCTTTTCCTCACTTCGGGTCATGAAGGACGGACTTCGCTTCAACATTTGCTCCCTAGAGAATTCTTACTTGCCCAACTCTTTTGTCCCTGATTTGGAGACACAAGTCAAGGACTCTATTTTGAGGCAGCTATCATACTTGTGTCGATTCTGGGGTATGCATGTAGCAGCCATGTCCTTCGAATCATCGCTAGCCAATGAAGTCGAGGCTTTCTTCGATGGAGAGCGCCTTCTTTGGTGGTTGGAAGCACTGGCTCTGACAAAAAACCTCAGTGGCTCAGTAGTGACCCTCTCATCCATCGCAAAGTGGTTTACGGTGAGTAGCTCAAGCTCATTCTTTTCCCACCGAATTCTCACGATTAGCGGGGTGGTCGTAGGGTCATGCCGAGTTCACGCACATTAGTGACGCCACCAGGGATACCCTGCATTTCGTCCGAACCTTCGCAGCCACCATTTTATGCAGCACTCCCCATTTATACTTGTCCGCTCTGCTGTTCGCTCCTACGCAGTCAAGAATGTTCTGCAAGTTCGCATCAAAGTTTCCTTGCACCCCCCACATCGTCACTGGTCATGTCAAAAATTGGCCTCAGATGGAGAAAATAATCTGTGTGAGTGACATGATTTCCTCGGTTGCACTGTCACCAGATGGGAAACACATTGCGTGTGGTTTATATGACGGATCGATCCAGGTGTGGGATATGAATACTGGCGAGGCATTGTATCTCCCTCTTCAAGGCCACACTTTATTTGTTGCATCCGTCGCATTCTCGCCAGATGGACATCGCATTGTTTCAGGTTCGTGGGATGGAACAGTCCAGGTGTGGGATGCGAAGACTGGCGAGGCAATAGGATCTCCCCTCCAAGGCCACACTAATGGATTTGTGTCTGTCGCAATCTCACCGGATGGTAAATGCATCGTGTCTGGTTCATTGGACACCACAATTCGGGTGTGGGACATGGAGGCTGGCAAGGCATTTGGTGCCCCACTCCAAGGCCACACAGGCGATGTTCACTCTGTTGCAATCTCCCCGGATGGGAAATGCATCGTGTCTGGGTCAGCAGACAGGACCATCCGTGTGTGGGATATGATGCCCGGTGAGGCATTGGGTGCTTCTCTCCGAGGCCATGTTGGCCCTGTTTGGTCTGTCGCAATCTCGCCTGATGGCAAACGCATTGTCTCTGGCTCAGAAGATAAGACAATTCGGCTGTGGGATATGCAGACTGGTGAGGCAATCGGTACCCCCCTCAAAGGCCATACCCAAACTGTGAAGTCAGTCATGATCCTGTCAGATGGAAACCGCATCGTGTCTGGTTCAGATGACCAGACCATCCGGGCGTGGGATGCAAAGACTGGCAAGGCAGTAGGATCCCCTCTCCAAGGCCACACCTCCTCGGTTCAGTCTGTCAAAGTCTCGCCGGATGGAAGTCACATAGTCTCTGGTTTGATTGACAAGATGATTCGGGTGTGGGATGCCAATACCATACGCAAAGCATTGGTTGCTGCCCCCGAAAGCCACACTGGCTCTGTTAATTCTGTTGCAATCTCGCCCGATGGATGTTCTATCGTATCTGGTTCAAATGACATGACAGTTCAGGTGTGGGATATAGAGACTGGCAAGCCATTGATTGCCCCTCTTCAAGGGCACACAGACTCTGTTCTGTCAGTTGCAGTCTCATCAGACGGGAAGGGGATTGTGTCTGGTTCAGCTGACAAAAACATCCGCATGTGGAATGTGGAAACTGAGAAGGCATCAGGTGTTTTCCAAGGTCACGCTAACCAAGCTCTGTCTGTTGCAATCTCACCGAATAGAAATCACATCATATCTGGTTCCACTAACACAATCCAGGTATGGCATATTGAGACTGGCGAGGCATATTCTCTCAGTGGGCTCTCTGGCTGGCTTTGGTGTGTCGCAATTTCATCAGATGGAAATCGCACAGTGTCTGGTTCGGATAATGGGACAATTCAGGTGTGGGGTAGTATGGAGGCTGGCAAGGCACCGAGGGCCCGTCTCCAAGGTCACACTGGTTCGGTCATGTCTGTTGCAATCTCGCAGGATGTATGTCGCATTGTATCTGGCTCAGCAGACAAGACTATCCATGTGTGGGATATGGGGACCGGCGAGCAAGTGGGCGCCTCTCTCCAAGGCCACACTGGCAATGTTAACACTATTGCAATCTCCTCAGATGGTAATCACATTGTGTCTGGCTCAGAAGATAGGACCATCCGGGTGTGGGATATGAAGACTGGCAGGGTAGTGGCCACTATTCGAGGGCACGCCGGACGTGTTCGGTCTGTCGCAATCTTGCCTGATGGCAAACACATCGTGTCTGGGTCAGACGACAAGACCATCCGGGTGTGGGATCTAGAATTTCTAATCCAGCATCACCAATCATTTGAAGCATCTACAATATGTTTCTCATCTGACCTGACTCATGCCCTTCATTCTGCCTCCTCCTTTCTCCAAGATTCCAAGTCTGAAACCCCAGCCCCACCCCCATCCTCATCCTGCGAGTCTGAAACCTCAACATCTTACCTCCCGAACGAGGAGGGATGGGTTGTAGGTCCCCAAGGACGGCTTCTCCTCTGGATTCCGCTCAATTTCCACCCAGTGGTGTATGCCCTGGGCAACACACTAGTGATAGCCAATGATGTCCTGCACCTGAACTTGAGTTGTGCCGCACACGGCACATCATGGCAAAAGTGTCGTGAACAGTAGCAGGCTGCATCACTTTGGCATGTCCTTATGTCAATCGACTGGAGATTTATGCACATCCTACCAATTTCATATAACACCTGTTTACCATCTTGGATTTCGTTCGTTCTGTTCCACTTAATGGGCTCGCTCTCGCAAAATGTTTAGGAGTACACAAAGATTTTATTCACCATGTTTACATACACTCATCCCATCGGTACTGTACTATCTGGAATTGCTTCCCCAAGGATAAGTTGAAGGCGTACAAGAACTGGACGTGAACTTGAACCACCACTTGACTCCATCGCCTCCTTGTCTGAACAGATGGATCGCCGCAATGCACTTCTTCACCCCTCGAAACCATGTCCAACAGCATGGACCAAGGAAGGGCAGATGAATAAGTGACGGTGACCAGAGGAGGAAGTGAGGCGAAGAGAAGCCAGTTAAAACACCTATATGAGTGGTAGCAATGAGAACACAAACGGTACCATGATGGTATCGGGCTGGATGGATGTTGAGTTGCTGATGATGTCCGAATCCACATTGTTCGGGGTAGGGCACGATAACGATGGAATGAAGACCTCGTGTGCATCGAAGTGATTTCGCTTGTGAGTGGAGTGGAAAATAGGCCCGTGTTTCAAGAGCATACGACGTCAGTTGTGAAAATGGAAGAGGGAAGGTCATACGAAAATCATGGCATCGAGTTCGAAGCAGAGATGTATTATTTTTAGTACACGATCGATCCGCACAGCCACTGCACTGCACAACACGGTACTAATTGCTGACATAGTGGCAGTGCCCCTGGAGAGTCGAGACATCGACCAACATCTTCTGACAGCGCTTGATTATAACTACAGTATGGCGGAAGAAGAAGACAAACGCAAAACTATCAGTGCGTTGGAGACCATTCCCAATGCACTTCTCCTCAGATCTTCATCACAGATAGATTGCTCCTCATCAATGCTTTAACTGAGGGGGCTTTGGAAGAGATGATGGAAAACCCTGAATATTTTGACGAGAACACTGAGGAGTTCCTTGGAGACTTGAACTGCACAGACGCGTAAGCCGCTCACATACAGAGTGATGTTGTGCTGATGCATGTGGCGCTCGACACGTTAGATTGGGAAATACCGGTAAGTCGTATTCAAAGGCTACTTTACTAGTGCTCACTTTCGCGAGGGATCGGAAAGCTCTTCACCTCGCGTTCGTATCGCAAGCTTTAATACCGTGATGTGATTCCTCATATCCATCTCGCGATCTTCAGTGTACGTCAAGGACATCCGGCTGATGTAGTGGCTCTCTGTGGCGGGGCTGTCGACCTTGACCTCCGCAACAAGAATGGCGATACACCACTTCATATCGCTTTAAAGGAGATGGAAGATGATCAGGAGCGTTTTGAAATTGTTCAAGAACTAGTATGCTGTGGCGCAGAGTGCAAACAGTGCGTTCCTCGCGTCTTAGTGAAACGAAAGTGCTGAGCGCCCTCTCTAGGGCAATGTCAGGCGGCCTCACACCACTGGAATATGCGAAAAGTCGATATCCTTTAGAAAACGCTTTACACGAGATCATCGCAAATCCCCCATGTGATGACGAGGATGAGGAGGTTGAATTACAGCCAGAACAACTGAGGAAGCAAATGTATGACAAGAGTGATTTCGTAGACGGTAAGATATTTGTCGATTCTGCCCTGATGACCACCTTCACGTTCTACTTCCAGATGACGAAGATGGAAGCGAGGGATCAAGCCTGGAGGCCGAATAGATTATATGTTCGTATCATTTACACTCCTTGAGTATTATAGACGAATGGGTCCTTCAAGTTCTAGAGTTAGTTCGGATGTGCTTTGCCTTTGATCTTATTACAATCTTGCTTTGGGACATGATTCATCAGCAGCGACTGACTTGGACAACGACAGTTTTAGCATTCTTACTTTGCAACCATATCTCTGCGCCGTGTGTTACAAAATTTGAACGGTATTCAATCATCTGCTCGGTGCTTGACACTTGAGCTCAAAGCAGCGAGGACGTACTATTGGCATTGATATTTGGTAACAAGAGTAGATGATGGCGTGGGCCGGATCCTTCGAATTCGAGAAATGAATTATCTGTATGAACTTGTCGGGCTCATCGGGTAACGAGTGTGGCAGTGGAAGCCTGGACAAAGCCGTCAACGTCAGTGAGCAGATGACGGGATGAAAAATGCCAGCTTCACTTCCGACTCGGAGAGTCTCGATCAGGCAGACTCGGAACATCAACGTTCAACACCGCCTTTGAAGTGAGTGGTCCAGGCCCCAAGATCAGAACTGTACGGCACTAGTTCGACGTCGGAGCCATCGACCGTCATGATGCTCAGCGCTCAAGTACTACGTTTAGAGAGTGATTCGGTGATATCGGTAAATCCTAATCGACAGCTCGGCCCATCTGCAACGCCATAGCAGAGAATGATGATCAGACGCCAGTTTCTAAGCAGCCTGGCCATCCCTCTCTGTTAAGTACGTCAATGCGATGGAAACGCAGAAGCTGCACCACAGCTATGTGGTGGATATCGATAGCGATGTGATTATCCGCGGCAAGCTGAAATAATGCGGAGATAGAACACGAATTTAAAAAAAAGACCATATTAGGAAGTTGATGCCATTTGAGTCATTAATTCTGGAATCCTTAAATTTACAGGGGGACTCTAGACCCAGGGCCCGGGGGGTCCCTTCCTAAATTAAGTTGACTTCCCTTTTAGGCCACTAACGCCAGCGTAGACGCTGACATAATCTACTGCTGACTTGCTCACAGCGACTTGGAAGGAACAGCCAAACTCTTGGATCTTCTGACGTCATCGGATCTCCACTATGCTCTTTTCCCGTATGACCCGGTTCCTCCGCATGGCAGGGCCTCAGTCTTTTCAGACAATCAATCGTTCAATGCTGTAACATAGGATTGTTGCCACCTGCCAGTGAGTAGTACCATCACAATATGTGCTGTCTTCTACTTGGTTAAGAACTTTTCATCGTCATCCGCTGCAGCCGCAGTACGTATACATTCGTTATCAAGGTCCTAACCAAAAATCCCGCACGATAAGAGTTCCCATGCTTTATGGTTTGTTTCTTATAAAAATTTCCTTTTCGCTAAGCGTATTCCATATCATATAGTCATCCAATCCCACACAAACTACGCTGGCGTGTATTTCCAGGTCCATCCGGCTTCTCAACGGGCATCGCCACTCCCACGGTGGCCATCACCGCCACATACCTATGTCTAGACTCTAGACTCGCTGAGTACTAGTACTCCTCGTACTTGGCGTCAGAAAATTCTCGACGGTGAGCGCTGAGCCTCGGTGTAGTGTCTGATAATTAATCTTCTCCGGTATGTGTGGACAACTGACAGACGTACTTGGGCGCAGCAGTACTCCCAAATTCGCCCACAAAGTGCCTTACACCGTGAGTAAATCTGCAAGCACTCAAATCAAAGGTAAAAAATTCCGATCTGGTATGGAACTTCATCCCAGTAAGTACTAGTAGGAGACATACTGACAAGAGTATGGTGTAACCCCTTCGGCATTTTATCTCGGAGGGCATTTTTTCCTAGTTAGGTACCGCTCACCATGTTGCTACCAGGCTAGCGCGCCCGATCTATCCCCTTCATTTCTCCCGTCTTTGACCCTTTAGGTGAGATTCTGTAATCTGCAACAAAGTAGAGCCTATCAGCATGTGGTTGCTGGGGTCATTTTACATTCCAGAACATTAACCGCGCGCCAGCTGCGGCCGTTCTTGAATCTCCGTGCCCGACGGTCTCGCTCCGTGCCAGCAACCATCATCGTCAATTTGTATTATATGACGCATATCGTACGTCCCGCACGAAGATTCACTTCGCCAATCAACCACTCTGATGTATCCACGTCCTTTGATCACGTTAGCTCACAACTAACGACATTTTGATCCTACTTCAGCTTATCAATAGCAGGTCGCGGCACCGAGAACAATACACGCACGGGATCTAATCAGCGATCAAGATGGCGGCTGCTGTCCAAGAACTCATCTCATCATGGCTCCGCCTTCAAGATCCGCTTCCTGGAAGATGGGCGCAATAGTGGACTAAATGGAAACATAAGCTAATCGACGGCATCTTTATGCGACATCGCCACAGCCACATGTGGCATGGATCTAATCGCCCGTTCTCGAATTAAGCCTGGGCAACATGACGCGAGAATGGTGAGCGTCGGCGGTAACCACCCGATGGGCTTTTCGACATTGTGTTGCATCACGAGTCGGAGTCGGGACTTTGTCGAACGTGCTCAGGTTAGATTCGGACCTATCGTCCGTTGAATTGTTTTGAGAGTTGGGATAGAACTGCCTTCTACGATTGCTATGCCAGACCTGTTCTCGATGACACGTCCGGGCTCCACGCTGGGCACTTCAATTGTTGAAGCGATGTTTCAAGTTGACACAAGATTTGTAGAACAGCCTGAGTCAGATTGTCGATAGGTGACTATGATGGTGTGAGTTAGTGTTAACACATCTGGCTAGGACGTGGCTGCCTCGCGCTTGCCAGGCAATCAAACGATGTCGGGGAGGGATATCAGCACCGCGATGAGTTACAGACGATCTGCCTGTCCTTACTTTTATGAGATTTTAATGTTAGATATGATACGAGGGTATGAGTGCCTCGTGGCTCCAACGAAGTGGCACGAGCGGCCGATCTAAGCCTCACTAAGCATGGGTGGCGATCTCTGGAATTTGGAATCGATAACAACCAAGCGTTATCACTATTGCAATAGCCACTCACCTCTATGCGAAGATAATGATAGTGGAGCCATTGCTGCGGTATCTAAGCGCCCATGCGCGTAATTGAATTGGAAAACTCGATGAGGAAAGCCAACAAAGAGCTGGCATTTAAAATTGGGCGAGGCCGTGGTTCTGAAGTGAAAGCGCTACGGCATCAATTCACAGACTTTCGAGGCTGGCTTCGAATGATGTATGAAAAGGAAAGATCTAAAGAAGGATTTATGAGGAGTGAGATTGCCAACGTGCACCAGCGGCTAGGAACGAACGTGCCACTGTGTAGGTGTCTGATGGGATCTCATCGATGTATCGACAAATGTTGGAGTGAACCTGATCAGCAAATACTATGATCGAAATCGAGGCGGGGCGAGTCAGTAGCCGGAAGCTTGATATGGAAAGTTAGACCATTGACAAAGGGATGGATAAGGGGAACTGTTTGACCAATGACTGATATCGTCTTCCCCACAGGACAAACATAGTCGAAAGATAAGTATTTGATTGAGAGGCTAGTGTTCGACGAATGAGATGATCGGCTTTAAAATTTAAAAGGCGATACAACTGACGAGCGACACAAAGTCACTTCCCACGTTTGATCGTTTTACATAGTACGGTCGTGTTCTGCAGGGCTTATCGATATCGCCAGTACTAGATGAGTTTCTTCAGAGAGACATATGCCAGCTGTACCAAGACTCGGGTATATCACAATGATAACGCATATGTGGGCTTGGCCATGAAGCAAGGGCCATAACCGAGTGAGTGCGAAATTTAATGTCCTTGGCGATTGGCATGAGTATTAGGTGCAAGCGTCTGCGGGAGAAATAGGACAGAGGAAAAAGGAGATGAGAAATCCGAAGATGTCAATCTGTTTCGAACATCCGAGTCAGAAGCGGTGCGTTGGAGAATGAGCCAGAGATAGATTCTCGGGTGATGTAGGAATCTGATAGCGATGATAAAGGAGCAGCAGAGACATACAAGGAGAATGGAGAGTGGAGTCAGTCGACTATGGCAGCTGGAATCCGACATCTTGTTGGTAGGTGGCAGCGACTCAACCATAGTGACGTCATGGGAAATAAGAACAATAAAAGTGAGTCAGGCGTATAATCAAGCGTGATCGTGCACGTAGCGAGCCTCAACGCAGACCGGAACATGTTCAAACAGTTCTTCTGGCATGTCCGTGAGATAAGTTTCGGGGGTTATAGTGGTTGAACAGTATTTGCATGTACGGGCAGTGTAGCATCTTATAAGGATTAAACAAATTGTTTGCGCAATTTATGCGCGATGCCAGGAAGAAAAAAGATAATGGAGGGCTAGAACGGAGTCTAGAGTAGTTGCTGGCTTGATAAAGGACTAGATAAGGAACCCGTGAGATCTCGATCGCTGGAGTGAATTCAGCCGTGTATACCATTTATAGATGCCGAATCCCGATCAAATCTCGGAGGAGATCACTCCAATGTCGTGAAAAATGAACAGTTTCTCTTGTTTCAGTGCACCCATCTCCTTCTACCCCCCCTCCAGCTCGAGGCTTGGTGCATTTCACTTAGCGCTCTCAGAGGTATTTAACAACCGTTTCTTATTTTTTCTATCTCTCTGACGTCACTTCAGATGACTTTTGCAGCAACTGATGTCTCCCGCACTCGCTCAACAACACCAACTTTCTCAAATGAACGCGGTCCAGGAGCTTTTGTATCACTAGGATCCCTTCCAAGGCGAAAACATCAACCTCCCACTTCTAACCAGGGTCGAAAGTTGCCTGCATTCCATATTCATGGTGCTGACAACCCTGATGACTACTCGTCTGATTCCCTCGACGAGCAGACTACTGCTCAGTCTGCTAACGTCAAACCCTCAGTGAAAATTTCACAGGGCGCTTCCCAATTACCTCCGTCTGTTCCCTTTCCACGCTGTTCCCCTTCTCCACCTTCTTCACCCTCAATCATATCTTCTCGACCACAACCGTCTCGTACATCATCAATTATTCTTCCCAATGGCAAGCCACTCAAGTCATCACTTAAATCATCAACCTCCACCCTCTCTATTCCCGCAACTCCACTTGAACCCCAACGCAATAGTAACCATCTCCACTTGCGTTCCCGATCCGCACCATCCACCCCCACTGCCCATGCTCCGAAAAATGTCCACTTCCCCGACACTGACATTGCCCTGGCCTCTATCCGCATATTCAGCCGCTCAGCCTGTCCAACGGCAGTCAGTACCCCCGAGGAAGAAACAGAGACAGAAGGCGAAGATCACCCCTCAACTGGGTTTCCCTTCCCAAAACTCCCCTCCGCGTCCCCGAATTTCGAGATGGACACCGCTATCTCATCAGTGGTCCCCGCTACTAATCACTCTCTTGATGCGAATGTCTTGATCGAGTCTCTCACTTTCTCACACGCTTCATCAAAAGGCGTCAACCCTTATTTAAGTGGTACCCTTCTAGTGCGCAATCTGGCATACGAGAAGCACATCGCCGTGAGGTTTACCCTCGACGACTGGCAAACTGTCAGCGAAGTGAGAGCGCAATATGTTGTTTCCATCCCATCACTTCCCCACGTATTTTCACTATCTTCCTCGTCCAAGACAACTGTTGGCGACCTCGTTGCTCTAGGGGCAGACAAGTGCGGGTGGGATCGTTTTTCTTTCCTTATTCGCCTGGAGGACTATGCACACAGTTTGGGGTCACGAGTGTTGTGGCTTGCCGCACGTTATAGGGTGACGGGTGTTCCAGGTCCTAGTGAATGGTGGGATAACAACAATGGCGGAAACTACCGTGTCGCTTTCCGTGCAGCACGACCGACATCTGGTAGGATTCGGAGAGAGACAACACCTGGTGAGCTTTTTTTCATATTTTTCAAGACGGTCAGTTCATAGCTAAATTTGTAGAACCTATTATTCCCTCGATGGTGACACCCCGCGAATATCCTTCGGGCCCATTGAATTCAAATTCGCCCCCCACATTCGGACACAAGATGACATTCTGTTCCTCGCCAATGCAAGACGGGAAGGAGAAAGTTCCATTTATGTCGAGGTCAGGGAAGCTCCGTCTCCCTAACTATGCTGCACCTCCTGTGGTTTCCCAAGTTTCTCCTACTTCCTCTGCGTCACCATTGCCTATGCGTTCTAATTCTCCACTCTCGCACCAACGCCAAGCGCTTCAAGTCCCTGTCACACAATTACGTGACTGTGACTCCCCTTCACCTCCGTCTTCGACGCTTTCGACCCCCTCCGCTTCACCCAACATAGCCCCGCGCGTAATGATTGCCGGGCATCCAGCGAACTATGCACGCCCTGAGCAGACACACATTGATGACTGGGAGTGGATGGCGCCGACACACGCTGTGATGTCGAAGCGGCCAACCATGCAGAGGAGTGTCACAGATGGGCCAGTTGATCTTACTGGATCTGATGTACCTGGATTACCTCCTCGAGCGCATTCGTCTGCACCACTTGGCGCGCCAGGTAGCGATGGCATGTCAGGCGATTCGCTCTACAATGCGTTTGTGATGCGGTGGTGCTTTGCCCAAGGGTCGCCCACTGCGGGTGCATATCACGGGCCACTTACAAGCAGCGACGAGGGTATTTTGGCGTGAGACTTTTTCAACTAGGTGCATTTTTGGAGAGAAGATTTGTACGATCTTGACGACCTCGACCCTATCACGACTGACGCCCGCCGTCGACGGTGGCACTCACGAACTTGTGCTATGTGAGCACAAAAACGTTGCTGTAGCCATTTGTGCATCCCATCTCCTGCTTCGATTCTGTTTCAATTTATTTCGGATCTCCTCATGTTCCGTACTCAGCTGTACCAACACCCCACCATCTCACGTTATCTCGTCCCAACACACGACCTATGGACAATATTTTCCCTCGGTTACTGGATTCTACTTCCCTTTCATAGTATACCTACTCACACCATCATAAAAGCGCTTAGCGCATCGCATTGACATATCACGCTCTGACGTTCATGTATGGCTATAACTCGTCCATCTGTTGTATAATATATATGCAGACTTATCATAGGGATTTTGGGACTCTGGAATACAATACTTACGTGGTGTTCTTGAAAATCGTGGAGCGTTCTCTACACTTTGTTCTTTAAAACTCCGCTTGAGGACTTGTCCTTGTTCTTTGAGAAGGTTCTCTGAGGATATCATAGGTTCGTCGTTTGTGTGGCCACTGGCTGGCCGCAAGCTGTACGGACCTCTTCACACTTTCAAGGTTCACATCATGCCAATTGACTGCGGAATTCTGATTCAGGGCCAGGTATGTATAGACTAACTTCTGACCTCTGCAAAACAATAGGTTCGTCGTTTGTGTGGCCACCGTGACTGGCCGCAAGCCGTACCGACCTCATACTTTCAAGGTTCAAAACATCATGCCAATCGACTGCGGAATTCTGGTCCAGGGCCTAACTTCTAACCAGGTCCACGCAATACAATTAATGACGCCATCGCTGGCGGCTATCGCCTAGTACCAGGCTCACTCGAGACATTCCTGCAATTGGTCACTAACTCGTGAGCAGCGTCATCGTTTTCAAAGATTTAAGCTCTTTTTGTTGAAGCAGGGATCAATAAATCGATCACTGATTTTTTTTTCTAGTCCCCGGTGGCAAATGTTTCCGAAACATGTGTTGTTTGCTGGCGCTCGACGTTTTTTCTCTTTCAGGGAGTCGATGTCGCCATTGTATCACGCTGAGATGCATGTGTGATCTAGGGACGAACCACCACCACCATCATCATCATCATCATCAGCTTGATTGAGCAGTGACGCCATTGCTCTAGTCGTGGCTCTCTCGTCAGCGGCGCCTTTATCTCCGGGCGTTCGGATCACCAAGGCTGTTGTCGTTCAGACTCGCACGAAGAAACCTGTGGCTTGATCTTCGTCTTCGAGGAACCGCCTTTTTTTAATGAATGTGTGGGTCTTCGTGAGTCGTGAGTCATTTGTCCATCTGGAACTTTGTTTACTTGCATAACAGAGATCATGTATGCCAGCGTGCGCTTGCAAATCGATTATTTGATCCCCCTAAAGAGTATGTAATATCGGCATGGTGATAATAATGAATATGCCGCTGTGATACATCGATCACCGATGTCCTTTGACGCGGTGACTGCCCAAAGCCCAAGTGACTTCTTTCATGACGCGATGTTGCAAACAAGGATGTCCTGAGATACAGCCTACTTGCTTCTGGACTAGGCCAACGCCGCCGCATCCGTATGTCTCGGGGGGATGCCCGAAAATATGTTCGTTTTCAAGTACCTTCTGATTCAGGTTTATCTTACTGTCATTTATGTTCATGTCTCGCGAAGTCCTTATACTCTTTCCTTGATAACTGCCTGTTTGGTTGACTTCTGGCATTAGCTTTAACCTAAATAAAATAGCCCCGAGCTTCTTCCAACGACTGACATTAATGAGCGATAAAATGAATTTCGTGCTTTCTGTTGTGATTGTGGGGTATCCCTGCCCAATCCCAGCCCGTTCCACTGGTGCTTACCTGTCCCAGTGCCTGGAGAACATAATAGCAAACACAGACCGCAATCATTTGAATTCTTTGTTCACGAGGCAGGTCTGGGGTAAACTTCGCCCCACATCGCCTTGCTGACCAGTGAACGCGGCTTTAATGGGACTTGAACGCTGCATACGTCATTTAAATATATTTCCCTCATTAACGCCTGATCGACAATCATAATATCTGGATCGACAGGGCATTACGATGTCATGAAAGCAGTCCCGAAGAAAGAGTTAAGGGGAGTGATAGGCTTCAGTCGCGCTCGAGTGCATGGAGAGCTATTTTTGAACCTGGAGCCAACTCAGGGGGCCTCAGTGTTCAGATACTGAGAGCGAGAAGCGCGGTCGGACAGTTGCGCCGCGCGCAAGACGTTTGCGATATATTTGAAGTCGCGCTGAGCATTTTTAGAATTTGATTTGCGTTCAGTGCTTCGAGACGGTTATAGCAGGTAGTATCCTTTGACAGCTACAGTGCGTGGGCGTGTGCCTCTCATCGTGACGAAACTCGGCCCAGCTGCTGTCGTCTCGAGTTTGTGGAAGCTTGTTGCCAGCAACCAGGACTAGTCTTGTGTAAATGGAATCAATGTCGTTGTGGAGTGATGGTCGCAATAACGGCGGCGGCCTAGATTTTTTTCTTGGTCCGCACGACTAGGCCGCTTTGTACAATTATAACCGACGGGTTTTATCTAAAAGGCGAACAAGTTTCCTCGCTCGAATTTTTCGTTCCTTCACTTATCTCCGCCATTGCATGCAGCTTTCAATAACCAACCGATGAACGTGACCAACACGCAGTTTTGTCGTTGTAGGAACATAATTCCGTATATTTTCGCAACCGGCGGGTCTTTCAATGGCCCTTGAACAAACTAATGGTGAACTTTGGTTGTAAAGATAAGCAGTAGGGAACGCACTGATATCAGAATAAATTGACCCGCTGCTGCGAGCGGAGATATCGACGACAGATACCGAGGCCAGGTCCCAGCATCCTACGATTGTCCGGCATAGGGTCTATGATAACGAGGGGCAATAAATGGGTTTAGATAATAAAAAATTGAAATTGCGGGGAGGTAACATTTGTTACCTGAAGTGGCGTGATCAAGCTGGAAAATAAAAATCATGTTGCGAGCGCCGCCGGAATGTTTATTGAGGCCCAGAATTCGCGCCTGGCAGGTCGTGTAATGGCGACCTTCCAGAATGTGCAAGGGTAAGCTTCGACAGCAGCGCTTGTATCAAAATGAGGTCAACAGAAGTCAGTGTGTTTTTTTTTGAAAAAGGAATTGACCGTAAACTGTATAGTGCGTGGCGACGTTGATTGGTCGGATTTTTAAATTTTGGCACGAGCAGTCACGTGTGTTGACCATCTCACTGAAGTAGAGCGATGGATCCAATCCCATTGAGACAGCTGCAGCAGCTGGGGAGTAGAAGAGTCCCGGGTTGCGAGGGCTACTGGAGTGTTGCAAAGGCTAGATGACAGATCAGCCTTGACTACGCCACTTGGGTTGTCCGTGGAAGTGTATACCAGGCTGGTCACGAGCCTAGATCACCGCCTCCGACACATGTAGTACTGAAACAACATACGTCATGCACTAGTAGCATGCAAACGCTACGTGGTGGGTTGCCGTAAGTGAATTGTTCTTGTGAAAGGAGCTGCGCTTCAGTATAGCCGAGACAGGTGGCCATGCAGTTCTAAAGACTTTGGTAATGCAGAGTGGTGCTCGCCGGGCGGCACAAGGGTCGGTCACCCTGAAGAAGATGAGGGTAATTAATGTGGTGCATCACGGTGGCAGCTCTACTCACTAGTAGTCGTGTTTTCCCTCTGATATCAAAACGTTCCATGATCATACACAATATAATTTGCGTTAGGGGATTCAGGGAACGATCCGCTCATGGAAACAAGCACACCCGATCCAGCCACTGGTTCAGCTTAAGGGTCCAAGGAGAAGTTTATACACCTGTACCCATACCCACAACCACTATGTCCGCGGGATCAATAGGAACTGAACCCTCGGATTGAACAGCTTCAGCGATTATATGTCTGCATGCTTTTGCGCATGAATCGGTCTCCCCAGTACGCCTGTAGTGAATCCTCACGTACAAAATCACAAAAGTGCACGCAAAAAAAAATTCTTTCAGAGAAGACCTTGCTTAAATGAAAGTTTATTGGCCTCAACGGTCAATATCGCAGCGAGTAAAACAGTGCTCAATATAGGCCACAACAGGGTGTAAATCCGCGCACTGTGGATTAGCAAAAACTATAAGTGACGATAATATGTGAGGCACTGCATCTACTGTGTACGCGTGGCTTGTGAGCTCCAGCAAGAACACGTGAATAAAGTTGGCTTACATGGAACCTGTACTGCTCGGGTAGAGCTTATGAGACGTAAAGGTCCTCTTTTGTGTCAATTCCTATAACGCAGACAGAAAAGCGACGGTCAGTAGACAAGCTACATGCACCCGAATAACATGAGCACTCACCAAGTTCTTCTCTAACCGGCTTCAACTCGTCCAAGTAAGCCTGGTATTGTTGCTTGTTCTCAACCTTTTCCCTGATACCCTCGAAGACACGGACAGCGGTTGCATAATCATTTACGCGGCGTGCTGCACGGAGGGCAGCCTCAACAACGCCTGGTGAAGGAACGAGGTCGTGTGCAAAGCAGTTGTTGAGGCCACGTTGTACCTCGAAGAGGTCCTGTGCGCCTTGGAAGAAAGCGACGTAGCGCTCAGAGAACTGCTCAAACGTTTCTTGGCTATGCGAATCTGATGATGAAAAACGTTGTGGTATTGTGAGGGCAGGGGTCGCAGCACGACGAAGGACGACATTAGGCCGTGCGCGAAGGACGGAGGAAAGCATGCGCTGGCTCATGATGACAGTGAAGAAGGAGCACGACAGACCGGCGACAACAACAGTAGAGAAAAGTCTCAGGCGCGGAGATAAACGTAAATCGGTTTCAACGTCGTTAGCAGTGATCCGGAAAGCTCCGAAGCGTCTAATGCAAAACCACATATTAGCGCTTTAGCCTTGTAACATGTTTTCTAGTATCTACGACTATAACCACTTGCAGTAGCCATGCGGTCCAGAGGCTGGACGCAATGCAGGCCCAATACTGGCTTGGAAATGCAAAATTCAACCCTTTCCACACCTGTCAATCTACCGTAGGTCGTCGACCGGTCAATTCGAGAACTAACTAGTACTACAATGTTAGCCTAGACGAAGCCCAGCCCGGCCGGGACCGTTGAACGTTGAACTTCAAAAATAAATTATTGACCAAGTGTATCGGCTATCCCCGGCACAGTATTTGCCTCTGTTTGGTTCAACTGTACAGTTACCTCAGCCACACTTGGTCGCTGTTCAGAACAACCTGTAAGGCTTAGCAGCATCCTCAAAATGTCGACCGACCTCCAGTGGCTCCTTATCCGCGTCAGTTGCGTCGTCTTTGTACCCCACAGTGCAAATACTGAATTTTTTTGCTCCATATCTACAGAAATACAACTCCTTCCTTGTGAAGAAGGTCCCTGAGGGTCCCATCTTCTCCAAGGAGCCTGTATGTCGCGTATTCGGACTTGTACACGAGTGCTAAGCTTACTTTGTATTAGGGTAACCTCCTCAACCTGCACTCGCATAAATATTCCGGTCTTGCTAACTCCAAGGTGTGTAGTCCTATTGTGATCAAATGACCTCCATTAACGTTGTATCAATAGACCATCGACATTCAGAGCTCTGAGTCTGGACTACAAATCACCACCCTGAAATCAAAGGCATCACCACACGCTGTTCGTCCCGCACGATCAACCGCAAACGTTCGCAACCGCTCAGGAGGCCGTCGTTCATTGGGAGTCGTTGCTTCCGTCGCGAAGAGGGGGTACCGTCCCGACCTGAGAGCTGTGAGTGTTGATGGTTTATATCTGGACATGGAACAGGATTCCTTTCGACAACACAAAGCACTCTCGTTAGAACCCGCTGGAAACCACCGTAAGGTGTATGAAAGTTGGGCGTGGACATGTTTGCAATATCAACTCAGCCCTGCTTGGGCTATTCGTCATAATTCATATTTACCACTGCGAATTTTCCATCGCAGTGGGCCGATACTGACGAGTACAGTCGTCGCAACATTTCTGTTGTATGATCCTTCGAAGAGCTTATGCTGACACCTGTTTCTTCGCTTTCTAGGCTGCTCTTGGTCGTACATCTGCACTGCTCGCTGCACAAAAAGAGAAGAAAGCTTCGCCACCGAAGAAAGTCCGGGGGAAGAAGGCAGCAGCATCCATTCCATGATTTGATTTATTTGTATCTCTAGTGCCTTCATTGCTATGTTCGTCCATGCCGAAATAAGCACACCATGCCGCACATTCCTAGTTGGCTGCAAAGATGATGGTACATTTCAACGAGAATGACACCTATACAAATACATCTTTCACTTTGATGGATCCAGCATTCTCAAACAGAACATGGCCTTTTCCTAAATCCCAAAGGTCTTTCCCGCAGGTTGAGCGATCCTTCCACCACCACCATAACCGCTTTTACCACCGACATGGTCTTTGGTGGGCCTGCTAGCTTCTGCCTTGCGATAAGCGCTCTCTTGAAGCCTGTTATCGTCATGGCTGCCCTGTCCATGATGTTTCTTCTTCTTTGGAATCTCTTCTTCATTATGCGGAGGGGCATGTGGCTCCTCCTCGGTGTGGTTTGCCGGGCGCGGATAATCAGTGTCTTCGGTTTTATTTGCGCCAGTGTTTGCAACAGCTTCCCTGCATGTTGGATCGGTTACAATGGTTAAATGCTCAAATGTCGACTAGCGCTCACGAGTTGGCACGAGGCCTCGGGCGCGAAGTAACTGAGAGACGACGACCGCCTACTCTGACTGCAAGAGACTCGTCAGTAACTGCATGACTGTCGTCACTCTTGAACGTACTTGCAGGGGGGTGTTGAGTGACTGTTGCATCGGACATGATAAGATGAGTCTCAAGCGATGGTGACGGTCAATATTTATGTGTGGAGCCTCCGGGTTTACCGTGGTATAATTAGTCGGCCGAACTAGTCGAGACCCGGTGACCTCAAACAATAGGTGTACACTCCGGAGCATAATTCGATCACCGAACATATAGGGCAAAATTGCAGCTTTCGGTCAACGATAGGTTGTTCAGTCAAGATACTCGTACAAGTCGAGTCGGTACGCTACGAGCCACCCCGCTGATTTCAGTTCTGTGGCAGCAAGCTGCATTGCGCGATGTCACATCGAGCGCGTCAAAGGGTTGTTTTGCATGTGTCCATAGCATGGGGACGACATAAATGTGAAAATGACATAGAAACCGAGATAAACACGCAGAAAATTTACTCTTCCTCCTCCTCCTCGCCACCCTCTTCTCGCTTGGCGGCAGCGGCAGCGCGTTTGCGCTTGACACGACCGGGGCGTCCGCCTCCGTATGGCGATGTAAGAGCGAAGTCGATGTGCTTTTGGGAGTCAAGACGAACGACGAACGATGGGATGTTGACGATTTGCTTGCCGACGCTATACAATGTTCAGAATCACAGCAATGAAAAATGAGATGTACATACCGAATGTGACGTTGTCTGATCAAAACACGGGCGTGGTGAATACTCTTTGCGAGGTTGGTCTTGAAGACCTGTGTTTGGAGACGACGTTCCAAGAAATCCTCCACTTTCAATGCCAACACGTAATCCAGACGCATGCGGGTCTCGTCCAACACACCAATCCGAACGAGCCGACGAATGAGGGCGTTACCCTCGAAGAGACGCTTGGGATCTTTGTCATCAAGTTTGAGCAGTTCACGGGCTGCACGACGGATTTTGGAAAGGATGAGACCGATACGCCAGATCTCACGCTTGTTTCGTAGACCGTACTCGCCAGCAAGCTGTCAGATGCAAAACATGAGAATTTGAATCCAGGATCCTGGGTTGACCAAACCTTCAACTCAGCATCGAGACGAGCTGAACCGAATGGGCGACGAGGGACTTTGTATCTGTAGGATTAATGCGATTCCAACAAGGCCATAAATCAGCAAGCTGAAAGCCTTCCACTCAAGTGGATCTTGAAGAATGAGACGCTCACGTCTTGCTGTGATTCCGCGGGGCCCTAAAAAGCTGCTCAACAGTCTATTCATCACGTTCAATGACATTCATACCTGGGCATTTTTCTTGAGGGATGGCCTTGACGGTGTACACAATGTTGGTGGCCTAATTAGGATGTAAGCCTCGCCTGTGCCACAACTGTAAAGTACCAAGCAAGCCACCCGGAGATTTCCGGTGCAACAAGCTTTCACATACTCAATATCGACACCGCCGCCGACGACATTGTACGTCTCCCAAATTTCATCCTAGCCCGCTGCTAACGTTCAACTCAAGCCCTCAAAATGCCTCACTCATTCGGTTACCGCGCGCGTACGCGCCACATGTTCAAGCGGGGCTTCAAGGGTCGGTCCTTTGATCAAGTCCTTGATAGACTCGACGACTGACATTGCATGCAGACCATGGCCCCGTCAAAATGTCTACATACCTCATCAACTACCGCATTGGTGACATCGTCGATATCAAGGCCAACGCCGCCCAACAAAAGGGTATGCCTCACAAATACTACCACGGGTGCGCTACTTCAAAGTCACATCTATCCTCTGTCATTTAATCATCTTCCAGACGGACTGGCATTGTCTACAACGTCACTCCCCATGCCGTCGGTGTCATTGTCTACAAGGTTGTAGGCAACCGCTACCTCGAGAAGCGGGTGAATCTCCGTGTCGAACACGTGAGGCACTCAAAATGTCGGCAGGAGTTTTTGGACAGGGTGAAGCGCAACCACGATGCACATGCTGCTGCCAAAGAGAAGGGTGGTAAGTGATCATGACTTCCCGGTATTAGATGCACCTTATAACCCGCCGTTCAGAGCGTGTATCACTGAAGCGTGTCCACGCTCTCCCTCGGGAGGCACGCACCGTCTCGATCGCCCAAAACACGCCGCAAACGATGACGCCCGTTCCTTACGAGACCACCATCTAGTTGGAATTGTGTTTGTGCCACTCATATGAGATTTCCACTATGCATCGTATACTACTGTCATGCTCCCATGCAATCATGACTTGAACGCATCATCACGGACGAATCTTACCAGATCAATTGAGGAAATGTTACGCCACATCACCCCGGTTCTTTAATCTACTAGGTTGAGTAGCTTGTTAAGATGAGCACAGTACGTGCAGGTCGACACGGTCGACAAACCCAGTTCATTGCCAGGAAATATTTTGAAACACAGTCCTAAGTATATGTAAATACCAATGAAGACCATAGATACCTATTTATGGCGACAACGAATATCCATGCGTGAACACAATACATGTTTTGCTTGCGTATAATGCTAACTGAAGGTTTTGGTGCGTATGGTCAATGCTTTTTATCGGTGTCCTCGACTGGATCCAGGAACGGGTGGTGGGCCAAGGATGGGTGAAGACGTATGCTGGTCCGCTCCTAACATGCCTGCATGCTCAAGATACGAACCGCCATCAGATGAGCAGTCCCACATCGGAGTCCTCCATATGTGCACTGTACCGTCATGGCTGCCTGTCGCTAACATGCAGGGGTCGTCAGTGGAATGATTCCATGCGACACATGTCAAATCTCCGCCGAACGCCTGAGGTCTAATGTAGTGGAGCAAAATTGCAGTATCACGTTCCCAAATATGGATATCGCCCGCTAAGACGGATGATTTAGAATCTGGGTGTTTGAACAAGATCTTAGCCGAAACACACCTTTGCCGGCACACAACACTAGCTGATCGTCCACACCGCCGAAGTAGCTCGGACCCACAAAATCCACATGAACCGTCGGCACATACGTGTGACGGAGAATAAGCCTAGCGGTTTGTGCATAGGGGTTTCCACGGTCTTTAGTATCCCGAACCAACTCCATTTTCCATAACTGCGGATGTGTCTGCAAATATGAAACGGCGTGAATAGAGAATCTGACGCATATCCCTGTCAATATACCTTGTGCTCGAATGAAATCAATACATTTCCACCCCTTTTAGACATCGTGATGTCGCGCACATCGTTGAAGACGGGTGTTTGACTTTTGAATTATATCAGTGGAAAGGTTCGGAGACATTGAAAGCAACTGACTTTTCAAATGTTCTGGTCTCCATATTGAGGACTGTGGTAGGTGGAGTCAAAAGGATCACTCGCGGATACGTATATCACTGACCTACTATACACTTCTCAACCCTAGTAGTGCGGCTTGGATGCATCCCGTTGGGTGCCGCGAGCAGTGGACCTACACCTAGCAACCGCTGACCATCTGGAGTCACAGCCACATTGTGCAACTGGATGCCACCGAAGTCGTAAGAATCAAGAACCTTGGAAGAAATTCAAACAAAATTCCTTTGGCGCAGAATGATCTAATCACCCTTCCTTTAATGTCCTGGTAATGGATCCATGAGTAACAAGGAGGCACGGATGATAACGTTTCACTGACCAGTTTGAGAACTCTGCTACCTTCGACCGAAAAAAATTGTGCTATTATAGGAATGCATCAGCAACATGCATCCATACAAAAAGGATGAAACCAATCACTCTCGTTCGCAGGAAGCCATACAACGGATGACACTGAGTGCGGACGTTCAATCGTTCTCTTACAGAATCCATCCTCCGTCCAAACCTTGATTCCGCGGGGTAACCTCGTCAAAAGAAGGGTACCAGAATCGGACCTGTCCGTTCATGTTTGATGTTTAGATACAGAGGAACATTTGTGCGCCACATACCATGCAACCTGACCGATAAAGCCACCTACGTGTACCAGAATGGCATGAATTGAAAAAGCATCCTAGGCAGGAATAGTGTAAACAACTATGGGAACGTGGCACTTCATATGCTTACCTCAACACGAAAGATGACGGAAGATCGATCCCAACTTAATGCTTCACCTTAGCACGAGAAGCTCCGATGAACTTGTCGCAACGCACCTTGACGTAGCTAGATACTTGCCATTTGGGGAGAACTGTAAATGCCGGACAAGGGCAGTGTGCACGGAGAGGTCTTGTACAGGCTCTAGGGTTTTAAGTTTTGGAATTAAAGTGGCTCGTGGTCCTCGAATGGCGTCCAAATCCATGGACGAGGGCCGGGTAGGAGACATCCCCACGGCAGAGTTCCAGTCAAAGGATGGGATCCGTTGCGGCATCATGGGTCGTCCTGCTTTCTGCTGTTGCATCACGATGATAGAACGCACAGCTCCTCTGAAACGTTGACGGGCGATGGCTGGGTGAGATGGCTTGCTATCCTCACTTGCAAGCCCTTTTATCGAAGTGGGATGCTCAGTAAAAGCCGAGCATGCGGATGTAGAGGTGTCACGGCGGTGAGAAAGATCATCCATCGGCGGGCCCTCCTGCATAGTAGGAAGCGTACGGTCCCTATGTCCAATCCGGGTAATCATGTCGGGGAACTTGAGAGGCACTCGTCTTAACAGGCCGCTAATGGCGAAGAGGCACCAACGAATGATATCTCGCATTGCCACGACTAGAGAAAAGCGGAGTACGCGGTGGATTACTTCATTGATTGCTTCATTGATTGCATCATCCAACCAGATTTGACCATGGTAGCGAACAAAGACCCTGCGCTCCGAGACGAACCAAGCCGAAACAACAGCCAAGCCGAACGATGTGACTACCTGTGATTCGGGTAAGGATGCGTTTCAAAAGCAACTGGAACTATCCATGGACTTGCCGTGAAAACAGTGGTGATCGTGGACGTGACGAATCCCTGAGTATGAATGTTATGTCTCGGATATCTTTTCTGCAGTAGAATAGGTCCCATACCTGTTTTGTAGCATATGTGAATAGCATCAAGCCCACGGAAAAGCATGCCACAGACATCACGAGAAACACCAAAGGCGATCGTTTGATCCATATCAACACCCACCAAGGTACCTTATGGCCTGGAGAGCGACTGAGGACTGTCATTTGACCGAACACAAGAGGCACATTGAATAAACTTACTAGACTGCTTGCTTCCAGGTGAGACCAAGAAGACTGTTCACAGCGGCTGCTATACTGAAAACCAATGAAGAGAACCAGAACGCATTGACAGAAGTCTCCAGCACGCCGTCCGTGAACTGGTATGAGAACTGTAAGGTCGTCGCTGTCACAACTGAAAAGAATGTCGCGACTGTCGATAAGTTTAGCAAGTTCGATGCTGCATGCTGCTGGGCAAATCGAATCGTCGGAACACCTGGAAGAAAAGGTAAATATAAAATTAGTAAGGAGAGACTGGTTGTCTACCGATTTCAATAAACATGGACAGATTGACTGTGATGATATCGATGTGCTCCCCAATCTCCGATGTCAAATCATGGATATAACGCTGCACTGCTGGATACCGAAATTGACCTGAAACTAGTCTGCACGATTCACCAGTAGATGAGCCGGAGGCACACTACCTTTGTACTCCTGAAGACACGAGGCCCAATACTAGACAACACGGTAAACAAAGAGATCGACTGCATGTCCGGCCAGAAAAAAATTACCTTCAGATCGCACTCGAAGGTACGCATTGATGTATTGACGGCCTCGTCTGTAAACTCCGGGAACTCGTTCAGGCAGTTCAGAAACGTTACGACGTCTTCTGCGAAACCAGCAATTTGGTCGGGAAAACTTTCAGGATCAGTGTGGGATTTTGTAAACATTTGTTTTTCTGTGCGCCGTTGCTCTGTCCACTGATGAATGATGGGCGCTTCTCGAGGTTGACGCGAAATCTTTCGGGGAAACAGAGTAGCTGCGTTCTCGCGGAACAGAAATAGCAATTTCGCAAGGCGCTCTCGTAGTCGAAAACTAGAGGATAAGATTCCGATGGAACTGCCAAGCTGGCGAGCAGCATTAGCAAAGTTGCGCAGCTACATAGAAGATAAGTGTCAAAGTATAAAGTGCGCCTAATCATATTCCCACCTCTTTGTCAAGATTTTCTATTCGTCTATCAAGATCGCTCAGTGTGAAAGACAAATGTACGAGGGCACCCCCACCTCTCAAGTTTGTTGAATGATTCCGATCCTGCGATTTGCAGTTTCTCATCTACTGTCGCTGAACGGGAATATAAGGCCATCGTTATGTGCTGCACTGGCCGATACTCACGATCGTCATCCTCCAAGGCAGGAGGAAGGATGGTATCTGAGGGTGTACGATTAGCAGTGTGTGATGGCTAGTGGGGGTGACTAACCGCTGTCTAGAGAAGACTCGTTACTAAATTCGTTCAGGACATTCAAGAGACTGATGATAGCCTGATCCCGTCTCGAGTTTCCATATGCTTCACCTCGAGGGTAAGAGTTGGGTGCACCTGAAATACTTGAAGCTGCGTCACGGAAAGAACGGGCTGCATGAACTACCCCAATGCGTTGAATCCAAGTTGGAATGATTATGGACTGTTCCCTTGGGATACATACCTCGTAACATAGTGAGCCGGCACTATGTGTTCGTTGCGTCCTGAGATACAAAGGTGGAAGGATTGGAGAATCTAGTCCTGACACCCGGGGGGAGGGGGAAGAAGTGAGTGAAATAAGGTCCTTTAAATACACTCTGCACAGCTGAGCAGCCTTACAGATAAGGACAGCTCGTAAAGGTCGTAATGAAATTATTCATTCACTCAACCTATCTCCGGACTGAGGAATGGTTTAAGAAGGTTTGAAACGACGGCATGTTATCGCTAGAGAACTCAGCAATTGGAAGCGTGATGGCCTTGCGGATTGTATACAGGGCAGTGACAAACCCTGACGTCAACGTGGGGGTGATCTCTGCAATTAGAGTGTCGCCAATGCTGATACGGAGTAAATCAATGTATGCGCGGCGAATCATGCTCGAAACACGTAAATATGGACCGGGAGGGAAGCTGGTGAGACCACTTATGGGCAAGTTTCAAGGCCAAGTGGTGTGCACGCTACACAACTACTGATGGCGATCAAAGGTGTGGATGCAACGTTTTCAGGAGTGAAGTAAATTAGGTGAATGGGTCCCAAAACTGAAAAGACGCTTAGCCATCACGATGGACGCAGAGCGGTAAAGTGTTGTCAGTATTACGTATTAGGTAGTTGCAGGGAAAGTTATTACCGCATTATTGAACGCTTCCGAGTCCTTCCTTGCTTTGCATTACAATGGTAGGCTCCAGGAAACAAGCACTGGAGAAGTACAGCGCATAGGCTCAGGCTTGACTTGAGTATCAGCGATTCAGTATGTCTTCATTTTCAGAACGTCCGCAGTGCTCAGTGCTCAGATGAATCCCGCAGCATGTGCATTTGACCGAATCACTCGCGGAAGTTCAAACAGACGCGGACATGACTCTAGCCTTGCTATATGCTTCGATTGACATCAGTTTCTCGCAGAAAATGGCTAGGTCCATTGACTCCCTCATGACGGATGAAGGGATGAGGTGGAGTCTCACGAGTTGGCACAAATAGTCCAGGTAGAAGGAACGACAGCCTTTCTTCCATCAAGGTCACCCGACTGTTGTGAAAGAATACAGGTCAGTAGTCGTATCCGTTCTTATGAGATCATCATTGACTCTGAGAGTGCTTGCTGATCCAGTAATATGTTAATTTGTAGATCTGCTCTACGATTCTGCCACGTAACACTGCCCGTAAACAGTTGCCTCGCGATTGAGGCGAGAGCGAGGATCCCATTCTTGATAGCTATGATCCAGGACTTGAGTCATTTAACCGCGGACATGGGCAGCTCCCTTCTTGTTCGCGAGCGATTTGGACAACAACGCCACGGGCGGTCAGTTTTGTTTATAAATATCCAAATTGTCTCTCGGACCCGCCGAGTCACTGATGACTGCGTGACACGTGTAGTAAACAAAAGTGTACTGTGGACCGTGGTGATCGGATGAGGGAGTTCTCAAGTGCGTTTTAGTGACATCCCCATGCAATACTGCACAGTGGGAATACAAATTATACGCATTTGTTACCACACGCACACGCACACACGGTTTCAGCAGGTATCCCTCAATCTTGCAAGCCCCTATGGGCCTATTGAAGGTTCCTTAGCCATGCTGTTTATTCAACTTACGCTTTTTAAGCGCCGAACTTCCATTTCAAGTTAGAGGTACATCGTGGAACAGAGGTTGCTCGCACGGGGTGGCTGCTAGACCTTTGTTGCGCTTAAAAGGGAGTCGTGCCATTTCACGTCTATGGTTTGTCGCTTTTCTTGTGGTTTCAATTGGAAAACATGTTTAAGTTTACAGCTCTAATACTCTGTAATCACGGCTTGAAGGACAACCCAAGGCACTTAATCGGTATCCTCATTCCTGTGGTACGTTGTCTTTATGTAATAGCTACGGACATAGCCCACGAGTGTTACACGGACACAGAAGAGCACAGGTGATTACTTCGAAGGCGATGCTAAATGGTTACGCCGCTTAGAATTTGCTGGGCGCCGAGCCTTGAAGCACCCGCAGCAACATCTCTCGACTGCAAGACACGTACTGCTGAGCCTGTGGATATGACATAATTCGTTCAAGGCACAGAGTATCACGTCAAGGTGACTGGGTAGCTGTACGTGGCGTCTACAGCATCGCGCCCAAAAATATTATAAGGATGCCAAAATCAGGACGGACGTCCTTTTATTCGATACCTCTCTCGCTACACAATTTGCGACCATGCAGCGGCTTTATTTGTTGACCCGTGTGCGACGGCAGTGCCCAGTGATTTCTGCGCGAGGACTTATTCCGTCGCGAATTGGACGCGTCAGGACTAGAAAGCTCGATGTTCGATTCCATTCTACGCACTCGCGACAGGTACCACAGGCAGACAATAATTCTTCCTTCCCACCAGGCGGAAGTGGTACTTGGAGCAAAGTAGATCCTTCGCTAGTCGTTGACATTGCGCTAAAGACCCTGATAGGGCTGGGCGTCAGTAAGTGCACTCTCAGCCGATTCGCACACTGATCAACTTCTTCTAGTTTTTATCGGGGGAAATTTATATGTGTTTTGGTACAAACATAACGTCCTTTCAAAGGTGAGGATAAGTGATGAATTATACAGGCAAACGTATCTGATGTGGTCTTACAAGATTGAAGCAGCATTCAACAAAACGTGGGATGATGCAGCCCTAGTACAATTGATTAAGCAGGAGCTATCGCGGTTTGACCTTCTGACACCTGACCTGGAGCACGCTAGCTTGCAAAGCTTGGCAGCAAAGCTCTCCGAAGTACATCCACGGCGACAGGAACAAGACTTCGTCGATTCCATTGTGAAGGGAGAGATGACAGGTTCGTATTTTCTCCTTGTCGGACCGAAGGTGAGATACTCGTGTGCATTACCTGGCGCGCTAGCGTGGTCTGACAGTAACTTTTATGATTCAGGGGGCGGGAAAGTCTGGAATGGTGTTCGATGCAATGCTGAATATACGTAACAAAGGGGCGGTATTTCTTGAGGCCCATCCCGACCTTGAGGTGTTTCGTTTGCGCCTAGGAAATGCTTTAAACTATGAATTTAGCGAGGATATGCAGGCGGGACTGTTCCAGAGACCGGACCCTCGATCCGGTATGACATCATCTATTGATGCTTTAGGTGTTATAACTAATATTAGTTCACAGGCGGTCCCGCGATGGATATTGAACGCGGTGCGTGTTCAAAGAGGCTACGAGCCTGCATTGAAATTCAACCTGGCAGTGCAGCACTAGATAAGCTATATGAAGTTGCTATGCGAAATGGACGACGTCGTCCGCTCGTTCTCGTCATCACCAAAATTCAGAATTTTCAAAACAATGACCAAGGCCGAAATCTTCTTTTACAGATCCAACAGTACGCTGAACGTTGGGCCATAAGAGGTAGCGTGTTCATGACACATACTTAAGCAATCTTTCTCAATTTTATTTAGGCATCGTCACTGTTGTATTCACCACGTAAAGCTACCTGTCTTACTTTGCGCAGCATTATCTGATGAACATTTTAGGGATGATGTATGGCCGTATACGTTATTGCGTGAGTCACAAGAAAAACATCTCGCAATCCCATTACTGACCTTTTGGCAGGCAAAGCAGCAACTTTGATGGAAGTCAGTTATGCAGTTGCGTAATAACATGCTCATGCTCACTTTGGTAATTATTTAGGTGCGATCTGTCCAAGATCTGGACTGGGAAATGTCAAAGCGCACTCTATTGTGCAGACGGCCAGATGCTGAAAATGTAGACAGTGTCGTGCACGTTGTGGGAGGACGTCAATCCTACCTCAATAAGGTGTCCAGGGCCGAAGAGATGCTGCAAGCTGCGGAGGACCTTCTGCGCTCGGAGAAGGCGTGGCTCGAGAACTGCCTCGGGCTGATACCAGATTGCGACAATGATGGGGAAGTTGTCGTTCAGGTATGTTTGACGATCATGATAGTTGCACAACATTTGAAAATTGATCTCTACAGCAAAAATGGAGCCTGCACTGCTGGACTTTACTCCGAGAGTTCGCACGTCTATACAGAGCTAACCAGAAGGAATCGGGGGACTCTTGGGATCCTCTCAAACTCCCCGTTATCCCAGCGGTATGCTATTTGATTTGTTTTCTGATCCGTGCTTCATATGGTTGACACATTTACAGTGGCGATGTCAGCAAATCATGACACGGCCCGATTATTTGGACGGTAAGATGATTTTCACTAAGCTCGCTTGCTCGGTCTCAAGTTTCTCAATTTAGAGCTTGATAGGTTGGACGTAGTCTATATTGACGTTAGTGCCACATTATCGTGACGGGCCTTTCTGACATCACACATCTCAGATGAATTCAAACGTGCAGCCCGACTCAATGCTAGTCCTCCGCGCCGCTTTAGACATCGTTGAGAAGGAAGGCTTTGATGAGCTCCTAGAAGATGTCCGCTGCAGAATAAAGGAGATAGAGAACCTGCGACGATGAAGGGTTCCTTGGAACAGGGCATATACTTCTTGACTTGAATCGATCTGTCATAAAGCAGGAAGAGGAAAGACCAGCTAGTATCTTTATGGTGATTTCTGTACACCCTGCCATCTTCAAGAAAATATCAGATATGGCATCACTAATTATAATAACTCATGGTCCACGCCCACTTTTAGTACTGTCAATGTGCCACCGTAATTAACCGTGGGTGAACTCGGCCGGGCTTACAACTCATCCATCAAGGTTTTGGCACTTCTATTCTATTCGCAGGGTGGCATCAATTGCATGAAACACTGGCCAAGGAGCAGCTCGGAGACTAAATAGTTGCTATCAATCATTGTTTTGAAGTAGGTCGCATGGCCAGATACAGTAGTATCACTATGACTGATCAGTAATTTTCATGAGTTTTGACGGCAGAAAATTAGAAATTTCCAATTGTGGATGCACATGAACTTGAAGTGCCTGGATCATGTGGATGAGCATTGAGCAATGAATGGGCGATCGATGCTACCACTACAGCCGCTGTCTTTGTGCGGAAATTGTCACCAACGGTCGACAGGTCCAACCTTCATATATCATGATGAATCTTTGCTGTTGCATGCTTTTCCGCCTCCTCCTTCATTCATTCTCTAATTTCTCTTCAAATCATGGCTAGTTTATCAGCAGTATACGGTGCTGTTCTTCTGGGTGGATTTCTTGCTTCTGTGTATGTAATGCTCAGCCTGACTCACCCTAGTACGGATTCTGACTGGTATATGGATCACGCCACCAGATTATCTGGGGTCATAACGGCACAGACAGTTACTTATATCAAGCAATACCCCAATGACACACGCATTACAAAATTGATTGTGAGTATAGCTTCTTAGTCTGTTCTGGAGTGTCCATGCTGACTGTTTGTATTCCGACACGGGACAGGTTGCCGTAACTTGGTTTGTTTCGTCGCTTTTCCGCTCCTCGCAAAATGTTCAGTAGAGCACTGTCAGGATAATAGACTCCACTCACACCGGTCTCGTGTGTACGGTATCATGGATTTTCATGGTACAGTGGTTCGGCTGATGACAGCAAAATAGACTACATACCTGTGTCTGTGTTTTGTGTGCTTATCGGCCCGTTTCACGTCTGATTTTTTTGCTCGTCATTCAGTCCATTAGCAATATCCGTTGCGCTGACGGTGAGTTTCATATTTCGTTAAGCGTCGTTATGATCTCACAGAACCAGGCTTTTCTTACTTTGATTGTGCACTGGTGCGCTGCTGTTGTCCTGTATAAATATTGTATACAAACACCATTTCAGTTTCTTTGCGCATCGCATTCACAAGCGTAAGCTTCACCTCATACTATGGGACCTTGTCACTTACTTGTGAGCTTCAGTAACTCATAACGATTGGCGGATCAGTGGTCCTATTGTAAGCCTCACCCTTCGATGTTTAGAATGTCATGATTGATTGTGCCGCAGGTTGTATTTACTTTCTTACGATTGGGTAAGTCAACCTGAGGCTTTTGTGTGCTCTTGCTCACTAGGCTATGCCACCAAGTTGCTGCACTTGGTGAGTTACCTTACATGCGGACCCGAATTCACTGCTTGATGCCTTTGCGTGCTAGTTAGCACCGTTGAGATGTGAGTTCTTTCGCCGTACTCCTTTGCATAGAAACGAAACTGAGTGACATTCAGGATCGAACTGCAGACAATGACTGCATTCAGAGACAAGGTTGAAGTAGGTTCTCGTCTTTTGTACACTGGGCTTTCGATAATCTCTGTATTCTCCCTACTAGTGGGTGTTTACCATGGGTCTCTCATTATCATGTGTGGTAGACATCCTCGTCACCGCAGGTCTGTGCTTTACGCTGCGCAGAAATCGTTCGTTTTCGAAGTGAGTCGCATCACATTAGGCGACCTGGATGCGAAGCTCACACACCTGGGCAGCATGGACCGCGTAATCAACACCATGGTCTTGTATACATTGGAGAACAATGCGCTCACGAGGTGCGTAAAGCTCAATTTGTCCATGATTGTATATTTATGTATTGTTTGTTATGCATAGTGCCGCCACCATTATCTCGATGATATGCGTAAGTGAAGTCATCCAATGTGATGTGCCTGTTTCCCGTTTGACACGGAATGATGGTAGTGGGTGACCATGGACAACCTCATCTTCCTTGGGATTCATTTTGTACTCAGCAAACGTGGGTGTTTTACGGTCCATCTGTTTTCTGTCGCTAAAAAAAATTTTCAAAATTCAGTTTACGCTAACTCTTTGCTAGCAACGTGAGCAGCGCGACGCAGTTGAGAACGAAGTTTGACTGTATTTTCCAGCTTGAATTCTCGCAAACAACTTCAGGAAGAACGCTCACGTGGACTCGGAGCTCTCTCGAACGAGCTTCCGGTTGCTTTTCCCAGCAGGTACCAATCCAAGTATTCGGTAAGTTTCTTTCTTACAGCAGCACAACTGTACGCTAACAAGACAAAGAAACGTTTGGATCCTGGAAATAAGGTGATGTGATATAGCTGTCGCGAACTTTAGGTGTGACTAACTTTATTCTCAGTTGGAAATCAATGTAGAACGGACTATCGAGTATGAAGCAGTCGACGACTTTGCGAAAGGAAGTCCGCATATCCCTTTGGAAACTCCACCCTTAACAGTTGATCCGAATCATATCCCGTCCAACATAGTTTAGTGATTATCTCACCACCGCTTCCTCCTCGTGAATGCTGCGCGAGATCTCCTTAACTTATTTTCTCCTTACCTCTTGGTCGAAGTCCGATTTTCCGTCCACACGACAAGCAAATCACTTCATTGTACACGTCTCCTCTGTGCGTCTTAATAGACATTTGTCTTCTATGCGTATACGATTGGTCCAGTTGGACCACGACTGGGGGACTACATTTTGGTACTGCGCAGAGATCAGGGGTATGGTGTTGTGTGGTGAGGTGTAACAATTAACGTACTAAAGGTCCCTTGGCCCTTGACCCTTGGGGATACTTTGAGTCCTTTGATCGGCGGTTCGAAGCCGGGATTACATAAAGTAATTTTCGAGGAGTCGCTCTGCAAATTGGCAATATGATATGCGGTAACTGAAATGACACAAGTACTTAAGTTACATGCAGGGCAGCATGTCTAATGTACGGTACGAACCCCCCAAGCGAATGCGAGTCCTCGGATCCCGGAGCCGGACTATGTAGTGATGTATGAACCTGGATCAAAATTTGGTGGATCAAAAACAAATTTTGGTGTTTTGTCACCCCTCGGGCCTCTTTACTTCAACGTTGCCGTGCGAGGAGTGGCATCAACTTGCGTTTTGGACTTTGACTTGTTTATTTTGACAACCAACCGTATCAACGTCTCCCACAAACTAACGTTTTGTTGCTATACTTTATGAAACGTTGGACTCACCGTCGCCAGTGAAGTGCCGAACCTATCGGAAGATTTTGATCAACGTACCATAATAAAAGAAGAGTGCTCTTTTTGGAATAGCTCAAGGAACGTGGTATAAGGCTATAAGCCGCTGATAGGCGAAGACTGGCGGGACCATTCCTAGCCTTTTGGTGCTGAGGGATGTGAGTCTGTCAACTTGAAGTGAGTCTGAAGAGATTTTCTAACAGCTGGTTTGTGAAGCTTTGCTTGTCAAAATCCTGCTCAAGCTCGACTGAATTGATGCAATGCCGGCATGTTAATTAGTGGGCGCCTTAATTTTGAGACATGGATCATAACATGCTGTCATTGAGCAATCTGAACCTGGAACAAAAAAACACGGCAGTTACGTAAATGTCCGCAAGTAAGAATTCATGTCCCCTCATTCGTTCTCGCTGGGGCCTACGATGCCGTTGAATAGTATTGCCTCTGGAATACTGGGACCTCATGACTACATTAAACCTTCTTAAACCCGTTCTCTTCGCCTGTGTTCAACCTCAGTTCGTTTTTCCTCCCGCTCGCTATTTCTTCATACTTTGTGCCCTCTTTTACTATCTTTTCCGTATTTCGATTCTTCTTCTTACACACAGACTTCCTGTGCAATATGGTTAGCGTGCCCGCGACATATGGCGCCATCCTTCTGGGTGGTTTCTTGGCCTCTGCGTAAGTTTCAACTTAATCCCGTCCATCCACTAGTCCTGATGGGTTTCTCGCCACATGCTAGACTTTCAGGGATCGTTACAGTACAATCATTCGTTTACTTTAAGTTATACCCCACAGATCTACCCTGGAGGAAGGCCATCGTGAGTGGCATATAGTGATCTGTTGCTTCGTTGAACCTTTGACGACTGGTGTTCTTCGGAAAGGTTGCCGTGATATGGTCGGTACCTCCAGCGAACATGACTCTCAAATACTGACACTAAGTTACCGCATGTTCAGGGCATTGGATAGTGTTCATACTGCACTAGTTTGTGCATCGATATGGATTTATCTGATACAGAACTTTGGCGATGCATCGAAGATAAATGATATACCTAAGTACGTCCTTTCTTATGACAATTGTCTGTTCTCTGTTTGACTACGTTGTGCAGCACCGTGGCAGTGCGTAAATTCGATCCAAGTCTACTCACGCTCTGATTTTAGTCTTGTGTCAGATGACAATAGCACTGACTGTGAGTCTCAGACACTTGTCATTCTCAAACACGATCAAAGTTTCTGACTAATTTTGCAGGCAATATTGACGTTCATTGTCCACTGGTAAGTCTTTTTGGTGATACATGTCCAGAAATTAAGGCCAAACTGTGCAGCTTTTTTGCCCATCGCATACATAAACGTAAGCCCTCTGATTGATCGTTATATTAAGCGCATACCACGTTCCGTTACAGTGAGCCATTGTGATTGGCGCATCACCGCCCCTCTTGTAGGTCTTGTCCTGTTCAAATTGGATGAGTGCTGAACCCCCTTCGTTGAAGTTGGTCTTCGCATTTTTGCGGTTATGTGAGTCACCTCGTTCTTCTTCAGGCCTCTTGAAATTAAGGATTGTTTTAGGTTCTGCCTCTGGTAGGTCGGCGTTATTGACCACGATACGATGCGCTGATCTATCTTTGTCGCTGTAGTAACGACGGCTGAAATGTAAGTGGATGATATGTGATGCTATACAACAATCATAACGTTGCATAGGATTCATCTGAAGACCTTCACAGAGTTCAAGCGGGAGTTCCGAGTAAGTGCCACATTTTGTATCACAGTGCCATGTAACGTTGTGGGAATGTAGTGGGTTTTCACGTTGGGTCTCGCACTGTCATCTCTCGTCGACATTCTTATTGCGGTGTTCCTTTGTCACTCGTTGCGATCTAACCGCAAAGCTTCTTCGAGGTGAGTTCACGCTCCGTGCACATTCACGAAGGCTTACACGAACAGTATGGACTATGTCATAAATTCCGTCATCTTGTATACATTGGAGAATAATTCCCTCACCAGGTAATGCTGAAGCTTGGTCAATTCGAGGTTATCAGTTGCTCACTATTAGTATCAGCGCCGCAACTGTCGTCTCCATGATTTGTGTGAGCCTGATAGTCATCCGTTTCTGGTTGTATCCCTAATCCATGTTGACCCTACAGTGGCTTGTAATGCCCACCAACCTCATTTTCATGGGGCTGCATTTCGTCATCAGCAAATGTGGGTTGCACTCGAGTCATCCTGACGAAATGATGATTCTGACCCACCTGTAGTGTATGCGAACTCCCTGTTGGCCACGTACGTATACTATAAACTTTTCGTTTTTATGCATATCTGATGTTTACTTTGGTCAGATTGAACGCTCGGAAGCAACTCCGGCAAGAGCGAGCTCAGAGGGGCTTGTCAGCAGAACTCCCTTTGGCGTTCCCGGGCTTGGCGCCGTCAAATCGCTTCCGCTCAAACCACCATGACTCTGTGAGTGACCCGAAAATAAATTATTAGTCTAGCTCATTTCTGCTGCAGTCGCGGGTGGATCCTATTGGAACCAAGGTCCAACTTTTCACCTTTGTCACGAGGTTTATCTGACTTTTACTACAGCTGGAAATCAATGTCGAAAAGACCGTGGAGTATGAGGTAGATGTAGACATCGTGACGAGTCACTCTCCGTCTCCTTCGTCGATATCTCCAAAAGCTTTCCACCATCCATCTGAAGCGATCTCACAGATGGCTTAGTCCACAACCTCCTGGACCCACTTTGATCCTATTGTCGTATCCTAAATATTCTTTTATATATGTCTATCTCTGGCTGTCAATCATTTCTACACCTGTCTTTATTGAAGAGCTGTACTACCTTCCTCGCTATGTAGCAACACATCGTCCCATATCTAATAGTATCTCTGCGTTGTCTGTTGGCTGCATTAATTTATGTGAAAGAGCGACGTTCAGCAAACCATGGACTTCAAGCCAAATTACTCTCAGGCTTGCTAATTTTAGTCACTGTGCCCGTACTGGAATGTTGTTTTCCGGCGAGATTACGTGTCCCCTGTCGCCGGGCGACTCACAGCTCTGAGCTGACCTGTCCTACGTGCACAAGTTCTTTCCAAACCGCCATCATGTCTTCATCTATCGTTTTCCCCCCCAGGTAAGTCCCTCCGCGCTCGGCAGAATGGTGTCTTACATCACTATTTTCAAGTTTCGGGTATGTAGCAGCTGGACTGGTATCCACTGCTTGGGTTCTTGGCTGGCAGGCACTAGTTGTAGGCGGCCACAGAAAAAAATCCGGGATCAAGTACCCTCAACGTACGTGCTATTGCTACTAAGTAATGTCGGAATGCTCAACAAGGGTGTTTTGCAGTGTATGCCGAGAAAGCAGAAGCTGATGCTTCTAAAGAAGCCCTCCTCTTTAACTGTGCCCAACGTAAATCATCATTCACCGAATACATGGTCCCGTTCATACTCACGATGATTCTTAGGCGCCCACCAAAACACGATTGAGCACATGCCTATTATTATTGTGACGTGAGAGTTCTGCTACATCCCTGTATATCTTCTCACATCCAGGTTCGTCTGCGGCTGGTTTAGCACTTTGATAACTTCAATGAGACACCCTGTCTTGGCCGGATATGCAAGTGGTTTATGGGCACTGTCTCGTGTTCTGTATACTCTAGGGTACACCACTGGAGATCCAGTCAAAGTACGTGAGACTTGATCCTTTTCGGAATCACCTGCTCATGATGTCCGTGTAGCGTAATACACGCGGTGGCATACTTGGTGAACTTCCTCTTTTTGGTATGTGGTTTTTAAATAGTATCACACCGGGTGTTGATGTAGCGACCGTGTCCACTAGTACTTTTGCTGGGCTCCACCTACACGGCGTTTGATCTTCTACGTTCTGCCTGAAACGTTCCCGTTGCAAGATTCAATATATCTGATGCTGACGGGAGAAATATGTACACGGCTTGATAATATGTGCAGAACGTTGGATCAAAATTATAATTCAAATTGACACGGAGAATGAAATTAGTTTCGAGCTAAGATAAGATTACCGACAACGTACAACCGATCCACATCCCTTTTAGAGTTCCAACGAACCTAGGCGATCGACTGCGAATCGTTTGTTTCATGCTCCACTAACTCAGTTCACACTCTGCAGTCTGCCTGCAGGTATGAATGCAAATCTCGCCACCGTGACAATCGATGTCGTGCGTACCCACTCGTTCTCTCTTTGCCAAAACCTCTGATGCGACGCTAGCCCAGATCCTCGACAGACACAGCGCCAAAGAGGTTCCCACCGCAATTCTTCACTCAATACTGTTCCATAGGCTGTTCGGCACCGTGAAGCCTCAAACATTCGAGGTCCTTGATGTCACCATGGTGAGTTTCCTAAGTTTCACACCGCTCAACTAGGAGCACCAAGTCGTCGTTATGCCTCAGCCAGGTGTTTCGGATCCTGAGATGGAGCAACTCGTGACGGAGAAAGTGGATATATTTTGGAAAGGCATCGAGAGTGGCGCAAACAAACGTGGTCAAGTGGGTTTTTCTTTGTTGTCTATCGTGCATAGAAGTTGGGTCCCTGTTCATCTCGTTCTTCATTCAGATCATAGTAACATTTTCGGAGAAAAAGGCGAAGAAGTCCTGGTTTCAGGTGTACGTCGGGGAGGAGGAGGTGCCATGGGAACAATGGTTTTTTCTTTGATGGTTTTCGTTGGACGGGGCGGCTGACGTGTGTACGGCAGGATTGTGAATGTCGAGATGCGACAACCCAAATCAGAAGGTGAGGATTTCTCCATCTGACGCAATTTTGTCGTAACATTATCGATTACAGACCGGCAAGAATTTAATGCAAATATTGCGTCGACGCTTTTGAAGGCTTTGAACGTGATGCTGACCCATACTTCGTCGGAGCGCGGGCGCACGGCTGTTCCTCTCATCACGAACGCGTCAGGGATATCTCCTTTTCCAATCAAGATTGCAGTTAAAGTTGGCGGGGTCGAGCTTGGGTAGTGTGTATAGCTTCCGTGTTGTGCAGAAAGATGTTGCAGATGCGATAAGCACAAGATGTATGTTTCAAGACTTTGTATTGATTTTTTGTTCGATTTACTGGCGCTACTTATCTCTGGGGTTCGTCATGGCTACAACATGTGTGAAGGCAGCCCTCTACACTTCTAGAATTGGCATCACCACACAAGGGCTGGATGCGGTGTGTCCATCGGTCGGTTTCGTTCACCAACATTTCACATGCACATTCAAGGCGTGCTCCGTACGTGCCGTCTTTGGATCTAACACGAAGTACTGGCTTTATCCACCTATAAGTGGTTCGCGCAAAGAATCACATAAGCATTGAAAACGTTTATCTGGCAGTCTGATGGTTTGAAGTGACACTTGAAGCTTATTGCAATTCTAACTAAAAGTCTCCCTTCCACACATGGACTTCTCAGTGCTAAACCTATCGCAGCGCAAGGGTTTGTATCTCTAGACCTTGAAATCAGCAAGTTGACTGCGGAGGCGCGTCGCCGCCCTGACCTATCCGTCTTCCGCATAGCAAAGTACGACGACAACCGATACCTATCCTCTATATCATGTCTACAAATGACAGATAGCGGCCTCTTCTTCAACTGGTACCCGTCTTTAGAGCCAAGCAAACCCTTTCAGCCAGCACAGCGCATGATGGTGATCTCGCCTCCGCATCACGGGCATCTTCCAGTGCCTATTCAGATTATGCCGTCGCCCAACCTCAACCCCAGCATACGAATCAGGTCCATGCACCTGTTCAAACCATGTCGGCTGTTGGGTCGGAGTGGCAGAGTGATCACCTTCATGAGCTTGAGCTTATTGAGGCTAGGTCTAGTGATGATGAGTAGGGGAAGATGTAGTTCCTGATCCGCCTTCTCCCATTATCGTCGAGGAAGCTGGTTCGCCCCCGTTGGGAGGAAGAGGTCGAGATTGATGGAGATCTCGTAGTGGACGAAGACACGGATGATTCTGAGATTCGGAGGAAGCGGAGGATGAGACGATTGATGATTTTCAGTTCGGTGGTGATGGTAAGTGGTTACGCGTCATTGTGAGTTCTTGATCTGATGTTTTACCTTTGATGCAGGTTTCATGCAGGTGATCATGAATGATTCCTTCCTATTAGCTCGAGCATGGTGCACTGCAATACATGTTTGTCATGTCAAAATTTATAGTTTTTTTACAGAATGTAAGGTGTATTACAGTACTTGCAATTGGAGAATGGAATGATCTGGGGTGGGTACGATGAACCCATGGTCCACCCTGGTTGCGATTGGCCCAGACATAAAGAGGAGCGCACGAATTCAACTGAAGATTCGAAGCAAGTATCTGTCCCTGTTTGAGGGTGACAGAATGATCAGATTTCTACGCCGCTCGCAATGCTGTATTGCAGTGAAGGGATAGGTAAGTTTGATGGCGATGGTCGAAAAGAGAACATGCTGTACAACGCACAGCCATGAAAGATATATAAAATATAGCAAGCCCATCAATCATGGTATCGTTCCTCGTCCTTGATAACATTCGTGTAACGTGAATACCCTACACGAGCATCCTGCGCTGATGAACTGACGATTAGCATAAACAGGGAAAGCACAGCGGCTCTCGAGACTTGGCAACGTAGCGCATACGAGGACAACTCACCGAACACTATCCATAGGATATAACCGTCATGGCTTCCAGCTCGAAACAGCCCGGTATAGCAGCAAAGAAATCGGTTCTGACACCGGTGATGACCTTGGAGGGACATGAACCATATTTTGCGCCATCCAATCACGAGGTGAAAAACATTTCATGTATTTCCTATTTTCCCGACGGCAAGCAAATCATCAGCGGATCAGGCGATAAGACCACTCGGCGATGGGACCTGCGGGAGGGTAAGGAGATCAAGGAAGCTCGGGAAGTTTACAAAGATATTGTACATGGAGTGGGGGTGTCAAGGGATGGCCGATGGGTTGTCACTGCAGTTGGTGCCGGTGAGGGGCTCAAAGTCTGTGAGGTCGAGACGGGGATCGTGAGAACATTTCATGATGGCCCTCGCATTGAAATCTCGGCAGATAGCACGTTGTTAGCGGGTGGATCACTCGACGGAACAGTGCGAATATGGAGCTTGGACACAGGCAAACTCGTGGCTGGTCCATTCAGATTTAGTGGTGAACAAGTGCAAGTTCTTGGACTCTCTCAAGACTCTCGGAAGCTGGCGGTGATATCCGGGTCAATATATCCGACGTGCATGGCGCAATTATGGCTTCAGGTGTGGGACGTCCGATCGCAGAAATTGGTTGGAGAAAGATCTACCCCTATGATCAATGTTTTCAGTCTACCATCTATACAGGTATTTTGGACAACAAAAGGCAAATTCATCACAGGCTTATTCAGCTTGTATGCATTCTATGAGTATGACGCATCGACGCTCACGACTGTCGGAGATTCCTTCCAAGGACACACCGGCCTCATCCGGAACCTAGCACTCTCATTTGATTGTCTTCTTCTCGCCAGTGCTTCTGTCGACAACACCATCAAACTCTGGTCCTTCGAGTCCCGCCAACTCCTCCTCTCATTCGATGTCCAAGCTCCCTTTACCCTTATACTTTCACCTGACTCACACCAACTGGCTTACACGACCTGGGATGAGGCCAGAATTCATGTATGCGATATTCCAGCCGATATTCTTACTTGTATTGGTCTTGCAAAAGAGGTTTGTATTCACCCATTCATCATTCGCGTGCTGAAATCTCTTGCAGACAAGCGGAAACCTCGCCAAGCTACTCAACGTGCGTGGTCCTGCTCTTGTACTCATCTAATCGCTCCATTCTTTATCGCAGTCTGACGCAACACGGCATCCTGTGCACCGTAAACCAGCAATATCAGTCATACCTTCCGTCCCTGGCCCGCTAGCAGTCACAATTGAACCCCGGCGACCCGTCATCATTGGATTTTTACGCAAACTCCTCCCTTCTCGTACGAATATGGCTCGTCCTGTTCACGCCAATGAACCCCGCAACCCCCTGGACGTATGTCTCTTTCATTTATCTTCTTCACAGTTGACTCAACGGTTCCCTTGCAGTTCCCTGCTACAGCGCCCTTGCCTCGTCCAATTGTAAATCCCCATGATAATGTGAGTAGGGACCGCCATCATCATATATTCGACTGACATTTTTTTTAGTTTCAGCCACCGACCACCCAATCCTTTGCTCCTACTCCCACAACCTTCAAATCTCGCCTGTCAACCTGGTGGTCACTTCAAACAGATTATGCATCGCCAGGTATCGTTGACGTTCCTCTCGCGCAGGGTAAAGAGGTATATGCGGCCCATTTTTCTCGCTTTTCAGTGCTCATATATTAATTCACAGCGGAACATTGCCGCAGGTGCTACACGCCGCAAAGATGATGAATGGATACCTGATGAAGACCATATTTCTCCTCCTCCTTCGCCCAATCCAGATTCGCAGCAGCCGACCACAGCAGGGCAGGTCAGAACCAATGCAGGAGAACATGGAAGCAGCCGGCTGTGTTTTTGCTTTTAGATCGACTTTTCGAACGGTACTGTGACGAGTTCATTGCGGACCCCTCGCTAATTAGAACGTGCTTGTATGCATAGTGTATCTTGACACAATGTAAGGCATATCCAAGTTTATTTCCGTTTACTGGTGGTTTAGTTTATGAACAGTGATCACTTCTTGAAGGACGAACGGACTCGGATATTTTCTTGTGTACACTTGAACTTCGAATGTTGAAAATCTTACGCAGAGTTTGAAACACCAGCGATAACCTATCAGTATTTTTTCGTCAAGGCTGGCGCAATACAGGAATTTTATCACAAGCCAGAAAGGTATGGGACATGCTGTACACGCAATGCATAGTCTTGAGGATGGGCGTCAAAAGATAAGGAGGTAAGATGCGCCCATCATACACATCGCTCTTCGTCTTGACTAGCATTCTCAGGGTGAGTCATCACATGAATACCACATCTGAGATCTAAGCGTTCTGCACTGACGAGCTGATATCATTGGTTTATTCTTGTAGACAGAGCACATCATCTCTCGTCGAACAAGTTCGCGTCGGAGTCAGAGTCGGAGGACAACGACAGGCAAGCGACGTCATAGTAGGTACGAGTGCAATGTGTCAGCGTTCAGCTGAATCTCCTCGTCGAAAAATTTCAAACAAATTTCTATCCCATTCCTATTTTCTCCTGACTGAGAAAATGGATATATTCTGGAAAGGCATCGAAAGTGGAGCAAACAAGTGAGTTTTTTTTGCTGTCTATCGTGCATAAAAGTTGAGTTCCTATTCATCTCGTTCTTCATCCAGATCATAGTAACATTTCGGAGAAAAAGGCAAAGAAGTCTTGGTTTCAGGTGTACATCGGGAAGGAGGAAGTGCCATGGGAACAATGGTTTTTTCTTTGGTGGTTTTCGTTGGAAGGAGCGGCTGATGTGTGTATACGACAGGATTGTGAACGGCGGGATGCGACAACGCAAATCAGATTCTCCATCTGACGCAATTTCGTCGTAACATTCACGATTATAGAGCGGCAAGAATAGCTACAACAGTGCATTAGAACTTAGCTGCCCACGTGGGGCCTCTATATGATCGGAATGCCTACCTTAAAAATAGTCCGACGCATTGGAATTGTAAGTGCTCTCGTCGCTGTCACTCTCCTGGCTATCGCATTCGTCACGGTCGACTATTAAAGCTTTCAGGTTTCTTGCAAATTCTTCTTTGGATATAATAAGGTTGCGATCCCGCGCGTAGTTCTCAAGCTGATCAAGTAGCTCATCTGATTTGGCAAACGATGCCGAATCATTGCGGTAGGACGTTAGGCTGAGGTTGAGGTCATCTTGCAGTTCTGGCAAGGACCGGTCAGATAAAAACTTCTCAAACCAGGAAGCCTCGTCGTTGGACATGTCCGTATTGGTGCGCTGCAGCAGACGTAGGAGCTCTGCGTAGCGTTCTGCCTCTTCTATCTCCCACGCTCTTAAGATGACACGGATGCGACTGGTTTCACGCGAGGCCTGCTTTGCCATAGTAGCTTGCTGAATGGCATCATCTGTCATGCTCATTAGACCACGTTTCAGGACATCCTTACACTGTATGACAACTTGTGAACCAAAAAAACATGCTGGGAAAACTTACAGATTCTGAGTCTATCAGAGCAAAGTCACTTTGGTGACTTCTTGCAAGGGAATTTCCTGCGAAACGGAGATCCGTTGGGTTTGGTCCACCAGGCTTTGCGCGTGTCTCCAAATTACTGGCAGCTTGGGTGCATGCAGTCATACGACGGACGATAGCATTTGGTGGATAAGAAGGAGAATCCAGAAATTGATTCATAGAACGAGGTATGTGACCCTTAGTAAAACGAGGGCGTTTTGGGTCGCTAGCAGTAACAGACTGCCAACTAGCACGTCTCTTTGTGACGCGGCTACCCATTACTTTATCGGGGGTCGGGTTCTGCACATTCGGTGATCAGTGAAAACTTCTAGCGATCCGAACATGATGCTTACATGGTCACAGCCCTCCTGATGACGGCGTGAAGGTGAGCACCTAGGGCTCGACGTCGTTGTGAGATCAACTTCCATGCTAGAGGGTAAGCCTGTAACTAATAGGTAATATAGTACTCGGAACTTGTCCGAACACCTGGCAGCACGTGTCTTCCACATGTTGCTGATACCTACTAGGCCATGCTGCAATGCACACGTGTGTTCACCGTGGTTCACGGATGTCAATGCAAATATTGCGTTGACGCTTTTGAAAGCTTTGAACGTGATGCTCACCCATACTTCGTCGGAGCGCGAGCGCACGGCCGTTCCTCTCATCACGAACGCGACAGGGATATCTGACTTACTCCCCCAGGCTGCGTACTGTCTCGACGAGCATCGACAATGTTGTCAGTCGTCATGCCCGTTCGCTTGAGCATTGAAGCATACTGAGTTAGTTCTGACATGATTGAAAACAAGAAATAACAATGATCACTTGACGAGTGTAAGCCTAAATCTACATTGCACAAAACAGAACGAGGGATGATGAGAAAAACGGGTGTTGAAACCCGATACAGTCTGCAGTGCTCAGTAGTTGAAGCTGGAGTGCCGAATATAGCGCATGGCATGGGGGAAGAGCATCAGAAACAAGGAAACATCAGTCTGCACCACTCAGGAGTTGAAGTTGGCGTGCTTGGTATCGTGCACAATACGAACGCATAAGTGTGGGGAAAACGCATCGAAAAATAGGAAACTTGGCTCGAGCATCATCTACATTCCAGTAGATTATTACAGTTTGTGTTCTGTTGGTTCATATCTAGGACGGTTACCAATATCAACTTTGATATGGGACAAGTCAATCTGGACCACTTACTCTGCAAGCATACATGATACTTAGAACAGGCACAGTTTTCGGGCTTGTACAATTCATTCAAAACACGTGTGTTTGTGAACAGTTCTTCGACGCGTTGGGCAATCCTCTTCGAGTGTTCTTCTCCTGATACCCCTTGTAGTTGCTTCTTGATTTCTCCATACGCAAATGGACGCAGAGCTTCGAACTTGGTGAACACCGCGACCACAGGAACTGAAGATCGATCATTTAGTCTGAGGAGGGCAAGTGATAATGAAGTTGCAAGCTCACCGTGCCCAGTGTCGCACTCTAAGAAGAAATTCTCTTCCGACCGCTGGAATGTTCGACTCGGGCCGTCCATTGGAATACAATACCTGATGGCAATTAGCAAGCACGGAACATCAGAAAGGAGTTACTTACCAGATAGTATGGGTTCGCTCCTCCAATTTCGTTGCATGTGCGCATTGCGAGACAAATCTTTTCATGTTCTCGAATTCTTCTTCAGAGCCTGCTTCGAAACCGCACGAGTCGTGAAATACGAAACCGGGATTGCTCTTGAATACCATCTCGTTTGTGATGTCGTGATTTCCACGCTGAGTGTCCGTCAGCGCATATACGCATATGTCCACAGGGCAAATGATGCACACACCTTGATCGAGGATTTCACAATGGCAGCATCGGTCTACCCACAATTGATCAGCGATAGATACGTGCATGACATAGATATCATCCGCACCTTCTTTCCTTTGGAATTGTGTATTTCTGGGTCGTCCGTGGTGTTGCAGACCTTCTGAAGAATGGTCGTTTTGCCTGCGTTTGCTCTCCCTACGATCAGAACTCGAAAGCGACTAATCATCCTTCGGAGGTCCTGGGCAGCGATGATTTCCATTAATATTGGGAGATCTTGGTGTGCGTCCTGAAGTAGAGGTTATTTGGTTTATCGTGAAACCTTTCCTGTGAGAACGAACTTCGTCGTGGCGAGATATGGCAGCGAACGAACGCGAAGCCTATGGCTTATGACACAACAGCTATACACGGCGTCTATCTCTTATCTATACCACTCGATTATAGACACGAAGTTGCAACTGTTCGATCGTTCGTACGATAAAGCACAAGGATTATACAACAAATGATGTCGAACAATGAAAACGTTGATAGAAATCTGAACTATAACGAATGATCAGAATATGATGGAAACGACAGAATTTCGCTCTTCCCTACCCGTCTACACTAAAAGGCAGCGATACCGAAAATCTCTGTAGATGGAGGTGAACTTGATCTTCCAAGGTCTTGCAGATTATTGATCCTTAAAACATCTCGAGAGCAAACAAAATGTGGGACACCCTCTAGAATGGGTGACATCCCGCGATGCTCGACAGGGTCTGCGTGACATCTGGAGTTCCCTCGGGAAGATAGTCGTTCTGCGTATGAACTGAGCAACGGAGCAGTATGTGCTTTGCGTGTTGGTTGAACTCAAACGTCGACCACGCTCATTGGTACTGAGGAAAAGGGCGATGTAGCGGGCCGCGGGAGCTTGTGTATTCATGGATAGTTCGGGGCAGGTTTGGTACACATCCGCGGATGAGTCCGACTGTCTATCATAC